AGCAAGGTGCTGTGCGGTATGTGGATTAGGTCAAGATACTCCACCTCTCTGGTCTGGTTGATAACATCGTTCCAACATTATCTTTTCGATAAATATAAGATTATATAATGTAAATAGTAATCTCTTTAGGTTTAGTCTTCTATGATCTATAAGAATATTAATTAGTGGTCCGATTTAATATCTACCTAAAATCCCTTTTCTGTTGCCTTTTTAAAAGAGGCCGACTATAGACAGATAATAATACGATATATACCAAACTTGACAATCTGCAGTTAATCTTAAGATCGGAATATCCACTATTATCTCGGATTCCGTATAGCATCAGATATTAATCTATACTCAGAGGTACAGACAACCTTACTTGGATAAAACATTAATAATGATTACAGAGGATACAAAAGAGCCTTACGTCTATCATTAAGATTTAAAACAGAAGCCAAACGTAATATTACTTATGTTCTCTAGTAACCTCAAGTAGCTCCTGCTGCTAACGATCTCGGATATCGATCTTCGCCCCACTGTCTTGAAGTAGATATTTTATAGTCTTTTCGTTACCGTGATAGGCAGTTTACCAGAGAGGTATACGTCCGTAATCGTTTAATACGTTTGAATTGATATCTCGGTATGCAAGCAGGAAATTAATTAGCGTAACCAATCCTCATTGTATAGTATGATAAAGAGAGATTAATCTATCCTCTCTAACAATTGTATTAATCCGGATACCACTTTGTGCTAACAGATATCGGGCCGCCTATCGTGCCCGTTGTTGGTTGCCCGCCACAAGACGGTACGACCTCGATGATCGCGATAATTTATATCGAGATCGTGCGATAGAAGCTTCCGGACAAAAGATTTATATCTTTCTATAGCTGCGTAGATAAGAGCCGTAGATCCATATACATCCTGTGCATTTACGTTAATATCGAAGTCCGACCGTAGGGTCTGCAGGATATAGAAATACCCTATTTCGGTAGTGTAATGAAGTGGGCTGCCGCTACAGCAACAGCAGACTGTTACGTTAAACTTTTCGTTAAATATAAAGCGATAAGTAAAATACAAGATCCCGGTTCCTATAACGCAAAATAATGGGGCTAACGTATCTTTATGCTGAATGTGTCACGGACGGTGACCTGCCCCCGAGGACCTTCCTCGCGGTACCCTATAACCTAACTCCCCGATAGGGACTAGCGTCAGAGCTGTCACACATATCGCAGCCAGCTCCTGAATAGCTTCATAGCTTAGCTTAGTTTCCTTGTCAAATGCATACCCTACATTCTCACGATTCTCTATCGTTAATGTAGCCGTTCGTTACAGAATGTTAGGGTCGGGTCTATCTACGTGTTGGCCGTCTCTCTAGGCGTAATTGCTAGTAATGTTACCCATAGGAATATCGAATGATGAAGGTCTGATTCTTTCAATCTAGTTGCAAACGGTAGTTTAAAAACATGAAGAATAATAAGCAATCTAGCCTAAAAAGGCAGTTAGAAGAGACATAACTTTTGAACCATGGAAATAACAGAAAACTCTGTATAATCCTCGGGGATCGGTAGTTATCAACACCGATGTCCGGACTAGGAAGGTCTCCTATGTGACTAGCGGTCACATACGGTTGACACTACGTTTGATACCGAAGCAGACCAGAGTATCGTAATCCAGACCCGGAACGAAAACTTACTACAGATTAATAACAGTGATACTGCGATAATACTGCACTCCTCCAGTTCGACGGGCATTCCGAAGCCACTGTATCTGAGTTACCGCGTCCTGGTCTCGCAGGCTCGTATCGGGCCAAGGTAGAGTGCTTTCAATACTCTACCCTGGTATCACGAATACGGCCTGGCGACCGTGCTACAAGCCATATACAGACGAAAGACGGCATTCGTGTGGGATACCTCATTGCCGATTACCAGGAGAGCTCTGGTGACAGCCCTACAGGAAGCCCAACCGGAATCTATCCACTGTATCCTGTATGTGTTTTAGCTGCTGATAGACGAGCCCGACGGCATCCGCATCCTCCAAACTTGCTAATTAGTGACGTTTGGCAGAGTAGCGTGTCCGGATCAGCTAAACAATTGCCTAGTAACCGAGAGAATCCGATTCGGTAGATTGTTTGGATTGTACGTAGGTTTCTTTTCCTATTACCCTCTCTCCCGCTGCGCCGGATGCGAGGTAATTGACGAGTCGAAAGAACAGAAGCCGGTCTGGTAGCTAAATCTATTTTGCGGCCTCTAAATGATTGCAATTGTAATTACCTAAAATTCTTCGATTATGTCAGCGATTTCGTCTAAAAACTGCTCAGCTACTTGTTTACAAGAGATCAGAAAACTTTCCTGCCGTAAAAGGCCGGACCTATCGGGCATTAGAAACGTAAATTTAGTCACTCTATTCTCTCTCTCTAAGACGCTTCTCTATGGAATAGATATATAGCATACTAAACAGGCAAGTTTTACTTCTAGTATTTTGCACTAGCCTATTTCAGTCAGTACTCAATGGATCTTATTAACTCTAGCTCGAAGAGGCCAACTCTAAAGACCGAAAAAACGACTGTTTACGACCGGAACTTTGAAAGCCATCTAACCGATCACAGTATTTTTTTGCCCAATTTTATATACCCAGATAGGACCGACGTCTGTAAACCAGAGAATATTGCCGAGATTCAAAGACGTTTACGAGCTCCTCATCCATCCCTCGCATTGTCCGAAGATTCTGAACGGAGTATCTTGGTGGGTTTTCGAGACATGGATAGGCCTTCGCATAGGGTTTCGTATATGCCCTCGCACAAGCCTTCGGACAATCCTTCGCATAAGCCTTGTCCGGCCTAAGTGGTAAATCCGGCACACACGAGTCAAACTCAGGCCTGCTGATGTTTGTTATACAGGCAGACACCTTATTGCAACAGTAAATAAATAACAAAAGCGGCTTAAAATGCGTTACCGACCATTTTCAGCTAAATGCTACTTTATCTTTAGACAATGATACTAAGATTAAGAGCATATTCCATTCAACTATATGTCTATAGTAATAACTATCTATCTATCTATAAATTACCAAGAGAAAAGAGAGTTTTGAACAAAAAATACAATTAACGTACTATACTTTATCTTAACTACCATAAATTTATAGTTAAAAGCGTAATAACATCCCGTCGCTTCAAACAATGATAAAAACCTGGGTAGTTAACGATAACCTTGCTATAATGTGTGACGGTCCACAAAGAAGCCTAGTAAAAGACTAGTTTGTTTATGACTCGTAGTCAAGGAATTTTCCCATGGAGAAGAAAGGCTATCTAGGAGCGAGAATCTAAGGCCTCTATGTACTAACTGAGGCTCTGCCTCAGGCAGGAATGCATCCAGGAAGGGTTTTCCGTACTGGGAAGTTCGTATCGGAAGTCCGTATCGGGAAGTCCTTGGCTCAGGAGATAACAATACCCCCCCCTTTTGAAAGGGCTGGTCCCCAGCCCTTGCAAAACAAGCTTAAACAGGTAAATCGTTATCATCGTGTTCGTCGAGAAATTCGTCATTAGCTGCAGCAGCGAGCCAGTTAGCCAGGCGCCGAGGAGAGCCAGGCTTCTCAGGATATTGATCATGAAATTCCTGCAACTTGAGCGGAGCGTTGCGGAAATTAGAGGCAGGATACCACGCAGGGTCGGGGGGATACCCTTCCTACTGCACGCGGTAGCGCAGCTCTTTATTATACATGCGAGAAGCAAGAATTTTGTCTACAAGCCATTCAGACTCGCCTTGTATCTCAATCGGGGGCTCTGGATCGCGAATTTGACCCGGCATAGGCGCCAAATCGGTCACTTTTCGGAGCTTCTCTGGTGCGAAAACGGGGTGGACTTGGAGTGTAGGAGGCAGGCGAAGCTTAAAGGCATGTCCAATCTGTTCAATAATCTCGTACGGGCCAGCCCATTGGTTATCGAACTTGCGGCTCGGACGGCCTAATTCCCAGTCTTTAGTAGTTACGTAGACCAAGTCTTCAGCCTTAAAGTCCACAGGCCTGCGATATTTATCGGCTTGCCGCTTCATCTTCACCTAAGCTAGTTCAATTTGACCCTTAGCGTAGTCCCAGATCTGTTCTAAATTGCGAGCAGTCTGGCGAGCTTCAGCTTGATCCTGGGGTCTATCCCGAGGCTTCGAGGGCGAGACCCAGTCGAAGGAGACCCGGGGTTCGTAATCACGTTCCACCTGGAAGGGAGATAGCCCGGTTGACTCGTGTTCAAGGACGGCATAGGCGAAGTCCATAGCCGGTAGCAGCTCCGACCAGTTATCCTGATAGTAGTTCACAAACGGGCGCAGTTTCTGGGCAAGATATTGATTGACAATCTCTGTATAGCCATTCGTAGAGGGCTTCTGCCCTGAAGTAAGTTTGCGTTTGATTTTTAGTCGTAAGCAGAGCTCCTCCCAGAAACGTAGGTATGCATTGACGAAGAATAAGCTGCATGGAGTGCAGCTTGTTCTGCGTAAAAAAACTATTTATGTCTGCTATCTGTAGGTCACGTGATAGAGTTATATGACTCAATATACCGGAAGGTTCCTGACACTACCCCCTCTTAAACAGGGGCGTGAGGTCCCTCGAGCGCTAGTTACGTACAAAAGAATAAACAGAACGCTGAAATGAAGCCGAAAAAAACAAAAAAAAATCAGTATGTCAGCCTGTAGGCAACGATAATGAGACCGTAAAGGCAGTCGGTAGATCCAGAAAGTAAACCGACAGTAGTAACTTATCAGGGTAACAAATATAATAGTCTAGTACAAAATTAATACAATTCTTGAAGTCCTGCCAGGGTTACCACGGAGGATCCGTATTCCAGTTATTCCTTTTTTTTTTCGAATAAAGCCTTATATTCTATACCGTGGCGCAACTGGCGGCAGTTAACAATCTCGCAAACAGGCCATTCCAGATAAGTTTTGTCAGTATTAACATTTACGATTACGACCGATTCCTGGAGATCCTTATATTGACCGGAATAAATGTCTTTAGCGAAAAGAACGAAATACAGCAAAAAAAAAAAAAAAATAGAATACGGGCGTAATCCCGGTATCCAATATGTAGTCCGGCAGAGCCAGCTCGGTATATTATCTTAATATTTTAGAAAATAAGCACTAATCTTGAGCACTTTAAGATTCGAGAGCTTGCCGTCTTTATTAATGCAAGCCCGCAGCGCCGGAAAGCCTTTCTAGCTCTCCAAACCGAGGAGCCTCGACTTATCCCTATTCAGGACGTTCGTACACGCTGGAATTCGACCTTTTTGATGCTTAATCGTGCCAAAAAGCTGCAACCAGTCTTTGACAAGTACTGTACAACTCATCAATATCTCCATTTCAAACTGGATCAGGAAGAGTGGCGCCAGATTGAGTATTTTCTTTTACTTACAAAGCCTTTTTTTGACTTTACCAACGTCTTATCAAAGACTAGAGATATTACAGTTTATCATGTTTTCAGTATCTATAACCGCCTCTTTAATCACCTTGACGACGCTGAAAAGAAACTGAAACGAAAGGGTACCTTTTGGAAAAAGAGAATGCTCCAGGCTCTCGCTGTAGCGAAGAAAAAGCTAAATAAATACTATTCCGCGACCGACAATGAGCCATATGGTATAGTATATGCGATTGTAACTATCCTCTGTCTATCAAAGAAGCTACGCTACTTTAACAACAAGGATTGGAAGGGAGAAAATGAGAAGGGGGAAAATGTTAATTTTATAAAAATCTACCGGGATGCCTTACAAAAAGAGTTCGAGCGGTATCGACAGGACGTTTTTGAATTAGTAGAACCTACAGATGCACAGGTATCTAAAGAGACGGCTGAAGAAAAAGAGCTTGCGATATTATGTGACTTACAGACTCCTCTATTACCCGATATGGACCAGCCAGATAATGAGATCACGCGATATCTTGTAAAGGGTTAGTTTACCAATTTCTTTATACTCCTCTAGAACTACCTGCACACTAACCTACATTATAGGGCTCGCGAAAGGCAACCCTCGGTTATACTGGAAAGAGCATAAACATGAGTTCCCAGTTCTAGCGAGGATAGCGAAAGATATTTTCTCTATTCCTGCTAGCGGTGCTGGTGTCGAGCGGCTCTTTAACTGTGCTCGTGATATCTGCCACTATCGCTGTAGGCACCTTAAACCAGATACAATCAAAGGCCTGATGCTTCATCTTTTTTCCTCGAAGTTTGAGCTAGAACATAGCCAACTGGAAATGGTAAAGGAGTATCTTTCTGCTGGAAAGGCTACTATATTTGATCAGGCGAAGGTACCTCTTCCGTCTCTATAGAATTTCGATCCGATCAGTGATGATGAAGAAGAGGGCTGCGAACAAAAGAATAAGTCTGATGATAATACAGAAGATGATATAGAGGATAGAATAGAAGATACGTTTCCTCCGATATATGCTCCAACCTAAAACAAGCAAGCTAAACGGAAGCGCCCTCAACCAAAGCCCTCTGAAGTTCTAGATAATGTAGAACTGCCAATTGAAGAGAGTACACAGGTACGGTCAGGACGGATTCGGAAGAAACCGAGGTTACCAGATGGATTTAAGATTGATAAGCTGTAATATTAGTGTTGGAACGATGTTATCAACCAGACCAGAGAAGTGGAGTATCTTGACCTAATCCACATACCGCACAGCACCTTGCTTGGCCTAGACTTGGCCTACCATTCCAAATGGCATACCAAGGGATCAGGAATGCATAGGTGTAAACAAGTGGGACTATAAATAGCTAGGCAGATTGTAGTTTAGAATGACACTTCACTTTTACCCACCGAGCATATACCTACATTCAGTTGAATCGATAGGATATCTGCTTAGGGCAATGACCAAGTCAACCGAAAATTAGTTTTTTAAATAAAGAAAGGCTACTATAATTAAGATAGAGACGTACCTGTCCTCCTAAGAATTTTTGTAAAAAATTACACGTGCATACTCCAAAAAAAAAAACAGAAAAACTGCATAATCTATGCAGTCACGCGGATGTCACGGGGCTTGGCATATTTGATATATTTATCATCCAATGGATATCCGTTGGATATCCAACAATTTGATTTCAATATCCAAGTCCGCAATTTGCGGATAGTTGGATATCAATTTGACGTCCAAGTCCGCAAATTGCGGATACGATACGCGGATATCCAACATACCGTTGGATATTGCCGCAGCCTAATGCGTTTCAAACTTAATCATGTAAAATCTACACTTCTGAACCGTTTATCCGGTCTATAGAAGTCTATAAAGATACTTATATCCGCTATGTATTATACTCATGTGTAGTCTAATTTATGATTACTCCTGTATAAATTGAAAAATTATATAAAGTAAATAAAGAAGTATATTGGTAAATATACTTATTTAAGAAATAGGCCTAAACCTGAATATATTTATTAATGATATCATCTAGAGCAATATTGTTTTCTTTTCCCCGGGTTACTTTTGTAAAACTGATAGTCGATATACAATATGAGCTTTAGATTAGTTGCACCTATATCCGATACTACAGGGATTTAAATCTGCATCTGAAAGTTTATCTGCAAGTCTACGGAATGCTCGCTATAAATATAGAGAGATGAGAGCTGCCAAAAATGATACACATGTGAATGATTATTTCCAGCCACCATATGTCCATTATGCTTAGCACATTACTAGGTGTTATTCTGTTGCCTCATTAACCAGAGGTGCAGCTAGTTCAAGCCGCCCGTTTCAGGAGGCGGGGTGATAAACTAATGACTTCTTGTGTTTTCCCTGTTCAGAGGTAAGAAGTCGCGCCGGTCGCCGGGAGTCGCCGGACGACGCATACGCCATCTAAAGCGCAACCAGGGAGGTCGCGCGACGGCGCCAGCGATCGCCAGGGTCGCCGGTTTAGAGGCACCCACCCGCCTAATGACCGCACACAAGCCACACGCCGGCAGGTTAGTAGTTGGGTGGGTGACCACCAGCGAATCCCTGCTGTTGTATGTTTTTGCTTTTGCTTTTGCTTTTGACGTCGCCCTGCGTCAAGCGGACTTGACAGAGCAGAAATGATCGGAAATATATAGCAGCAGGAACTCCCCCCCGGTGTCCATAATAACTAACATACATAGTTGGGAGTGCCGTTTTCCGACTATGGCCATAAAGCAGTCTCTTGCGGTAAGCCTCCCGCGAGGTAGTAATTTCTATCTATCTGGAGCTTATGCCCCGGATAGTTCACGATGACCACCCTGATATATACGAAGGCCACACAGGTAAGTTTGAGTCATGGGGTTGTTAATGAGGCTAATGCCCAGGGAAAACAGACATGATTAGTATCAGTTGCCTAAGCCAACCGGGATATGATTCATCTGGTGCTATCATAGAAACCAGGCAACATCACCGAGTAGGGACAAGGCTGCATTCTTGTCTTTACGCGCTATGATTTAAGGCTATGCTATACCTGCGCCAGCGGCTAAATCAACAAATAAGAACCCCTGAAATGCAAAGGGGTGGCAATCGAGTCAGCCTGGTCAGCCTCAGCATGGTCAGCCTCAGCATGGTCAGCCTCAGCCTCGCAAACGAAATGTTCTCCGTGGGCCATATTTCAACCATTCTTCTTGCGCTAAGGTCATGCGTTCTTTTGTCCAACTGTGGATATTTTTAATCTTTCACATCCCTTACCTAACCTTTATCATTTGGTTTTGCATTACACTGGAATCCCAATCCATCAGACTTTCATGGAGATTGCAGGGCTGGCGCTTGGCGCCGTTAGTCTGTTGCCGCTGTATAGGGAGGTGGCCAGCAAAATACACTCAGTCAAGCACTTCTCGTCAGAGACTCTCCGATTGACATCACGTTATAATGCAACAAAAATTCTTTTTGAGCGATGGGGGAAGCAAACAGGGATTGATAATCAAGATAACGGTATGGCGGGTGTGCATCCACAGCTGCAAGATCCGGCTACAGCCGGTGTTGTTGCGAGCTTCCTGACATCTTTAAATGATCTTTTTGTCGCAACAAATCATGCCTTTGATGTTTATGACTCGAATTCCACGCGGCCAGCCGCGAAACAACAACCTGTCTCTTCGAAATTGAACATCAAATCCCGTCTCAAGTGGGCGGCCACTGATAACGTCAAGCTGTCCAGCCAACTCAAAGAGTTCGAGTTTCTGGTCCAGCGACTATACCTTTTAGTTCCACTAGACAGCCTTCAACCCGACCAGTTTCAGAAGCTGCAAGACACTCTCGTCCAATCACAGCGGTCACATGCCATCAGCCGGATTTTGCGTTGGCTTGATGCTCCTTCCGATGACATCTTTGACGCTTGCTGCTCTACTCGCTTAGAAACTACTTGCAACTGGATTACTACGCATTCTACATACGTAAGCTGGTTGTCAAACAGCTCGACGAATTCGTCCAAAGTGCTATGGGTTCATGGCCCTCCGGCATTTGGAAAGTCTGTTCTATGTGCATACATCGTCCAAGAGCTTCGTAACAAGACCCAATTCCCAGTTTACTATATCTTCTGTTCTGCAGAGAGTGAATCCTTAAGAGATCCCAGTTCGATCCTACGCACGTGGATATATCAGGCTCTTTACAACGAGGAGTCGGTACTGGAGGCGGTCTTACAATATCTCGAGACATGCGAAAGAACAAGAGCCACGTATTCGGATCTATGCCATTTACTCCGGGAAGCCTTGTCCCATATTCCAGACGCTATATTCGCTGTGGACGGTTTGGATGAGTGCCCACGGTCAGGCACATTCGGCCTGAATTTACGCTACAGCAGAAGCGATGTTTTACATGACTTGATGGAGCTTCTTTCAGGCTCAAACGCTCGAATGCTTGTGGTGAGTCGTGACGAAGGTGATATCAGATCTGAAGTTGGTTTGCACGCTGCGACGCGGCCTGGATTGGCGCTATCTGAATTGGCAATCACGCGGGAGCTTGTTACTCCGGATATTGAACGGTTCACAAAACACGTTGTTACCCAGAAACTACCCGGAAAGACAGACGAGTTTCAACAGGAGCTCGCAGCTCAGATGGCAATGAAGTGCGACGGCATGTTCTTATTGGTTCGACTTCAAAGCCGAGACCTGCGGCCACTGAAAGGAAACAAGCAACTTCGGCGTATGGTTAATGACATGCCTACTGAGCTCGCCCGGGTATACGAGCGAGATTGGAAAGATATCCAAACTTTCTCGAATGTAGACAGGCAACGGGCAGAAGCGATCCTTCGTTGGGTCACTTTTGCGCAGCGCTCGCTCACTATTACAGAGCTTTCTGAGGCCGTGGCCGTCTTGGATAACGACGAAGACGATGGCCCAAAATTTGATGATTTGCCAGATCCATTTGATCAGGGCTATGTTCATTCCGAAGTACTGGGTCTATGTGGCTCCTTCCTGGAACTTCGATCTTCGGGCACTGCTACTGACTGGGAATCTCAAACAGTCCACTTGATTCATTTTTCTGCAGTCAATTTTCTTGCTGGCCAACAGCAGACTGCGCCATTCGCTGATACGATGTTACAGAACTATTATCTGGCCCTGGATTGTCTCAAGTACTTGGACCAGGAGCAGTCCTGGCGTTTTGAAGACGACAAGAGAAGCCACATTATCCAGCAACGATGCTTTTCCAAATACGCTATTGCAGCATGGTATGAACACGTGAATAGATCTCATCAGTATCAGAATAAGATCCAGCCACACCTGATGTCATTTTTTAAATTACCAAACGCGAGCTGGGACAACTGGCGAAAGCAATATGAGGCTTCCCAGGCTACACCTTCGGCATCCTCAGGATCTGAGAGAGGTTATCCACAGAACCAAGATTTCCCTGGCGGAAGAATGTATTATGCAGCCCTCTTCGGCCTACGGGAGGTGGCAGAATGCCTTCATAATAGGGGAATGGCCGGCATTGACGACCTCGGCGGATTTTATGGAACCCCGGTGCAAGCCGCCAGTTCGCAAGGGAACATGGACGCGCTCCTCTTTCTGCTCAAGCAGGGAGCTGACATCCTATCCCACGGTCGATATGGCAGCGCCCTTCACGCAGCAGCTACTTATAATCGAGAAGAGACCGTCCGGAGGTTATTAAAGCATGGAGCATCGGTATCAGCTACGGACAATCACGGCAGGACTCCCCTATACATCGCAGTCTCGTTTGGAAATCATGCAACAGCTCAGATTCTGATCGACGGTGGTGCAGAGATCTCATCCGGAGAGAAAACTGGCTTTACACCTCTCCATTTTGCTATACACTTAGGCGATCTCGAGATGGTCAAAATGCTTCTTCGAAACGGTGCAGATCACTCAATGGCCAACGATGAAGGGAACACGCCTCTTCATCTGTCAGCTTGGCACGGCCACACTGAGGTATCCAGACTGCTCCTTGAGGCTGGCGCAGACGTCAAATCAACCAACCGGTATGGATATACCGCACTGTCCTATGCAGCTTTCGATGGCCATGTTGAAATATGCCAGTTACTGTTAGGTCTTGGTGCAGACCACACGGTCGCAGATCAAAACGGTCTAACTCCTCTGCATGTGGCAGCCGAGGGTGGTTGCACCAATGGTATCATTAACCTTCTCCTAGATTTGGGAGCAGACCCAGAGGCACAGAATAAAGATGGCCATACCCCTCTATACCTGGCAGCCCGCCACGGCCACTTTGAGCTGGTTAAGTCTCTTCTCGAGTATGGTGCCGATACTGCCGCTGTTGATAATAAGGGTCGGAGCCCTATACATTTCGCGGCCCAGCATAGTCACCGTGAAGTCGTCGAAGTACTTCTGAATTCTGGTGCAGATATCACAGCGTCCGACAGCTATGGGAATACTCCACTGCACTGCGCATCCTACAGTGGTCAGCATGAGGTGGTTCAACTTCTTCTCCATTCTGGCGCAGATATCTCAGCAGTCGATGCTGCCCAATGGACCCCGTTGTACTCGGCAACTGTGTTAGGCAATGCTGAGATTGTCCAGTTGCTGATTGAATCCGGGGCAGAAGTTAATTCAAGGGCAGACGATGGAACTACACCACTGCACGTGGCCTTCCGAAATAGACATGAGGGGACAGTTCTAGTGCTTCTGGACAACCAAGCGTCATTGGATTGTCTTGACTATCAAGGTCTACCACCATGGCAGTACGCCAGTGCCCAATTTCGAGCTAAAATCCCCCAGTGCAGCAAAATTGAATCCTCCACCGGAGACCCTTGGGAGAAATTTGCTAGGCAGACCATTCGGAATCTCGCTAGAAGGATGGTACCTATGACTAAAAAGAATGCCTCCTTTCTGAGTGACTTATCAAAGTATCTTACTCAGATAGGAGACTTCGCGTCCGCCTCGATTGTTCACAACCAAAATATTGTGGTCGACGCTACGACGGGAGATATCTATCATGGAGTAATTTGTAATTCCTGTCACGATTCGATTGTGGGCATCCGATACCCCTGCAATACGTGTGTCGACTACGACCTATGTCATTCCTGTATGAGCCGGTACGGAGATGGTGGAGCCAGCTTTGGTGCTTGTACTAACCATGAGTTTCTTCGGGTCCCCAGTGAGGATTGTACCCGTGATCAGCATACAGATGTATATACCAAGGAATTTGTTTCGTGGTTGAAGGAGCTTGCGCTTAAATACAGAAGCGAAGACCCATGAATGGGGCTGCTTCTTTTACAAGACCCGAATGATTTTCTTCCAGTCCGAAATTGCGAGATACCCCACGCTCTAATGCTGGTGCGATATGGCAGACTATTGATGCTAAATGCTTTTTGCTCACCAGAGTTGTTCACGTCTGAGTAGTTGACAGTCATGACTGTTATACGTGGTAATTTCTGTTGAAATATCGCTAAATCAGTATTGAACACGGTTGTAGTTTTGGAAAGGGTTCTGGTGTACTATTTTACGTAGCAAAAAATGATTGCCTTAACTTTTTACATTAATTTTGGCCTGAAAGAGGTTTACCAGATATACTCCAATGGGAAAAATGCATTAGCCCTCAAGGAAAAAAGAAAGCGGGCATTTGGTAGTAAAGGAAACAAAAAGTACAGTCGTCAATGACCATTTTGCCATAATTGTGTTCTCCGATAGTGTAAGCATTGAAGACGCTGGCTACTAAATCAGTATCACCTCTTTAGCTCTTTAGGCCTCAGGTGTTGCTATTGTTAGCCGATGATCAAATCATTCAGGCCAAAGCCGACGTTTTCCGACTGGGCTTGGGCAACATGTGAGAACAATGTGCAGCCAAGAATCGTGACGGTCGACGAGATGTCATAACGCGTTTTATCAAGAACAATCAGTTCCCCAAGCGCCTCCTCTCCCGAAGGCACGCTGAGGATTTCTCTCTAAGGCTTTCTACCTTTGATTTTGTTTCGGCCCAGCAGCTATGGTATGGCCTATGGTTCCCCAGGATTAAAACGACGATTTAGAAAGCCACGATCCATCGTCGCCAGAGAGATGTCAGAATACTGGACGTCGATCATTTTGCCTGGCTACCCCGGAATAGAATTGCGGGTCACCGTATGCATAATCACTAAACTGGTCCCATCTGTGTGACTGTTATATTGTGATCCACTGACTGAGCTGTCGATTACAGGACATACCTTTTCCCCTCAGGAGAGCTGATCTTCGAATAAAACCAATGGATCTGCATCGTACCACTTTCACAGTGCATCAGGCGCGCTATCGCATCACTATTTAGATTCCCGGTCTATCCCAACCTCGTTGGACATACTTGATTAGTGAATTTCCCAAAATTCAGCCACGATGAACAGTTCACTTTCTCTACGTTTTAAACCACCACCTAATGACCTAATTCAACTTCTTCCATTTGATATCCACCATACCCGACTAAGCCCACCACCATTTGCAAAAAGGTCCTGGATTAGGCCTTTCAATATATCTGTCTGGGTGTGCGATGTTTCCCTCGACATCTCTTTTCCCCTTATTGTCGCTAGCTCCTACGTCTTAACTGTCTCCTACCTCAACTCGATTAACCGCAGGAAGCATAACAAACCATCGCGGCTCAGCCAGAGCCCCCAATTTCATCGTTTCGTCGTTCTGCATAACATTGGCTTGTCCCTATTTTCCTCATGGGTTTTTCTGGCCTGATTTGCACCCTACACGCATCCCTTCCATCATTGAAGCAGGGAGACTATTTCGTCCATGCCACTGCGACACTATGCGAGGTAGAAGGAAGCTTCGGTCTCGGGGATCACACAGCTACCGATAGCGGTATCGATGGGCTCTAGCAACAAGGCTTGGGATACTTCAGCTGGGTCATGTACATGTGAAAGTTTTACGAGGTGTTGGATAAACTCATCTTGATTTCCAAGGGAAAGCAAAGTAAAGTGTTACAGACCTACCACCATGCAGGGGTAATGGTCTATGCCTGGGCTCTCGTTCGCTCCATATCCCCTCACTGTCTTGTGGCCGCCCTATTGAACAGTGGCGTCCATGCCTTGATGGTGGGCTTCATAATAAGGGAAGGGAAGGGTAAAACTGCCATTCTATGCTGATTTTTTGCCTCTGTCCTAGTATCTCTACTACTTTCTTCGTACGGCAAAAATTGTGGTCCCCTTCCGCATTAAGCGCGCCTTAACAGCTGTACAAATCGCCCAGTCCACATTCGGCTACGTAGTGTGCCTCTGTTACATGTTTATTGCATATGATACACTACCCTCTGGACATTCAATCGACAATGTCGATATTAAGCTGCAGAAAGGGGGCGCGTGCGCGCGTCCCTATCTTCAGACACCTGGTTACCTGGCCCCTATGCTTTTGAAGTATTGTATCATGGTCCTTTGGTCTACTTGTTTATACAGCTCTTTATTCGTTCATCTCTATCCATGGGCAAAGGGAAGGTAGCTTGATCTGGTGGTATCAAAGGGCTAATTATATCTCATAATTGCATGAAGATGTAAACAATGCCCAATATGTTTGTACCTTAGTTGGGTACTATCACTACTCCTTTAATATAAGCTCTAGGGTGAGTTCAGGATTTTGGGTTTCGTTACTTGACTGGGGAAAAAGGTGCACCATGGCTCAAGACGTTGTGAAAACCCCAGAATGAAAGCCACAGCAAAGCGACGGTACCATGACGGGATTCAAATAATCATGAGATTCCCTCAGAATGCTCACTAAGAATATACGCATGCCTTATGGCAAGAAGGTTACACGCTGCATTGGAATGATTGTATATTGCGCGGTTGAACGCCAATGTGGCACCCTTTCCAATGTAGGAACAGATCACTTTGAGCACCCGAGGGCATAGGTCCACCCAGGCTCTCTTTAGTAGAGCAGCCGTTTAATGTGCGTAATTTTTCATATGGCTCTTCGAGGGCAATCAGTAGAAGCGTCATGGATTTACTCTATCTAGTGTATATTCAAGCCGGATGTTTCTTAGGCAGCAGGACTTCAAGTGAATGCAAGATATATCTGTACTAAGAAAGAAAGCACAACCCAGATGATGCGTCACCTTCCCATACTCAAACAAATCATGGCTAGTGTATAAAAGACGTGATGTGTTCGTCACGCATACTGGGAGCGATCACTCCACCCGGGTCTCAGGTATTCGCTATCAAACAGAGGATCAAATGCTGAGCGATGCACACCCATCACCTTCCATTGTACCTCAACTGATACCCCAGCCTCATCCATATTCCAGATGCTGAGACCAATGGTATTGTAGCCATTGTAGTTGAGAATACCGGGGAACACTGTGATGCACATTAGTGTCCGACAATCCCATGTGGATATAGAAAGCAGTAGAGACAGGCCGTTTGGCATGGTCCTCTGACAAGTACTTACCGGGGAAGGTTGTTGCATTTGAGATGAAGGGCAAGGTCTTTGCAAACTGATACCCATTGACATAGAGCTGAGCCCGAAGTTTTGCCTTCTTCTCAGTATGCAACTGGAATGCTAAGCTGGCATCATAGCCCTTGGGAATCTCCAATGGCACAACAGTCCGGTAGAAGCGTGATCCAGCTCCAGTGAATCCGTCAACTGGGGCTCCAGACTCCCAATCGCTGTCATCAAAACCAGGAAGATGCCAGCCAAGGCGCTCAGCATGTAGACCACCTTCATTGTATGTACCACGCACCGGTTCGAGGAGATGGTTCCCACCAGCGTTCCCGGCGACCTTCCAAGAGGAGAAATTGGTAGCCGAGCCATCCGCAGCATACAATGTAGCATTGAGAATGCCTCGTGGATCTGGTGCAGCCTCACGCTGCTCTTTGCCCATAGTGTCTTGGATGACAAGTATAACGTTCTCATCGTTTGTCTTGAGGGTAGCATTCTGGAACGACACCTCTAACTCTCCGGTTTTATTGGACATCGATCCGAGCCAGGATCCAAGGAATTCGCCGTTGACATAGACTGAAAAGCCACTTGCAAGACCGCCGATGACACGAAGGTAAGCACCCGAGGGCATCTCATCCTCTGAGGCATTGAAGTGGCCTCGCCACAGGATGTTGCCGGCTTGGTAGCCATACTCATCGGCGAACAGAACCGGGTAGGTATCAGGGGGAACGAAATGGGGGGTTTGCATATGGTCGGCGTCTGTAAGGCAACCGGTCAGTTTAAGAACATCGAAACGTTCAGAAAGTCTATTACTCACTAGTCCAATTGGAGTCATCATATTCTGCTGCTGCCTCTGGGAGATTATCCGCTACTTTCCAGTCACTAAGGCTGGGCAGATCGGCAGTCAGGCTTTCGATGGTAACCTCCGGAGCAGGAAGAGTGCTGATCAGGCTTCCGTACTTTGACACCGAGGCTTTGAGTTTAGAGCCGTTGAAAGTGACATGTTTCACCTTCTTCGGGGCCCAGATCTCGATATCGGTCTCCTCGTCCCAGTCACCTGTGACGTGCATCGTATTGCCCTTTATTTCTGCCGTGCGGACGAGATACGGCCCGTGGACGAGCACTGTCGAGACTAGTTAGTCCATGCGTATGGTAGTATAATTCCAGTGGAATGACCTACCTGTAGAATTTTCCCATGCGAGAGGGTCGTTATCCAAGGTAGGAGCCCAGAACTTGTAAGCGGACTGGCGATCAACCACAACAGCTTGGACATTGTTGCTGTAGTCAATGACGGTATTTTCTGTGCCTGTGACGACGTTCGTCACAAGTCCGTTCCGAGTCCTAGTGATCGTATCATTATTGCCGCTTCCTCTCATAACCTTGCCTGACTTTGCGTTTTGAAGCAAGAACTCCCCCTGTTCGTCTTGAGGGGCCCAGAATACGACTACCTGGCGGTCCCCTAGATCGCTCACCGCGAGAACCTCCAAGGTAGAATAAGTGATTTTCTTTCCAGATGACCCGATTCTGAAGTCGGTGACCAGAACCTTCGACTCTGTTCCATTAAGAGTAATAGATCCCTTCCTCGGGACCGTTAGGTTGCCAATCTCAGTGGTAACATGAAGACGGAATCTGGTCAGGTCTGTAGATGGTGAGTAGTCATGGCGGGTAACATAATAGGCAGCGCCAGTATCAGGGTTGCGGAGCTCCGTTGTGAATATGTCAGTATCTGTAGCGTAGTCCGTGCCGTTTCCTACTCGCTCGACTTTTGTGAAGTCACGCGCAGATCGCATGAACAGACCAAAAAGCTTGCCTTCGTTGTACTTGTCACCGATCAGACGGTTTTCGTGGATAGGTGCTGAGTAGTCATAGCTAGTGCCGACCTCGGGGAAGCCAATGTTACCCCAGTTTGTGCCTCCGTAAAGCATGTAAATGTTGACTGCAGATACCTTCTGGGCCAGGTTGTGGCGGAAGAATAGGTTTACCCATTCAGGTCCAATGTTCTCCTTACAGCCGCCTTCAGGTCCATCCCAAGGGTTGAACGAGCCCCCCTGGAACTCCATGAGGAAGGAGGGCTGCGTTCGCGAGACCTCCTGAAAGTGATCGTAGTAGTCAAACACAGTGTACGGCTCCACATGGCCGTTGGTAGGGAGACATTGAGCCAGGTTGCAAGTCCAACATGCTGGGTAGTGATCGAGGCCATACATGTCGACCTCACCACCGGCGTTGCTGTAGTCCTTCGACCACGATCGCGTCCACATATTGGGGTTGTTGTGCGATAGAGGTACATTGATTTCCCACTCCCTGTGTTTGTCTTGAAGGAGCTGCATATAGTTGATGGCCGTCTCATTGGGTGTCTTCAACTCCCCATCCAGCCACTGATTGCCATACTCATTTTCGATCTGCCAGATGATGATAGGACCACCATTGGTGATGAGATGTGGCCGGACATATTCCGCAACCGCTTCGGAGTATCGCGTCCAGGCCCTTGTATATTCTTCGCTATCATCGCGAAGAGGGCCGTATTCTCCAGTCGTCAGCCAGCCAGGGAAGCCTCCGCCGTTCGCTTCGGCGTTGCTGTACGGCCCGGGTCGGTAGACAACGTAAAGGCCGATTTCCCTTGCGAGCGCAAATGCCTTGGCAAAATCATGAGCGCCGGTCTCGAAGTCCAAGGTCTCGTTGTTGGGGGCGTGCCATCCCCAGTGCTCATACAGGCCTATTCCGTTGAAACTGATTTCATGAGCACCGCCCCACTTGGATAAAAGTCTCTGATGAACATCGCTTACCCAGCGGCTTTGATTTTCTGGAAGATATCGCGCCATAACTCGGGCACAGGGATTCGCCATAGGTGCAACTAGCAGAATCATGAGATTTTGGTGATTCCGGTGGAACTGAATTCCTACTCACTTCTCCTGACCAAAGAAACAACCGTTCTTCATTCACCTGGATACTGTAGTGATCCCTACAGGACATATAAGTACCTTGGTGCTCATTGTGCATTGAAGACCTGAGAGGCTTACCATTGGATAACTTTGTTGAGGCCATTGTCATGCAACGGCCAGTCTTGCGCTGTCGAATGAGCGACTAAGCCTGCAGTAGCTATGACAGCACTCAGCGCGTGCCGCAGCTTCATTGTCGCAAAAGAGAACGAAAGGTCGATCGGAATGCAACTGGAATATAATTGTCAGGTACAATTAAAAAGTGCCCTCATGAGTTAATCACTGCCTTTGAGATCAGCATGCCCTCTTCGTGTCTTTTATACTTGCTGTAGCAGGAACGATCGCCAAAACACCTCCTACTCCGGGATTTTTCCGTTTCTACACTTCCCCGCAGGATCATAACCCCGGATTCCCCTCCCAGGAAGTGTGTTCCTACGCATTCTCTTGGCAATGTTGGGGGTGCTGAGGACATCCGAGTCGTACATAGTATGATCAAGCGAGTCGGAAATATTTGGACAGCGATCTACCAATATCCGTCTTGGGTATTTCTTTCTTGGTCGTTCATCTGTTCTTCGGCCGAATGTAAATATTGGGAATCACACCACTTTGCATATCCGATGGCTGTCAATTCGCCGAAGCCCCCAGGGGCACATACATCCCTTGAAACCTAAGTCGAGATCCCTGAGGCATTAGGCACTCTCGGTGCGAACCGCACGGCTTGGCACCCAAAGCCTCTCCGTAGCAATAGCTATTGTGCCCGGTCTCCATAGATACCCCTAGAGGTCCAGGTAATCGGATATCTCGTGACATAGCCATCTTAGTTCCGTTTGCGTTCATTATTGCTCATTATACCGTATTCAAATATATTGTTCTTCGTGCTCTTCTTTGAATGTTCTTCGATAGATCCACGAGATATTCGATGGTGCAGAAAACTGGAAAAAGTCAGCATGAACAAGGGAGTGGCACGGAAAAGGCGAGTGAGGCGCCACTGAACCCCTTGTTTCAGAGTAGAACATCCGATTATATCTACCTTGTTGCCAAGACTGCTAGTTGGACTAACATCAATCAGAGCTGTCTCGGTTGGGCTCTTTTCTCCACATCTGCTTTGAAGCTTCTTGCGCAGCCGAAGATTGCTCGTCCGTATATAATGGACAAAAGTTCCAGCAATTGAGACTGTGCGAGCAAAAGCATTCTCTATTTTTTTCCCCAAACCCGCCATAAATCATGCTCACCGCCCTCGTGCCACTTTTGATGTCCATGACATGGCCAGCTGCCTCAGCCTCCGCATGCGAAATTCAGCCCAGAGAGGATCCTTTGCAATATGTCGGCGTTGACTGGTCCTCTGTCCTAGTCGAAGAACGGGACAATAGCGTCGTTTACAAGAATTCCCAGGGTATCGAGATGCCCCTAGAGAATATTCTTGCAGAAGCTGGCGTCAACATGGTCCGTCAGCGTGTTTGGACAGTTGACGGAGACTATGGAATGCAGTACAATCTGGAGTTGGCCCGCCGGGCGACCGATGCAGGCTTGATGTTTGGCCTTAATCTTCACTACAGCGATACATGGACCAATCCTAACCTGCAAGACATTCCCACCGGCTGGCCACAGGATATCGACTCGCTCGAAACGCAATTATACACCTATACAAGCGAAGTGTGCGAAACCTTTGCGGCAGAGGGCCTCTATCCCGAGATAATCACCATCGGCAACGAAATCCCCTCGGGGATGCTCTGGCCAACAGGGTATATTGATAACCCAGAGAACCTGGCCCGCCTCCTACACACTGCCGCAATGGCCATTCGGGATTCTTCACTGGGCAGTCGCACGAAGATCGTGACACACCTCGCCCATGGAGATGACAGCGAGCTACAGCATTGGTTCTACGACCTGGTCCTGGGCACCGGCTTTTTGTCCGTCGACGACTGGGATGTCATCGCCGTTTCTTTCTACCCGTTCTGGGGCCAAGGTGCGACGATGGACGCGTTGACGACGAGTCTGACTAGTTTGTCGACAAAGTACAATAAGGAGGTCCAGGTCGTTGAGACAAATTGGCCAACACAGTGCTCCAACCCGGAGTACCCGTTTCCTTCGGATCAGTTAGATATCCCCCTGAGCTCAGCCGGCCAGACTGAATATCTCCAGCGGCTGGCTATGACCCTCAAGGCGATTCCGGGCGCAACTGGCCTTAACTATTGGGAGGCTGCATGGATTAATAATGCTGTTCTTGGATCTTCTTGTGAGAGTAATGTGATGTTCGGTCCGAATGGCCAAGCATACGACAGCCTGTCCGTTTTAGGTACGCTGTATTAGTTTGATTGTAATTGGTTTCTGTGTACATATTTTCGCGTCTTCTCAACAGGATCAAGGAGGGAGGGAGGGAGACAGTATTGACCAACATGTTTAGCTCCGTAGGAAGCTTTTTCTATTTGGATTCATAGTTCATGGGTAAATACATCACCACGTGGTTACTTCCGAAATCTCAATAGCGTCATCCCAATCTCACGCCATGGCGTCTCTCCCAAGCCCTGTGTCGGTCGCGAAAGACCGTCTATACGGTGACTATTTTGACTATTCTGCACCATTGGTACTGGATCCCATGCTATACTCATAGTTTGTCTCGGATTGGATCGCCCCCCAATACCATGATTGCCTTTTGTGGCTGAGAATACCTTTTATCTACCTACCGGATGTGACTGTACCGGGGCAATGTTGTCAAATCTAGCATGGAGTTATGGTTATAAGTCTCGATAACAACCTCCATGACCTATACTATGCGTCACTCAAGAGTCTTATTCTCTCGCAATAGTAACATCTATGCCTAGCTGTTTTACTGGTCGACATTCGTAAAGTGGACATGTTTTCATTGTCTATCAGCAATTCCGGGGCATACTGAAGCAGAAGTCAGTGCGTAACCAGTATCGGAGGATTCCCGACGGATAAAATTGCTACTATTTTATTGGTGCATAGGCTCCGCTGATACTGAAGCGGACGAAAGGGCTCAACCGAGGACCGGAAAAGACTGATCAGTCTAGGAGGATTCCTAGCGCTCCTTCTCAAGTCTTTCTCCAACATCCGATTGGCATCAGGTCCGCCCGCAAATTGAATAGTCTCCGCGTTTTACCCCGGACCTGCTCTAGTACCCCGGAGAATGTGCCTACCAGACGAAGTAATCATGCACAGAAACGCTTTTCTTATATGGATGCATTTAAAGGCCTTGGGTCCCTATGTTGTGGCTTTCGTTCCGTTGATCCACTGGTTTTACGAATAATTTCCATTTGAGTTGTTCATTGCTCTCCTGCAGGAGGCCCAAACAAAAATGGCCATCGATACGGAGACTACCAGTGGAACGGCTGACGTATCAAAGATCGAAGCTCCTATCTCCTGGAAGGCATATGTGATTTGCGCTTCAGCTGCCTTTGGCGGTGTGTTCTTTGGCTATGATATCGGGTGGATGTCAGGGGTGCTCGGCACGCCGTTTGTGATCCAGCAATATACCGGCATGGAGTATGACTTTGACGCTGGCGCTCCGGTCGATCCTTCTCGTCCGTTCGTGATTCCATCCTCTGACAAGTCACTCATGACTTCAATCCTGTCACTTGGAACCTTCCTGGGTGCGATTATCGCAGGCGACCTAGCAGATCTCTGGGGCCGTCGCATCACCATCCTCATGGGCTGTGTTATCTTTAGTGGCGGCGTCATTATCCAAATTGCCAGCAGTGGCCAATTGGCAGTCATGACTATCGGCCGTTTGGTTGCTGGTCTCGGTGTTGGTTTCGAGACTGCAGTCATTATCCTCTACATGTCTGAGGTTTCACCGAAGAAGATTCGTGGTGCTGTTGTTTCTGCTTATCAGTTCTCTATGTACGTCTGCCTCGAGTCACTGTTTTGTCTGAACAGTACTGACACATCGTTCACAGCACAATTGGGTTGTTGATTGCAAACTGTGTTGTTTATGGAAGCCAGGGGAGAAATGATACGGGCTCTTACCGTATCCCCATCGGCGTCCAGTTCATCTGGGCTCTTGCACTTGCGACGGCTCTGTTTCTCTTACGTACATCCTTCCCTTCACGTATTCCATATGGATGCAGATGTACTGACGCCCACCTCCAGCTGAATCACCCCGATACTTTGTTAAGAAAGGAAAGCTTGACGAAGCAGCCAAATCACTCTCTTTCATCCGAGATCAGCCAGTCACTTCCGAGTATATTCGCAACGAGCTTGCAGAAATCGTGGCGAACCACGAGTACGAGTCTCATGTCAGTCCTGAGAACGGATATATCGGCTCCTGGATGGTCTGCTTCAAAGGTCCCATCACCAACCCCAGTTCAAACATTCGAAGAACCATTGTCGGTGCGGGAATCCAGGGAATGCAGCAGCTATCCGGCATGAACTTTATCTTCTATTACGGGACGACGTTCTTCCAGCAGCTTGGAACAATCTCCGACCCGTTCCTCATGTCTCTGATTACGACCCTAGTGAATGTTGTGTGCACCCCTCTCGCGTTCTGGACAATCGAGCGATTTGGCCGCCGCCCATTGCTAGTATATGGGGGCCTCTGCATGTTTCTCATGCAGTACATTATCGGTGCCGTTGGAACAGCACAGCCGGAAAATGAAACGGCAGTCAAGGGTATGATTGCGGTCATCTGTTTCCAGATCTTCTTCTATTCGACGACATGGGGTCCAGCCGCCTGGGTGGTTGTTGGAGAGACCTTTTCACTCCCCATCCGGTCGCGTGGAGTGGCCATCTCAACGGCTTCCTGCTGGTTATGGAACTGTGTGCTTGCTGTGATTGCACCGTACATGACTGGTGATGAAGAGGGAGCCGTCAACCTCGGACCAAAGGTGTTCTTTTTCTGGGGCGCACTTTGTCTGTTGGGTGCATGCTTTGCATATTTCCTGGTTCCTGAGATGAAGGGCCTGTCGCTGGAGCAGGTAGACCGTATGTTGGAGGAGACGAGTCCCAGAAACAGTGCCAAATGGACGCCTACGACGACATTCACGCAGGGAAAGGGCCATTCTGACCAGACCGAAGTGGTCCAGGCCGAGGATCACGCTGACCGCCACGTATAGATTGTTCAGGATGGATGTGCTGTTAGGCCATGGTCAAAAGATGTTTGAGATAGGGGGACATGGGGACAGGGTAGATCCTAGGATTGGTTGTTATTCGGTAGTAATTGATGTTCAGATGAAGACGTATTCTCCAGCTGTAATGTAAGAAAGAGTAGTTAGAACACTGACATTCGATTTAAGAGATGTGCACAATTCCTGTTGGCTCCCAAGTCTTGTCGTCTCGTCATGTTCAGGCTAGCCAGCCCCTTGTCCCTAAAATTTTTTAGCCGTTGCCAAACCAGGGCACCTGTTCAATGGCCCATCAATGGAGCTCGCCACGACTCGTCAGCCAGCTAGTGTCGCATTGCGAACCTCTAATCTAGATATACGCAGCGAGAGTGTTGCATAGGTCACGGGCCCCGCACTCCGGGCACTAGTCTGCCGTGAGCCTCCGACCAAATTCAACCTCATCTCCTTGACAGATCCTCCACGCTGAGACGATCCCGTGTGTGAAATGCAGTCTCCTGCAGCCCAGGACGACTTTGCCTTGCCCAGAACACCCAATTCAGGGGATGGATGGCCCCGGAGATCGAGTCGGATCCGGGTCACGCGTGCCTGCGACCGTTGCAAGAAGTAAGTCAAGTGAGACCACCGCTAGCAGTGGCGCTATTTCAACACCTTTCCCTGATATCAATTGTCCTGCAATAGTGACTGAAATGAATCACAGGAGAAAGGTTCGCTGTAATGGCCACCAACCATGCGATGTGTGCCTTCTGGCGGCGGTGACTTGCTCCTACAATGCCTCGTACACGAGAGGCAGACGACCAGCCATTCGCGTTACCCGTGTTGGGCCTTCGCCTAAACTCGCTGCGAATCCACCACCTGCCCAAGTTGACAGCCAGCCGCCGGCGAGTGTGCTCAACAACGACAGAAATGACATCAACGACACCACCCCCAGCCGTCCAGGTGCCGTGGATGAAACACTGAGCCTTGCGTCCCGGCAGGATGAATCCATGTCGCTCACCGACCCGATCTCTCGTGCATCGCCCCAGCCGACCCAGATAGATCTCCAGGGCCACTATGTAGGTCCCTCATCGGGTATCTCGTTCCTCTCCCGAGTTCAGAGCCGGTTTGGGCAGTCGGTATCGTTTCCGCGCGGCTTATCCGTCTTCAACTTCGGTGACGCCCCATTGCTTCACCAGGATACTCATCTGAACGCTGGAAATGTTACATCGTCGTATGCCGATCCGACATTGGCTCTGTTGCTCAACCGAGAAGACACAGCCCGTCTTCTTCGGAGGTACTTTGATTTCGCAGTACCCGTCGACCGCTTTCTACATCGACCAACTATCGAGCAATGGTACGAGGAGTTTTATGAGACCAGAGGTCTAATGCACGACAGGAATGCGGCACCCACTCAGATAGCCGTACTATTCATGATCTTTGCTATCGCACAGGAGCATTCGATTCACAACTCTTCCCCTACAGAAGCCGAGACGAGGTTTGTACCTCTTCTCCTAGACCGTTCGCCGTCTTATCGATCCGGGGAATGCTAAGAGAAGCCTACAGTGTTCGATACTTTGAAGCAGCGAATCATCAATTGTCCAAAGAGCAGGGAACGGTGAGGCTTGCAAGCATCCAAGTTCGTCTCTGCCAATGCCTCTGGTTCCTATCACAGTCACGGATCAACCACTGCTGGAGCCTTTTCGGGACGATCGCTCGTTTAATGTTTGCTCTTGGGCTACATAGAAATAGACACGCGTTCTCAAACTCCATGACCCAGATCGAGATTGAGTGTCGTCGCCGCACATTTTGGAGCGCCTACAGTCTCGACAACTATCTTAGCATGGCCCTTGGGAGGCCGCGCACTTTCAATGATAAGGATATTGATCAGGAGCTCCCTTCATGTGTGGACGACCACGAGATCGATGGCAACATAAACAGGTCTGTCTCGCCTTGCGGACACGGACTATCTGCCATGTTCGGACCAATAAGCTATGCAAGGTAATTTTGACTCTCAATATTTGTCCCATCGAAAGCTGACATCGGCTTGCCACAGGTTATGTCGGATATTGAGTGGTGTTCTGAGTGACATCTACTCGATCCAACCAATGACCATGACTGAACGGATCGATCATACAGCGACATATATGAAACAGCTGAAAACATGGCGCATGGAAATGGCCAGTTTTCTCGATCAAACGAACTCCAACGCCGCCCCATTGGTTTTGATTTTCCAGCGACAGAAGAATGTGCTAAATCTAGCATACTGGCATACAGCAATTCTAACGAATCGCCCACTCCTACTCACTAATTTTGCCCGATTGACAAACAGCACCCGCACACGGCAACCAGGGGAAGACGAGCGCAGGGCTCATATCGATGAGAGTGTCTCCGAGTGTCTGCATGCTGCACTGGAAATTGTCGGCATAGTGGACATGATGACCAAAGCAAAGCAACTCCTTCGTGCCTTCTGGGTATGTGGTTTCTCCACAGAGAGTTTCAGGAACGTTACTGATGTAAGCCTACAGTTTACTCCCTATTTTGCTTTCTCTGCGTCTGTCATCCTGTATGTCTACACCATACAACACAGCAAGGAGCCGGAGGAAGTTTATCGGCTATACCTCGCCGCCGCAGAGCGCTGTCAGCAGCAGATCATGAACATAGCCGAAGAAGGATCCTTGACTTCCCGATACTGTGTTGTCCTGGAAGAGCTGCGTGCCGAGGCCGTCCGACAAATTGCTCCAGCTGAGGCCTATAAAGAGCGACCAGCGCAGCCTTCTTCCACAATGGAGACAAGGACTGAGGAAATTGAGCCCTTTGCTTCGAATATAGGAGATCTGCCAGCAGGATTCTCCATAATATCCCCAGACTTTGCAGCGATGGGTCAGCTGGATGATTTACACGTTAGTCCTGGTGACTCTCTGGAGGACCTAACAGGGTGGGGCCAGTTTGATTCGATGGTAGGGACTAAGTACACAATGCATTCTGAATGTCAGGTATCTAACGAGGTTCATTTTCAGGTTGTGTCTGGCTTCAATAGCGTGTATCATTTCAACTAATGCCCCTTCCCCCGAGTGTACTAAGTTTGGATTGACGGATCTTCTCAAAAGCTACAGCCATGATAGTCCCAGACAATCGATGTGACGTTTTTCATGATGCCCACACCAGGCACTCCCTGAGATACACCAAGAGCGCTTAACCGACCTCGGAATGCATGGTTGCCGCGCGTTGCTGTCCTTGTTCAACATGAGGACGACGGATCCATCGGATAATTCGGACCAATCAAAGCCCCATTTACTTTCCGACGGAAACCCACCTCACCGCCCACTCCGCCCTACTCAGCCTGCTTTTCCGAGACTACATAGGTGTGGCGGGGTTGAGAAATTCCTTGATGTTTATCATGCGACCCCAAGCAGTACCTTGACACCTTAACTGTGCAGCATACCCTTGCAACTGCCCAAACATGTCTCTCCAAGGCAAGGTCATTGCCGTGACAGGCAGCGCCAGCGGCATCGGCCTAGCGACCGCCAAGCTCATCTCACAACGTGGGGGAACGGTCTGCATCGCCGATGTCAACTCGGATGTCCTCAGTGAAGTTGAATCATACTTCACCTCCATCACACCATCTGTTCCATACATGATCTCAAAAGTTGATGTTGCCAATAGACAAGAAGTAGAAAGCTGGATCACTGAGATCAAGGACAAACACGGTCGTCTTGATGGAGCGGCCAACGTTGCAGGCGTCATCGGAAAAGACCACGGCATTAAGTCGGTAGCAAACCTGGACGACGATGAATGGCACAAAATCATCGGTGTCAACCTGACAGGATTGATGTACTGTCTCCGGGCAGAGCTCAACAATATCAGTGATGGTGGGTCGATTGTCAACATGGCCTCCATTCATGCCACAACTGGTCAGCTTTCCCTTCTACTAATGTTTCAAACACCCTTGCTCTAACGGTCCTCAGGCGTTGCCAACCATGGTGCATATGCTGCGAGCAAACATGGCGTTCTGGGTCTCACTCGGGTTGCTGCGAAGGAAAATGGCTCCCGAGAGGTTCGAGTCAATGCCGTTGCGCCGGGACCAATTTATACCCCCATGATGCAGGGCTTTTATGATCGGACCGGACGACCAGCAGATACGCCGTTCGACGACCCTATCGCATTCCGACGTCAGGGTACTGCTGAAGAGGTGGCAAATGTGATTGGATTCTTACTGGGGCCTGAAAGCGCTTTCGTCAGTGGGAGTTGCTACTCGGTCGATGGCGCTTGGATTTGAGGGTCATAAATAATCACACTTAATGTTGATAGGCTTTGCTTGTTTCCGATAACGGGTACTTCCTGAGTTCAATTGAGTACGGCCCGTTTGTGCAACGCACCTAATCCACTACGGGGAAAGGTTTCGCTGCCGACCATCCAGCAAGTGATCATCAATTATTTCATGCGCAAAATATACACACATAAAGTTGCGAGTGATATAAGGGGTACCACAGCAAGCTACACCTAAAGAAAATGAAAGTTCAGCGAAATCATATGGACAGTCAACATGGAAGAGGAAACTGGATTTGTCTCGGATTTTATCGCTCAGGCGCACGGCCTTCTGTATATACTTAGTGAGCAGCCAACTCAAGTGCCTGAAAGCTTTGCTCCAATTTGATATATCTATCTCTATACTGTCTTCCTTTCTACCATTCTCGCAGTTCTCCGCAGGGCCCTCGAAATTCAGGGGTTTGCCAGGCCTTCGTACCAACAGATAATTGCCTCACTTCTGCCTCGTTAATCTCAATCCCTAAGCCCGGACCAGATAACACATCGACATTTCCATCCCGCACTTTCCAAACTTCCGGATTGGTGATATAGCTGGTGATATCCTGTCCAGTATTGTTATAGTGCATACCAACACCCATCTCCTGGATAGCAAAATTCGCCATGGTCGCATTCACATGCATATTGGCTGCAAGAGCGATCGGACCCAGCGGGCAATGCGGCGCAACACCGACATCATAGATCTCGCACATGGCTGCGATGCGCTTCATCTCCGATATGCCACCAATGTGGCAGATGTCCGGTTGCAAGATATCCACACAGCCACTTTCCAGGAAGGGCCTGACATCCCAGCGGCTGTGCAGTCGCTCGCCGAGAGCAATCGGGATGGTAGTCAGTTCGGAAATCTGTTTGATAGCTCCGATGTGTTCCGAGAGGAGAGGCTCCTCGATGAAGAGTGGTTCATGTGGTTCGAGCGCTCTCGCGAGGCGTTTGGCCATGGGCTTATGCACTCGTCCGTGGAAGTCAACCCCCGCGTCGAGACCTAATGCCTTCACAGATTTCAGCCGGGTAACGACTTCTTGTAACACCGATGGTGAATCAAGCCATGCTGTGTCTCCCGTGCCATTCATCTTCACCGCGTGGAACCCCTGGTCTTTGCGGGCCTGGCTGAGCGACTTCAGTAGTGCTTCTCTAGAAGGGCTGACTGACAACATACGCCTGAACTTCGACTTCACTGGGCCTGTCACCGCCAATCCAAGCGTAGACTCGGATTTTGTCTCGGACCTTGCCACCAAGTAGGTGATATATCGGCACTCCAAGCTTCCTGGCTGGTCGTGTGTCAGTGCACATATACTGTAAGATTTTTCATCCTGCTATGGACAACAAATGGAGTTGACCACCCTTACGAACCTTTTAAATCCCATAGCGCAATGTCAATGCCAGACAACGCACTCATGAATACCGGTCCTCCACGGTAGAAGCTCCCACGCCAAGAAAGCTGCCAGATATTTTCGATGTCTCTAAATTTATGTTTAGAATATGCATGATGAACGAGATACTGGATAGACGCAGTAAGGACATGACATACTCAGCTTCCAGCCCCTTATACCTCTCAAACCACGAATCAAGACATCCCTCGACAGCCTCAGTGTGGCCCTCGAGAGACGCTTCTCCCCACCCCATGGCGCCCGTTTCGTCCGTGATTTTGACGAACAGCCACCGCGGTGGAACGCGGAAGTACTCCATTGCTGCGATCTTCCCCATGGTGATGGCTTCTCAACACGGGAGTATACACTAGCTGATCGTGGATAGAGGATAATTAAAGTCGACCTGAACTTTTGATGATTGTCGAAGATGGGACAGAATGGGGCCGTGCTCAGATTCGACGTTTTTATAAAACGAGACTGCGGATTACTTATTAGAGACATGTCCACTGGAGGAATTCCTTGAGACCGCGGCGCGGAAAGTAGGACGGATAATTTAGTTCGGATGTAAGGCGGGTATCCGTCCATATCCGTCTGCTGCCTGGGGCATCTACAGAGTAGAATCGCATCATCAGATGGAGTTTCAGATCTCTTCTTCAGGATCTACAGAGCACATCATGACAAGCGCTCTTGTACATAATGCATATCGGCCACATCGTGGTGGTGGGACCTTGTTGATTAAGACTGAAACTTCATCCAAGGACCCAAAATTCGGAGGAAGATGATCAACTCGACATCAGCACCATGCAGCAGTCCATCCTGTCTGAACAACGCAGGAACAGAATACACAAGATACATGTGGATGCGACAATAAGAACACCACATATGCGTGCGACTGCTAGTGCATTGGCCGAATGTCATTACCCCTGGATCAATCAGCAACCGTGCCCATATCGCGATCCTGTTGACACAGATCGGGCTGGAATACATCCTAATCATCGACGCTATCTAGAATGACGAAGAACCCGTGAATCCAACTACGATAGGAAACCGCCTAGCAAACGCAGGGCAGACGGTACGGAGAAAAGACTCCCCCATGCCTCCGTAAGGAGTACCCGGACCATCAATCCGCATCGAGACGGATGCCACCCTCACAACCCAGGGCGACGCGACCAACCCGGTCAATTGCCTGTACGAGTGGGGAGCGTCTGCAACGTTTCTGCCTTTGCGGTTTTCTTTCTCCATATCTTCGAATACTCTGATATAGAAGCCTGGATCCACACCATTGCTTGGAGTTTCATATGTAGGTAGGTATCAACCGTATGTGACCGCTAGTCACATAGGAGACCTTCCTATTCCGGATATCGGTATTGGTAACTACCGATCCCTGAAGATTATGTAGAGTTTTCTGTTATTTCTATGGTTCAAAAGTTATGTCTCTTCTAACTGCCTTTTTAGGCTAGATTGCTTATTATTCTTGATGTATTTAAACCACCGTTTGCAACTAGATTGAAAGAATCAGACCTTCATCATTCGATATTCCTACGGGTACATTACTAGCAATTACGCCTAGAGAGACGGCCAATAATATCCTACATTTTCGCGATTTCTTATCGCTAGCGTAGCCGTTCGTTACAGCGAATGCGATTGCCCTGACGGAGTAAGTATACAAAGCTCGTGTGACAATCCAATTTCTGGAGCGGTCTTATATTGCCTACTGGCTTGTAGACTGGGTGCGAGTATGCCCAAGACGCTCCATTGAATGCCGGCGTATGTCTCGAGGTCCTTTTACTTTAATAGGGCCATAATACTCACTGACACTCCCAGATCCAGATATACACTTGCCAGTAACTTTAAAAGCTCTTTTCAGTTATCTGAGATGATATCGACGGGCCTAGCCAATTCTGTCTTGACGTAACATTTGTTCCCGATCCAATCTAACAATCGAGCGTCAAATATACAAACAAGGGTATTACCTCTTAAAGAATAATACAGAGTCCGTTGAATTAGACATCTGGACTAGTAGCCGGCATGCAAAAAGCAAGCTCAATCAGGTAGTTTAAGACGTGCATATTTTTAGTTGGGCTATGCGCGAGAAGCATAAGCAAATAGGAATGGCAATAGCCGGCAGAATCTATAGGCAAGCCAGATCGCCAGATCACCTCCACCCGTTCTAGATGCCTCGCTAGAATATCTTATAGTTGTCGTGGAACAGGTTTAGAGCTGAAATACCAGCAAAACAATGTTAGTCTTGGCGCTATATACATCATACAACCTGGTTCTGTGAATGTTGTTCGTGATGGTTAATCTACTCTACGTTGATAGTGTCTTGGTGTTCTTGTAGATAATCAGCTTGTCAAGTTTGCACCAGGTTCATCTGTACGTCCTTTACTCTACTTGAATTGGTTTCGATGTCTAAGAGATTCTTGATGGACTATCAAATAAACAGTGACTTCGCGCGGTGAATCCGACCTAACAATCTTGGTTCTGAAACACCACGTTGATGTACAGTGTGGGAGTGATTCTCCCCCTTGCGCAACTGGCTACCTAATAAAGACTGCCATGTCATTTCGAAATACGCGCGTCACTCTGGTCAGATGGAGAGTTGGAGTCTATGGAAAAAGTCTCGTATACAAAACGTCATTGTTTACTCCATTGAGTTTCAATTCCCAAGTACATACAAGAAGGGTTTGTTGGAACAAGAACTTGAATAATGGGAATGGAACACGGATATGACGAAAACATAGGGCTTGTACATGAACAGAGTTCAATAGAAGTCACAATCCCCCTTGGCAAAGATCTTGAGATAGAATCGCAGTCATATCTCCATCCCCACTAACACTGCTTCAGCTATTGCCGTCATCAGAATAGTCCATTCCATCTTAAGCATCACAGCAGCATCTCTTAAGGGCTCCATCGCAAGTGTCACCGCTCATATGGGAAAACTTGTACGGGGCGCAGTATTCTTCGCATTTGCCAGACCAGAACGCGCTGCAGCTGCTGGCCTTGCGGCAGATCTCCTTTCGTGCGACTAGGTTGTCATCGGAGGTAGGGTTGGCGAAAACAGTAGCGGCCATAGCGCTAAGGACGAGGAGGAAGTTGGTCTTCATGATTGGGACTTGATTGAGGCGATGATATGATAGATAATGACTTGAGATTGGTTACTTGAGAGTTCTTTGTGGAAGTGTGAAGCAGAGTTGACGGTGTGGTGGGAAGTACAATATATATACGTTCCCAATTCTCCTGACTTTCGCTACCAAGTTCAGAAGCGGGCCAGTTGAGGAATTTCTCTACCTTTCTGGGTGGTATTTCGCGAGATTTCAGGTGATCTTTGCCGGATGTGTTTCCTTGGACCTCGTGTTTGTGGGGAGTATACGTATCGCGATCTTCGGTCTTGGGTGACTATTATTATGTGGATTAGGTAGTGGTGGGAAAGTAAACCGTTCCTGACGGTCTAAATCCAAACAGAGACAGAGAATGCCAAGCAATATCTTGTTCTCTAGCGTGCTGTAGCTCTGTCAATCTTCTCGTATTGGCGGGATGAATGACCCACAAAACTTCTCTGGGATAGGTTGAGGGCTTGAGGCTGGCAAGGAGTTGGCTGCAGACGAAGCTGCTCCAGATTCTCGGTTGAATAGACAATAGGCTTTTTTTATCACCTTAGTATTCTCCACTAATAAATCCGCGCCTTCGCCTCGTCTTCCGGCGGGGTCCAGCAGGCCAGAATAGAAGAAAAATACGAAACACGAGGAGACTACATGACGAAAGACAAATTGAATGAAATAGCGAAGGATCAGTCATTAGAATACATTAACTTTCCAACATCGACCCTAAACTTTCAAGAGACTCTTCAGGCGACACTGAAAAGAGACAGATGATCTGACAGAGTCTATCCACCACCCAGTCTACATTCTACTGATTCAAAATACTGCTCAAGATGTTCAGGGTAATTTGCAGGCCACCGTCCTCCACTGGTCGCGACTTAATCAGAATCTCGTCGGGCGAACGAGGCCACTCATATGAGCAAGTAATCTGCGCCCGTGCATCGCCAAAAGCGAATGGTAGATCGGGCTCGATTTTCTGATGCACGAGGTTACTCTGATGGGTTGTCGCGCTCGGCCAGGAGGTAAAGTGCTCTACTATTTGGCGGAAATCTAACGGCATTCTAGAGCAAATGGGTCCTCCAGCGACTTTTTTCCCCCGGGAGGACAGATATGTCGGTAGCTGAAAATCGTTCCTGGCCTGCATGGACTTGGGAAGAAGAAACAGACGGCACAGAAGGGTCGAGATTGCCTAGGTTGGTGGTATAAGAGATGCAACTGACCCTGAGACTGGAAATGTTGTGATCATCACCTCAATACCATACAGTTCCCCTATCTTACAAGTACACAAACTTCGGCTAGAAGCCGCGCAGAAAGGGGGTGGTGTTTAGAATTATAAATGGGGAACAAGCGCGGTGTGGAGGGAATTTTATATGGTTTAAAAGAAGAGGGGCTGTTAGAGGTAGAGACAGGAGTTAGGTATATAGTTCTAGGAAAGGTATGCCGTGGTCACCTGAGGAAAAGAACCTCTTGATGGAATTAAGGAAAGAATGAAAGCTTCCTTGGTCGGACGTGGAAACAACACAACCTCTCACGCGATTCTAAGCATCGTGCTTAGAATATATCGACAAGAGCTCCTTTCGAATACTCATATCTATTTCTCATTCCGGGCACCGGGCCCGGGATCAGGGACGCCCGTCCACGGCCAGCCTTACCAAACCCGATCGCTACAGAACACGTGTCGCTACGATGGCAACACACAACTCCCAACCAGACGGGCCCCTACAAGCCGCTCTACTGGAGACAACTACAGCAGCCTCTACTAGGGTTGCCGAAGGCCAGAAAATCTTCAGCCCGATAGCAGTCTTTCTTGATAAGCACCGGAGCCAGTCAGGCCTTGCGCCTCACCAGCGAGGCGCGCTCGACGCGCTCAGTAACGACCTGGCCGATATAGCTTAACGACACTTCAATGCCTATATCAGCGGAATTCCTTTGACCTTGATTACGACCCCCTCTACTCCTGCCTCTACCCCTGCCCCTGCTTCTCTTCCCCCGTCTCCCCTTCCATCTTGCCCCCCCTCCGGTCTCGCTCAGTCGACGTACGCGACAGTCACCCAAACATCCAAGGCTAAAGGCCCTTCTATATCTCAGCCCAAGGCCAAGCAAAAGACTATAATTCCTACTCCTGACTAACAGCCTGACTTCCGCCTCTTTGTACGCCTCCTGCCGAACTATCTTGCCAAAAATATGGACGCATACGCTATCTACACTAGCCTCCGTTCTCATCTAGGCATCAACAACAAGGCACTAAAGGGTGTCCAGTCTATTAAGACAGGATTCGCCTTTCTACCTTTATGTCCCGAAACTCTGGCAGCTTTAGAGACACAGAAAGAGGCTATCTCTACCTTCTTTACTACTTGTCAGATCGAGCGAAGCTCCCGCTGGATCTCGTACCAGGTAACAAATATACTAAAAAAGGTCAGCCAGCTTAATGCAAGCCAATACTCTTGGTCCCTGTTAGCCCGAAGATTCTTTTAGCTGAAATAGCTGAAACTACTGGCTTTACTTCAGTTAATGTAATTGAAACTGCCGCTAGTACTTCTGATACAAATACAATCTTTTCAAGTTAGTTTATTAACTTCTCTGAAGAAAGTAAAGCCAAATTACCTATACAATTATTTCTGTTTGGTATAATTGCTAACGTCCAACCCTTATCCAAAAGGGTTAAGATCTCGCAATGTAACTGCTGCTAGAAATAGTATAACTTTAGATCTTGCATACGTAACTCTTGCTACTGTCTCTGCAGCTCTATACAATACACTGAGAAAGGTTATACCAATTACTGCGCTGCCGCAGCTCCTTATACCTGTCCCCCAAGATGCCTTCACTGCTATAGTCTATACCCAGCAGATTACGATCAATGCCTTCTCTGGCCTAGCAAGCCAGGTTCTCGTTTTACAAAGGTCCAGCAGGCTGAGACCTGCAAGACCTGCTCCGCAGCCCTATCTAAGGTACGGACTGAGAGTAAATGCTGTTCCCGGCCTCCCGCAGCCCCTGAAACTGGAACCCCTGGGGACTCGCAAGACCAGGATATGTCTATCGAAAGCTATCCTACAATCTCTCTATTTCGCCCAGTTACTCTCCCTCAACAAGGACCAGCAGATTCCCCTCCAGTTACGGTTAAGGCAGTACGTTTTACTACACTACTACAAAATCAGTTTGGAACTCTGACAAATGAAAAACTATAAGATCTCAGAATAACTAGACAGATTCTCTCTCAATACTGCAGCTGAATGTTGGCCGTAACGTTACAGCTTATAAAATTACCCTATTCTAGGCATTCTCCAATAATATCGACATTATCTTGATACAGGAACCTTATATATATAAAGACCTTACCCGCAAGATTACCAAAAGATATCCCTCTTACGAATGCTTTTTTCCAACTGATAGCTGGACATTAAGCGGTCAACCTAAAGTCTTTACCTATACTAGAAAGGAAAAGGGTATACAGTCTTTTCAGTTCCGCCCTAATATTATCGACTAAAAAGTATTGTTAGATTTCCTCTTTCTTCAAATCTCTGTATACTTAGGGCAATCCACTCTAATTCTTAACATCTACAATGCCCTTACCTCTGGATACTCGATCAGACCTGGTAGGGCTGCTCAAAAACTTATAGAACTCCCCGACTCTTTCTTTACTTAACCAACTTTACTAGCAGGTAATTTTAACCTACTATACAGTAGATGGCAGCCCTCGCTTCAGCGAGAGCCCTCCACTTCAGCCGAGCTAGTATCCGAATAGCTCGACAGATCTGGACTAGTATTTATCTCTGAGATAGATATATTTACACATGACAAAGGCAATACTCTCGATCTAATCTTTGCTTCTAGTACCCTTACTCTCGCTGGAATAAGTACTAGAATTGCAAGCTATTTAGATGCTACATCGGATTACCGCCCTCTCCTTACTATCCTTCCCTAGGGCCGCGATACCCTAGGGCCCAACAAAGGCTTAAATCCAGCACTCTAGACCTTTCCCGGTTTAGCAGCCATTTAGCTTTGAACATCAGCAATCTCCTATCTACTTCAGAAACAGCAGAAGAGCTAGACTGCCTTACAAACATGATCATTTTAGCTGTTTACAGTGCGTACGAAGTTTCAGCACTCAGATCCCGCCCTCAGGGAAGAGGCCAACCGTGATAGAACCTAGAATGCAAGGAAGCACTCCAGAAATATTGCACAGGATCCTATATACAAAAGGACTTTCGGCGGGTAGTTCGACGTACCCAACGGGAATACTGGAAAAACAAAATCAATGTAATTACTACGAGTAAAGAGATATTTGAGATTTCTAAATAGCATAGGACAACAGGATCCTACCAGAGCCTACCAATGAAGGATTTCCTACAACCTGACTGCCCCCCAGCAGTCAGCATACAGGGAAAGCGTGATATCTTAGCCCGAAACCTCCTCCAGAACTCTGCTGAGGCAGGAGATATACCACTGGATTTACCCACGACCTCAACTAGATCTCTGCTATTTCCTGACATATCAATGGCGCAGGCAGAAAAAGCAGTTTTGCATACAGGCAATATAACTTCAGAAAGTGACAAACTTCCTACCAGCATCCTAAAGGCAACATGGCCCTTGATCAAGGACAGGATACTAGCACTCTATCAAGGCTATTTATCAACTGGTTACTACCTTCAATGTTTCCGTCACGCTGTTCTGGCTATCATCCAAAAGCCAAATAAAACAGATTGGGCGAATCTCAAGTCGTACAGACCAATTGCCCTCCTCTCAGTCTTAGGCAAAGGCCTTGAACGCCTGTTAGCGAGAAATATAGCATAGATTGCTATATCCTATAAAGTCCTGGCTAGCTAACAGTTCGGGGCCTTATCTCTTCGCTCTGCTGTTGACCTTACTACCTGCCTGTTGCATGATGTGGAGCAAGCTCTAAACCAGGGCCAGACAGTTTCCCTTTTAACGTTTGATATCAAAGGGGCATTCGATGGCGTCTTTCCTGGGAGACTGGTGCATAGATTACGCACACAAGGTTAGCCTAATAACTTAGTCCGCTGGATAACCTCCTTTGTCACAGGGCGTACAGTCCAAATCCGACTAGACAGAGAACTAGGGCCTAGGATTAAGATAACCTGCGGCCTACCACAAGGATCGCCGATATCCCCTAAAAATCCCAGAGAATGAAACAGCTGATCAAGCTGCAAAAAAGGGTACTACTATAGATTTTCCTTTTTTAAGCAAACACTCGTATGCCTTGTTAAGGCGGCAGGCTAAGGCAGATATTATAACTGCTCTTCAAAGATACTCATTTCCAGCCTCTTCCAGCCACATTCATCCCAACTGCTACGGGCCACGTGTCGCCACGATAGCAGCACACAATCCCCAACCAGACGGGCCTCTACAAGTTGCTCTACTGGAGACAACTACTGCAGCCTCTATCAGGGTCACTGAAGGCCAGAGGATATTCAGCCCGATTGCGGCCTTTCTCGATAAATACCGAAGCCAGCCAGGCCTTGTACCTTTAGTTCAGGCACCGGTTGTTCCAGGATGCGGGGTAATCTACCAATGATTTAACGATTTCCGCTGTCTTAGGAATCAAGGAGCATCAAGTGGGGCAACCAGACAGGTCGCGCCCGTCGCCGGGTGTCGCCGGGCGACTCCGGCACCATCTAAAGCGCACCCAGGGAGGTCGCGCGACGGCGCCGGCGATCGCCAGTGTCGCTGGTTTAGAGGCACCCACCCGCCTATTGACTGTACACAAGCCACACGCCGGCAGGTTAGTAGTTGGGTGGGTGACCACCAGCGAATTCCTGCTGTTGTATGTTTCTTTCTTTTTTCTTCTTGATTTGCTTCTTTTCCTACTCGGAAATAAGGACGTTCGTTGTTACGAGACAATTCATATTCGCAGGCACATTATATTGGCGATACTGCCGCCTCAGTCCCCCTTCCCTATATGGCGGCTTGGCAATAGCGCTCAACCCCATTCCACAGAGAATTCAAGCATTTCACTCCCGATTGAGTAGGCAATACAGCTATGTTGCTGTCATAATATACTTCATTCTAGATCAAAGGCTATAGAAAGAGACTTTATTCTTCGCAAGGTTACTCAGTGCGATAGAAGTGAAAACATGGCTTGGTTGATTAGCTTGTGTCGCTTGAATCAGGGCATATCTCGCCCGAGACCTTCATTTTCGCCACGTTCTCCTCTCTATGGACCTTAACAAGTAGACAGATTATATAGAGAATTCACGGAAAAAATCAACTTCGGCATGGAAACCTTCTACAATTCGTCCTCATCTTCCTCAAACTCCTGGGCGATATAATTCGTCCAGGTATGCACTCTTGATCCAGCTTATCCTCGTCACTCGGCCTTTCCCGATCCAAAGCCCTTCAAATCCCACTTCTTAATGATGTCAACACCCTTCAACTTATGTCGAAGGCAGAATTGTCGATGCTGCTGTCGAGGTCATCGAACTCGGCAAAGAGCGGGCCCACGAAGACGCGTGCTACATGCAGATTGCAGATCCGTCGAGCTCCCCGGCCAGCCTGTACCGGTATATAAACCTGCTCGCTGTGTGTTGATCAGCTCCCTATAGTCCAGTTTTTTGTTGTAGCATGCCACCGCCAGCCGTTTGGATTATGCAGGTGTTGCGGACTCGCCGTAACGGCGCCAGTTGGATTTCACCCCCAGTCTCGTCACAGCACTTTACAGACAGTCTTGGCCGTATGAATAATGCTGCCGTTTTTATAAGGCCCTCATCGACTTGCCGAGCGAGACATTAACTCATCCCAAAGGAATCCTCCATTCTCTCACTGCTACAGCGATGAAATTCCTGGGAATTGCTTACTGACCATGGATTTATCCTTCAAGCTGCCTGAGCGAAGCGAGTGCTGTAGTCTGCATATCACTTCAGCAATCGTATATAAATCTCCACAGTCTGGACTGAATGCGAATTCGTATTTAGGTGTAATGGCAAAATCAATTTTGGCGAGGGATCAAGTAGACGAAGACTGCCTACGTACCCACAACTATAGGCAACGCATAATAGTCTTCTTACATCGAAGTTCGCCAGCAAATAGTATTGAAACCGGACCTGAGCATTTCATAATCCTGCCACCGCACATCTCCTCAGGCATGAGCCCTCTCGCCATATGATTTCGAATCCACATAGTCATTATTTCACAACTGCCACAATCTCGTCTTCACAGCTCCATTCCCCTCTCCCATTACCGAAGCTCCTTTAGTTCTTCAAAGTGAGCACACCCGGCCTCCACGGTAGGGTATTGTAGTTGCCACTGGAATTCGGGTTACGTCCCTGATAGAGGAACTGCAGGTTGCATGGGTCGATAGTCATTGTTTGGTCAGGGTTGGAACGAACTAAATCGCCGTGACTGATGTCGTTGGTCCAGGTTGCCCCGCTATTGGCTTTCCCGGCGAAAGGCTTGCTCTCGCTTGTTGCCTGAGCCGTCCACGAACCACCAAGACTACTGGCAGTGAATGAACGGAAATACCGCCCTTGTGATCCAATTGCCTCGACGATCATCAGATACTTGTTTTGACCTTTCACAGTGTACACTTGGACCGCCTCAAACAGGTTGTTCTGAGTATCACTCAGCACTATCTCTGATGTTGTTCCGAAGTTTCCAGGGAAGTTGTTGATAGGCATGCTAGAACGATAGATCTTGCCATTGTCTCCCGCAAAGAAAAGATACATATGCGTAGCGTCACCAATAAGAGTCTGATCAATAGCGCCAGTACTTGAGCCGGAGATTTTCCCTGAAAAAAGGGCATGCTCCGATGACCATCCATTAGCATTGGTAGGATCATTTGATGTTCGGTAGGTAAACGTGCTCGAGCCCCATTGATAGGCCAGGACCCAGATATTCTTTGGCTGAAAGTAGAACAAGGTAGGCGCGACAGCTGTAAAGCTCATTGTGTTTTGACTCGCAGATGCCATGCCAGACCAATCCCCAAAGGTGCCGAAGTTCATCGAGCCATAGTTCCCACTTGTGTCGGTGGTGGATGCATAGACCAAATGTCTGTTATCGAAGACCACATTGGTGAAGTCCTTGATTGCCGTCCATCCGGACTTAGGATTTGCAAGAACGCCAGTTGATGTCCAGCTATAAGTTGATGGAAGAGCGCAGTTGGCGACGACAGTTGGCACTGATGTGAGCAAGAATATGCTGGTTACCAGGCAAGCTTTCGCCTTGAAGAGTCTCATTGCCATTTGGATTCTGGTTATCAATAGTTTAAATAATTGAATACTCGAAGCAGAGGTCAGAAGCATCTAGCTAGGAGCCGAGCTCGTTTAAATAATCCAAGTACGGCCTAACTAGATTGAATAGTTTCGCGACGAAAGTTTCGCCGGGTAAAATGAATTAAACTAATCCTTCCTCCTCTTGGATAAACTCCGCAACGTTTGATACATTTTTTTGATTTGCGGCCCTCTCTGAGAAATGCTCTCAGGTAAACTAGACTAGTCAGAAACAATCATTGGCCGGACTATTACCTTTCTAGGTATAGATTCGGAATTGAACCCCGCACCAATTTAACCATCCTATCCTTGTCTTTGAAGTAGAGTAGGAACCTACCCACTGGGCTGGGTAAATACATCAAAGGAATCGTGAATCTAGACCTGGGTCTTGATGGTGACGTTAAACGGATTAAACTTTTGCTGAAACGTTATCACCATAGGGATATTTCACTATAAAACACTTGTCTCAGAACAATTTCTGCTGCGTGGTTATTATCTTCTCGGCGCGAATTATGCCTGAACGTCGTCGGAAATAATTCTGCTCGGGGATACTTCGGGGGATTTAGCCGGGAGGAGTTAAATATTATTGGATCATGAAAGTTTCGTATTGCCTAGTAATTTGTGTGCAGAATCGAAGCTCAATGAAGATCTGATCCTCTTGATTTAGAGAATCGAAACGAAGCTATTTAACATGCAATATGACTACGTGGCTTCTTTGAAATCGGCTTATCTTGAAGCCATGAAATGCCATCAGAGTTGATCTAGGCGGCAAGCGGTAAGGTGTTGAATCCTGGTGGTAAAATTGCCCCATATTCGCTGACAATTATGTTTTAGCGAAGTTGGTGCTACCTTATTTGGACGACTTCAGTGTATAGGTGATCACCATTGTCTCCACACCTGGACCCTTCCTTAGTTTCTACAAACCGCATTGTTCTCTCCTTGAAACAGACTAAGATTCATATGCTAATGAAATGGCATATGCCTGGGCTATAGCCTGTACTGGGCGAACGTGAAAGGAGCTTGGCGGTTTGGTAGTCTCCAGCCTAAAATCTTCTGTGCGATCATTTAGGCTGGAAAAAATTGAGTACCACTTTTCCCGAATTTTTTACTAGTAAATTGAGCCAAATAGACAACACACGTTCTCCATCGGTTAAACAGGTATTTCGTAGATGATGCAGCGTCCGTTTTCAATTAGGAAGGATGTCCGTTTAGCCGGTACCTTAATTATGAACTTTCTTCCTGATGAAACTTTGACTTCTGTTCCGGATAAGTATTGTCTTCACCCTTCCCAGATGGTATCTTTCTTCTGCTACCCTCATTTCCATTATCCGTTAGAAAGCCAACACATTTCTCAGTATGGTTCAAATCAAGGCAGCTGCCCTGGCTATCTTTTCGCTGGCCAAGTGCTTTCCGGACCTGTTGAGCCCCAACAGGCATCTGTGAGCATTGATGCCAAATTCAAGACACACGGGAAGAAACATTTTGGAAATATTGGTGACCAGTACACCTTGAACAAGAATGCAAAGACCCCGGCAATCATCAAAGCCGATTTCGGTCAACTAACACCTGAGAACAGGATGAAGTGGGATGCTACTGAGCGTGAGTACAAGTGTCTATGGGATACTATTGTATCAAAAGCTTATTTGCGAAATAGAAAACAAAGGACAGTTCTCCTTCACCGGGTCGGACTATCTGGTATGTATCCAACTGGCCTTTACCAAGGCAACCGCTTCTTTGCCCGATCCTTACAAAATCTAGATCAATTTTGCTCAGTCAAATGGGAAATTGATTCGTGGCCATACTCTTGGTAAGTTCTCGGAGCCTAAGGGTTCAAACATATCACAATAATAATAACAAAAAATAAAAAATATAAATATAAATAAAAATAAAATAATAAAACACTAAACCCATTAAGTGTGGCACTCCCAGCTTCCATCCTGGGTCTCTTCCATTTCAGACAAGACCACTCTGGTAAATTTCATGAAGAACCACATCACCACAGCCATGAACCGTTATAAGGGCAAAATCTACGCCTGGGTAAATTATATTCTTTTCTATACAGCCACATTACTGATCGATCTCAGGATGTTGTGAATGAAATATTCAACGATGACGGTTCCCTACGCAACAGTATATTCTATAATGTTATCGGCGAGGACTTCGTACGAGTCGCTTTCGAAATAGCTCGTGCTATCGGCCCAAATGCAAAGCTCTACATCAATGACTACAGGTGGGCTACAGCCCATTCCCATTTTTATTTATTTTTTCTTGTTTAATTCTGATCTTACAAAGCCTGGATTCCGCCTCCCATTCTAAAGTGAAGGGTATGGTCAAATATGTCAAGAAGTGGATTGCTTCCGGTGTTCCAATTGATGGGATCGGTAAGACACCTAGCATAGTGGTTCGCCGTGTATGATTACTCACTCGTCAAAGGTTAAATGCCGGTGCCGGTGCTGCAGTTTCGGGATAATTAGCTTCCTGCTTCTTTTCAATAAAGTACTAGCTTACAGTCTCTCACAGCTCTTAATGCTCTAGCAAGTGCGGGAACGAAGGAGATTGCCATCACTGAGCTTGATATTGCTGGCGCCAGCCCTACCGACTATGTGAACGTGAGCTCTCTCCTCTCTCCTCTTTCCTCTTCCCTCTGATTGATCAAGACCTCATTTCTCAATCCGAGGACCTATATCCGTATACAGAATGCAGGAGCTCACCAAAAACGCAAATGATGGCATTCTTGAGGGTGAGGCTGCAGGTATTGATCCTTTCATGGAGTATGTCCAACCCCGGAAAGGTGTTTGATCGGCGAAGAAAGCTCAACCTTTTGGCATTGTATAAGTTATACCATGAAAAAAATATCACTTATTGTTGGACCGCACTCATACTAGTGGAATAATAATATGTAAGTGCATGCTTTGGTTAGCCTACTATAGGATGTTTTCGTCCCAGGCTTGTTTCACCACGACTCGCTGCGGAAGCCCCTGTTTTCTTTACGTGTTTGGTAATCAATCTGTGGCCTAGCTAGATTGAATTGAGTCTCGCTTTAGCCCTTCACAATACTTTATTCTTCTTTTCCACCACACAGCACATAATTTAAATTACTATGTTATTGTTGGTATCACTAGCTAGGCACTATGTACAGGCTGTTTCTGAAGCGAAAGTATAGATTGTAGATAGATAGATAGATCGCTCGATCGATGTTCCCAGGTCAGGTCCCAAGATCCCCCTTTTATCCGTACGCGAATACTCGGCGGTTACAACACCGGAGCCGTAGCCTCACGCAAGAATGCGTACGTACACCGAGCAAGGGATGTGATGTGTCAGTCGCTAGCGGTAAGTTACCGCTAATCTGTTCTGACTGTGGAATATATCCCGACAGTCCACAATGTCGGCCTTCTCTACTATAAACAGCGCAAGTTGGACAAGGCAGAGGAAATGTACCAGCGTGCTCTAGCAGGCTCTAGGGAAGCTCTAGGTCCAGATCACATGTCTACTCTGGAAACGGTCTACAATCTCGGTCTTCTCTACTCCGATCAAGGGAAGCTTGAGAAGGCAGATGAGATGTACCAGCGAGCATTGGTAGGCAAAGAAAAAGGCCTAGGTCAGCATCATATTTCTACCCTGGAAACTGTCAACAATATTGGAGCTCTCTACTTCAAGCAAGGCAAATTGAAAGAGACAGAGGCGATGTACCAGCCCGCATTAGTGGGTTTTGAGGAGGCTTTAGGTCTCGATCATTTTTACATCCTGCAATCAATCAACAACATCGGAATACTCTGAACAGGGTAAAACACTTGAGGCAGAAGAATGGTATCTGCGAGCACTGTTAGGAAAGGAAAAGGTCCTAGGTCCATATCATACATCCACGCTAAGTACTATCTATAATCTTGGGCATCTCTACACTGATCAGGGCAGAGTGGAAGAGGCGGGGGCGATGTACTAGCGCGCGCTAGCAGGGAAAAAAGGCCCTGACCATCCTTGAAAACGCAAAGTGCTTGACCGTTTGGTGGCCCTCGCTCACCCCAGCGTTGAACCGACAACATTATGTTGATAGATTCACGCAATTCTCTAGCATAAGCGATCCGGGATAACATCAGACCCCCAGAAGACATCCCAAATCACTCACGTACCGCAATTGCCTGATTCACTGGCTCCATTTATTCACGCTACCTCCTCGTTGATCACCCTCACCGTCCCCTTGGCAGTCCTCTCGAGTCCGCATTGGGAATGGTCCATGTGATACAGGATATATGTTGCATTACTTTTTAGTCTAAAAATTCAACGATTCTATTGTCTGTTGGGAGATCTTTAAAGTTTGAGGTTTAGCATGTGTTTATCAATATGGTGATGTGAGGCATTGTTGCGCGTAGATGAGAAGCGTGTAGAAAAAAGCGATAGGTAGAAGCTATTATTGTAAAAAATACTAATGAGAGACTACTGATTATACGGAATAATTAAGTGACGGTATCTTTTACACAGTTGAGCGCGTTTATCTGTCTCGGGGATAAGGAGCGATACCTATGTTTAGCCAAATCAGACGAGTCACGTTATTATGAGCCACAGGGACCGATTCGTGAACTAACTAGGGTTGACATCTCTTTGTTTCTCTAGATCGATTCCCTGTCGGTCTAATCCTTTTCTTATAATGTAAGTCGTCTGTGTGAGGAGATTTTTCTTGTGAAGTGGTGTCCTAGGGAACAGGAATATATTAATCACTTTTCAAGCTGCTGACCACTTGACCTACCTACGAATTAGTCCCTTCAAACAAGCCTTCTGTCAAGACCGTCCTCTATACCATTTACACGCTTGTTTCGCTCCCCGCACGCCTCGTGGCCATTTCCCTCTATTACATTCCCCAATCAACTCGCCCCAACCCTCAATGGACCTACCACCAGGCCGTAGGCACCAAGGAATTTTCGCTCTGGTAGCGATACGCGACCGCTGTGGACTTTCATACCCGCAAGACCCTCCTTCCTGGTAGCGAGGGCGATCGCTTCGCCGTTATTCAACCATCAACCCCTTCATTTCTGTACCGCAATATTCTCCTCTCCAATGACCAAATACACCCTCTCCCCGTGGGCGCCATCTGGTACATCGCACCGTCGATTCCACTGCCGTCGTTTTCCTCCCCACCCGCCCGCATCGTAATCCACTTTCATGGCGGTGCCTACGTGCTCGGTGGCGCACGCCAAATGGAAAGCGTCTGGGGCCCTGTGGTTCTTAGCAAGGCGCTTTCCTGCCCCGTCCTGCAGCCCCATTGCCGGCTCTCCGTCGCCGAGAACGCCTCGTTCCCCGCCGCCCTGCAGGACGGCATCACGGCTTACGCTTAAGCGCTGCACGAGCTCCGCGTACCCACCGACCAGATCATTCTCTCCGGAGAGTCGGCCAGTGGGAATCTCGTTCTCGCCATGTTACACTATCTCAACGCTGCCCGGTCGTCTGAGAAGGCTCTGTCACTCCCTCGTGCCGCCCTCCTCTGGAGCCCCTGGGTCGATCTGACCCGCTGCAGTGGACAAGGCCGCATCCCATCCCCGTCGCGACATGGACTACCTCTTCGCGAACTTGGTCGCGTGAGGTCGTCAGCGATTTATTCCTGAGGAATGGGAAGACGAACATAAGCAAAGCCAGAACAACCGGAGCCAGTTCAACCTGACCCTTCCCGGGGACAAGTTCGCGTATATCTCTCCGCTCAGAAACGAGTTCTACTCTCCGACTCCGGTCTTCGTGCAAACAGGCACGGCGGAGCTTTTTTATGAAGACCATATGCAGTTTGCGCGAGGCATGGAGAATCGAGGCACGAAGGTTGAAATGGTCGAGATTTTGAATGCGCCGCATGATACATTCGGAGCGGGGATGTTGGTTGGGTTTGCGAAGGAGGCGGAGGACGCGGCGCGGAGGGCGGCGAAGTTTGTAGATGCTGCGGTCTGACTTGTTTTTGTCTCAGCCTTTGTTTCAGACACGGCTGGTATCTCTGGCTAGTTACGAGGCGGCGTGGATGATATGATGGAGGTTACGATGTCGGAAGTGCATGATTGATTTGGTGAACTGTTGGGAAGCATGACGATAAACATGAAAGAGGCAGTATATACAATTTGTTACGCGGACAAACGCGAGGCTCCAGCAGAAAGCGTGACAGGTCCCTGGGCTGGTTGCCCCCCCTGCAAACGACCAAAACAGCAGACAACATCTCCCCTCCATTTCCACTCTCTTTCCTTTCCTACCATATTCCCAAAACCTTTCCATCATTTGCATTGAAGAAATTTCATCCCTCCTCCTTCCCGTTTTCTTGTGATCCATCAAATCAACATGTCTCATCACCAAGAACTTCTCAAATGGTACGTACTATCTTTGTTCTTCTTTGACGAGTCGTCCGTCTGGATATTAACTATTGCATCCTGTCAGGTTCAATGGTCTCTACTCTCGCACGCTCGATTTGGTCGGCGACTACGCCGGAGACGAGCTATTCATCATCGAAGGTGACTCTCTGCTGCTGCACTGTCTCTCAGACGACAAGCTTGACTTTTCTACCGGGTTCCAACTCCTCCATGCGACGTATCTGGTGGAGAGGTTTCTTGCCCAACTTCATCAGCGAAAATGCAACTTCCATATCATCTTCTTTGCCAGGCATGCTCGAGCCTGTGTACCTCCCCATGCAACTGCAGATTCAAAACAAAAGTATCTGGTCGCGCGCGAAGCTATCTTTCAGCATCTGAGCCGGCATCTAACAGATTCAGCGTCTTCCATCCAGGTGCACTCGTTTGACACGTTCGACTCTTCAAATTTCAAGACGTATCTTGCTTCCGTCGGTGTCTATTTTCTGATGTGTCACGATGGAGCGTTCTCTCGACTTGGACTTCTTGATGAAGGAGTGAAAGCCGATGAAGATGTTAAGGACGCGATCTTGGACGAAGATGACAGTGACGATAGCTCCATATCTGACCCGATCATCGCTAGCCACTCGTCAGAGGTGTGGAGTACCAGCATTCTGTTCCGCGAGATGATCCACTGGTTTGTCTCCAACGGATACAACGTAGCGTTGATAAGCATGCTCGAGTGCCGAGACACAAAGGTAGGACTCTCACTCTGTTTACTTGACCTGTACTAACAATCCCAGGTCATGGCAACGATCTTGGAGGGCTCAGCACGAGCCGCAAAGAACATCTTCGGCACTTCTGAGGATGATTTGGAGAATTTTGAAGATGACTCCGCAGCGGACACCAGGCAATCCACGGGCTCCACATCATCGAATTCCAATACTGGGCCTCCTAATACCGTTGATGAGATCTTGCCCGATCTTATAACTATCATGGTCGAAGCTGGTCTTCGTTTAAGCAAACGAGAGATGGCCATGCTACTTACAATCGGTACCATGTTCAGGTCTGGGTACTCAGGCGAAGACGACATTCTTCCCGCTCGAGCGGTGGTGCTGCATGTTGTCGTTATGTCTGAATGCCGACTACACGAGAGATCTACTAACGCAGTGAGCTCGAACCGAGGCTCCTCATTCCTTGTTCGCTTTGTGAACATTCTGTACCATGTCATAACCTCGCGACACTGGCAAGGCAGTGTCAGGAAAGCCATATCGCCTTGTAATGTAGCTGACATGCTGGATGGAAGGCTCTTTCTTCAGATTTTTGACTTACTGGCACATGGCGATGGGTATCTTCACCTGAGTTCCTCGATCCTCAATAGATTTAGCCAACTTGCATCTTTTGTAAAGGGCATATGTGGTGTTGACCTGCAATGGGAGCCGTCAGCCGAGACCTTTGCAGTCGGTCACGAACGTACGCAATTCTCGAACTCCATTCACGGCAACAATACAAGTCAAAGTCAATCGATGGAAACCCTGGAGACAAGCCTGAATAGTCTATCCACTGTTCTCCCGTTCAGCAACCCCGTCGTGAGCTACCACCTTGCCCCCATATCAATTACTGTTGAGGAGTCATCCGATAGAGAGCTCGGTTCGGGTATGTCAAGAACATTCCAGGAATTGACCCATTGGCACAATCACAAAAGACCCCTTAACAACAAGATCAAAATTCCTTTGACGATAAGGCAACTTAGTTTCCTTAATCGCCGCGATCAACGGTTCATGGCCGAGATCCGAGATTACGCTGCCAGTCTGACAAATCCCAGAGGTGGGACATTGGAGCCAGAGTCCGTCTTTGTAAAGTCTGCATCAAATAGGGATGGCAAGCCTGTTAGAACAACTCCATCGAGCCTCCCCAAGAAGCAAGTCCCGGCAAAGCAAGGTGCTGCACAGCCATCGAACAAATCGAAACCAGGAACTTCGAATGTTAGGGCTCAGGCTGAAGCTCGTCAGCGATCCAAGCGGGCTGAGAACCATGAGGCATACCTGAATGCTTGGAAGAACATGGTCAATACATTTCAGAACGAGGCTAATCACATCAAGCGCTACATACAAGTGAATCAATACCTGAAAGGTCTATTAAACGACCGCCGAGAAGTTGTCGAACCAGAGATTCTAGTCTATCTCATGGACATTTTGATTCGTCTCTGGCTAGACGAGTGCAAATCTAATCGGAAAGCCAATTCTCTGCACATAGCGGCGCTCATTTGGCATACAATCCTTCAAATTCAGAAAAAGCAAGTTGTCACCGAAAACATCGCAAAGTGTGTCAACGATACCATCAGGACGTTGAATCTCCCAGCCATCAGTGTTCCATGTGAAGGCAAAAGACCCCTTTCTTTCTCATTTGTGTCGCTCTCTTCTTCGAAGACAAATTTAAGTATTGAGTTCTCCCCGATTGATTTTCAGCTAACCCATGCTGGTCCCTATTTGGACCGTAGCATGGGATCTGCGCCAGATCCTCGCGTGCATGATTTCGAGCCAGACCAATGGCAGCGGGAGATTCTTGACCAGATTGATGCGAAGAAGAGCCTGTTTGTTGTGGCACCCACTAGTGCTGGGAAAACGTTCATATCGTAAGTCATTATGTCCTTTTCAACAGTGAAGATTCTCAAACAGCAAAGGCTAATCAGCTCTTATTTTGCAGATTCTATGCAATGAAGCAGATTCTCGAAGAAAGTGACGACGGTATTCTCGTCTACGTCGCTCCCACAAAAGCTCTCGTAAACCAGATTGCTGCTGAGGTACAGGCTCGATTCTCGAAGAAATTTTCTCACGACGCCGGAAAGTCTGTTTGGGCAATTCATACCCGTGACTACCGCATCAACAACAGCGCGGGCTGTCAGATTCTGATAACTGTGCCGCACATTTTGCAGATCATGCTTCTGGCGCCTTCAAATGCCGAGTCATGGTCATCACGAGTCCGGCGGATCATTTTCGATGAAATCCACTCCATTGGTCAAGCCCAAGATGGAGTCGTCTGGGAACAGCTCCTTCTCCTCGCACCTTGTCCCATCATCGCATTATCTGCGACAGTTGGCAACCCGCAGGCTTTCAGCAACTGGCTAACCCTCACTCAAGAGGCCAATGGGAATGAACTCAAGATGATTCAACACAAGACTCGCTATTCCGATTTGAGAAAATATGTTTACAATCCTCCAGTTGAATTTGCGTTCAATGGCCTATCGGCCCCCACTCAGCTGGCCTCACTTGGACTTGATGATAGCCCCAATATGACTTTTATGCATCCTGTCGCAAGTTTGATTGATAGGTCCAGAGGAATACCCGATGATCTGACACTTGAGCCACACGACTGTTTAGAGTTGTGGAGACTTATGGAGAAACACAAGACCGATGGGTTTCCGGTTGAATCCGATCTCAACCCTGCGAATGCCTTACCGAAGATCATAGTGAAATCCGATGTGATTCGGTGGGAGGCTCATCTGAAATCCGCCTTGAGCAGCTGGATGAAGGATCCGAAGTCGCCGTTTGATAACGTGTTGAGCGAGCTGTCAGGAAATTTACATAACAGAATTCAGCCACCGCTGCAAGTCTCCTCGACAGAAGGTCCAGGATCGGATACTGTTCGCACTGTGAGAGCAAGTAGTCTTCTTGATACTACCCTTCCACTCATCTGTTCCGTACATGAACAAGGCGCCCTTCCAGCAATTCTGTTTAACTACGATCGGAGTCAGTGCGAGAAACTATGTGAGCACCTTCTCGCCGAGCTACAAGAAGCAGAAAAGCGCTGGAAGCTTTCGAGTCCCACTTGGAAAAAGAAGATAGCCGGGTGGGAGGCGTGGAAGAAAGCTGAAGACAAACGGGTCAAAACCAAGACCAAAACCAAGACCAAAAAGAGTAAGAAGTCTAGTAAAGACGAGGATGAGCCTATGTCAAAAATGGAGAGGTTGCAAGAAGCTGCGTCAGGAGAGTCAAGTCTGTACGAGTCGTTCGATCCTGATGAGCCGGTTGCTGGCTTTCATCTAGCAGATATGAAATGCCTTTCACGATCAAAGTTCGACGCATATGTCAAAGAGATGCGAAGGCGATCTATCCCTGAGTGGCTCATTGATGGCTTGAAGCGTGGAATTGGAGTTCATCATTCGGGAATGAATCGCAAATACCGCCAGATGTGCGAGATCCTGTTCAGGAAGGGCTATCTCCGCGTGGTCATCGCGACCGGAACATTAGCTTTGGGAATCAATATGCCGTGTAAAACGGTGGTTTTCACTGGTGACTCGGTCTTCCTGACTGCGCTTGGATTTCGTCAAGCTGCTGGTCGAGCCGGTCGCCGTGGCTTCGACTTTCTCGGAAATGTTGTTTTCCAAGGTATCTCGTATCCCAAAGTCTGTCGACTGCTGAGCTCCAAGCTCCCCGACCTCAACGGTCACTTTCCTGTCACGACTAGCTTAGTTCTGCGTCTTCTGATCCTACTCACGGAGTCTGGCCATTCTTCATTTGCCGTTCAGGCGGTCAATTCAATTTTATCGTCTCCCAGAATCTACCTCAGCGGCCCAGAAGCAAAGCATACGGTTCTACACCATCTTCGCTTTTCGATAGAATACCTGCGACGAAACCAACTGCTCGACCGGAGTGGCTCGCCATTGAACTTCGCAGGCACGATATCCCATCTTTACTATACCGAGAATTCGAGCTTCGCATTTCACGCTCTCTTGAGCAGGGGATATTTCCATGAGCTCTGTGAAGATGTCCACCACAGCCCTGAAGTTGTCACGCGCACATTGATGCTTGTGATGGCACATATCTTCGGTCGACGCTACCTTCCTCGAAAGACAATCGAACACCATAAATCTGATGGCAAGCACTTGCCGTCAGTTGTTTTTCTTCCGAACTTGCCTAAGGCAGCGGCCAAGGCCATCCGAGCTCACAACAAGTCTACCTTGGATATCTACACAACATACGTGACCACATTCATCAAGCAGCATATCAAAGACCCAGATTGCACACTTCCTCTGACAGGCCTCAAACAGGGCGGAGACAGATCCCCCGCTGACCTTTGCCCCTCTCTACCAGTTCTCCCTCCGACTCTTGTAAACTCCTCGTTCGTTGCCCTCTCTGGCCACCGCGACACCTGGTCCAGCATCTCTGAGCTTTGTAAAATGGTCCGCGGCGGCGTCTGGCTCGAGCAATCCATCGTGCCATATGTGCCCATCGATCCCGAGGACAGTCATGCGCCACTAAACGCCTACCTCTACGACTTCTTCAGACATGGGAACGTGCACGCGCTCGAACATGGGAACATGGTTCGCAAAGGCGATATCTGGTTCGTTTTGAATGATTTCTCGCTCGTCTTGGCAACTATTGTGACGAGCTTTGAGAACTTCTTCAAGCTGGCGCCGAACACCGATCCAGATATTTTGGACACACGAGGATGCGGGGATGCATATGATGACGAACTTGACAGCGAAGATATCGAGGCGGGTAATCTGACACCCGAGAACTCGTCGTCGAGTCATCAGCAGATGACTCATGGGAGAGGCCGATCTGCCAACGCGTCTGGGAACTCTGCTCCGATCAAACCTACAAAGTCGAAAATCCCTGAGAGCTGGGACGATGAACTCAGTGACGAAGAAACTTCCGATAACCTAGAACAAGGCTTTCATTCTTCGAATAGCCCGTCCGGTAGCTCGGTACCGAATTCTGGGACGGGTGACTCACACTCACAAAATGGGGTCCTTGAGGAGCAGCGACTGTTGAAAGTTCTGAAGGGGTTCAGGTTGCTTCAGGCTGAGTTCAATGACAAGTTCAGAGCCATGTGGGCCTAATCTAGTCATAGAATTGATTGTGGATTTTATCTTTGGATGAAGGGATTATCTTTGTGAATTGTCACTGGCTGGGCAGACTGAGTTGTTAATTAGGGGGATATCTCTTGTAGATTCTTTTTCTTAGTTGTTGAATTTGGAATGACTGCGATAGTTTTAATCCTACTGAAGTATTTTGGAGAAATGTTTGTTTTGGTTGTTGAAGCCGATCTCCTTCCCCTTGCGGTCTACACTAAAGGTCTAACCTCACACGGAATGGCAATTAATGCCTTGGTGCCTTATCGTGAGTAGAGCCACGGCACGTGATAGTCATTCACGCTTCAACATTCGTTTTGTTATTGATAATTGGAATTGAATTCACTTGTATGTCCACACCTTCCTTTCAGCTCCGGATAGGCAGCAGCGAAATATAGCTTCCCCTGCCTGTTGGTTTGCTTCGAAGTCCGACACCTGTGGTTGTACCGCGGAAATATATCTCGCAATGATTCACACAGGTAGGTAAGATAAGACGAGGACATGTCTAAACCACTGCATACCTTAGGTTATGAGAAGTAGAGACCCAACCCCTGCGCAAATATTAAGCCACTGTCATATCCTAGCAGATAAAAAAAAGCTCAAGTCAAAAGGTGCTCGCGTTGCCGTTCCAGATACAGAACATTGACTAAGCAGAGACCCACGTGACCCGTCCTATCAGTGCAACTTTTCCTTATCAGGAGATTTTTTTTTTATCTCCGCGGCGTTGCGATTTTCTCCAGGACTTTCAAATTCGAACGCTGTCAACCTCCTTCATCCACAACCTCGACCTTTCAATTCGAGGCTAGGCCGTCCTTGGTCAAAATGACACAAATCACCAAACAGCGGAAATTGAACCGCGAGCCCGCGAGCAAGAAAGCTCCTTCCACCTCTCCCTCGCCGTCCCCCGAACCCGAACAATCCACGGAGCAAACCGAGCAAGAAATCGCCGAAGAAGAACCCGCGAAGAGTTTTAAAGAACTCGGTGTTATCGAGCAGCTATGTGACGCCTGCACGGAACTCGGCTACAAGGCGCCCACGAAGATCCAGGCGCAGGCCATCCCGATCGCCCTACAAGGCCGTGATCTGATCGGATTAGCAGAAACCGGTAGTGGAAAGACGGCCGCCTTCGTCCTCCCGATCCTCCAGAACCTGATGGAAACGCCCCAATCCCTACACTCGCTGATCCTGGCGCCGACTCGTGAACTGGCGCAGCAGATCTCGCAGGTCGTCGAGGCCCTGGGATCGTTGATCTCGGTCCGCTGCACGCTCTTGATCGGTGGTGTGGATATGGTTTCGCAGTCTATCGCGCTGGGAAAGAAACCGCATGTTATCGTCGCGACTCCGGGTCGGTTGCTGGACCACATGGAAAACACGAAGGGATTCTCGCTCCGACAGCTGAAGTTCCTGGTGCTGGATGAGGCGGATCGTCTGCTGGACATGGACTTCGGACCCCTGCTCGACAAGATCTTGAAGATTCTTCCCAAGCAGAACCGCAAGACCTACCTCTTCTCCGCGACTATGTCAAGCAAGGTGGAGTCCCTGCAGCGAGCCTCGCTGGTCAACCCTGTGCGGTTGTCGATCTCGTCCAAATACCAGACCGTCTCCACGTTGATCCAGCGCTACGTGTTCCTCCCGCACAAGTACAAGGACATTTACCTGGTGTATCTCCTCAACGAGTGGGCCGGGCAAACGGGCGTCATTTTCACGCGTACCATCCACGAAACCCAACGGGTGACGCTCATGCTCCGGAACCTCGGGTACGGAAGTATCCCCATCCACGGACAATTGTCGCAGAGCTCCCGAATGGCCTCCATCACCAAGTTCAAAGCCAAGGCCCGTAACCTGCTCATCGCCACCGACGTCGCCGCTCGTGGTCTCGATATCCCCTCCGTCGACTTCGTCTTGAACTACGACCTTCCTTCGGACAGCCAGTCGTATATTCACCGTGTCGGGCGAACGGCCCGTGCGGGTCGCAGCGGTATTGCCATCTCCTTCGTCACGCAGTATGACATCGAGACGTGGATGCGGACCGAGAAGGCGCTCAACAAGAAGTTGGACGAGCATAAGATCGCCAAGGACGAGGCGATGGTGTTTGCGGAGCGGGTGGGCGAGGCGCAGCGATCGGCGGCCATCGAAATGCGGGATATGGATGAGAAGGGCCGGGGGTCGAAATTCCGACACAAGGGCGGTAAGAGAACTCGTGATGGCATGGACGAAGATCAGGGTTGATTTTTGCGAGACTGAGTAATAAAAGCGTTTGATTTTATGTTTGAGCTTAATAATACCAATTTGGAATGTAGTGGTGATTTCAACCTCGGTGTCTTGAGTTTACGGATGGTAGAGATCTGGTTGCGATAGGACCTGCATGAGTTCGGAATTCAATCTATAGCCAATGCGCCATGGAATGAAAATCGTTATTATAGATTGACAGCCATTCGTTGCTTTTTGAATGCGACGAATTCCGAACTCACCAGACCGGAAATCTGATTCCGATCATGCGGGGGATATACTTAACAGCATAACTTGCCAACCTGGAATACATCCATACGGAACTGAACACTTCACCAGATTGACTCCTAGACTCTACACCATGCAATCGAACAAACAAGCCCTCGGCTCCCTATCATTAGGCCAACACCCCTCCCACACCCTGGACCACAAGATCCAACTCGCCTCCAAGTACGGCTTCACCGGCATCGAAGTCGTCTTCTCTGACCTCCAGAACTACTCTGACCAGCACCACATCTCCATCCTCGACGGCGCCGCCCGCATCAAACAAGTCTGCGACACACACAATGTCGAAGTCCTAGCCCTCGCGCCTTTCGAGAACTTCGAAGGCGCCCGCTCCCCTCTCAATGGCCGCCTCGCCACCGCAAGACACTGGCTCACGATCGCGCGCATCCTTAAGGCCCCATACCTCCAGGTACCATCGCAATTCGACCCGAACAGCATCACCGACGAGACAGTGATCGTGCGAGAACTCCAACATCTCGCAGACCTTGGGACCGCTGAATCGCCCCCCGTCGCGATCGCCTACGAGTACCTCTCTTGGGGCACGTACTGCTCGACGTGGGACACCGCCCTCCGACTTGTAAGGCTAGTCGACCGCGCAAACTTCGGCCTCTGTCTGGATACATTCCACGAGCTCACCAAACTCTGGGCCAGTCCGTTCGAAGTCTCCGGGAAATACCCTCGGGGGGACCAAGCCCTTCGCGACTCCTTGCACCGATTCAAGACGGCTGTCCCATTGGATAAAATATTCTACGTGCAGCTCTCCGACGGCGAACGATTCGATCCGCCCTTCTCGGAATCTCACCCGTGGTATCTGGAAGGCGAGGCACCGCAGTTCACGTGGTCGAAGCATGGGAGACCGTTTCCGTTAGAGACAGAGCTGGGCGGATACATGCCTGTGCCAGAGGTCGTGCGGGCCTGGGTCCTGGCGACTGGGTTCCGGGGCTGGATCTCGATGGAGGTGTTTGATCGGCAGATGCGCAGCAGGGGGTTTGAGCCTGAGACGTCGGCGATTCGCGCGCGCGAATCCTGGCGGAAGGTCCAGGCTGCCGTCGTCGCTGAGGATCGCCCGGTGGGGAAGCTGTAGGTGGTTTAGCTAGAGCACGTGATGAGGTAGGCTGTCGGCCGATTGACAATGCAAATGCCGGGTTTTTCCGTCTTCCCGTCTTCCGTCTTCTTCCGTATCGCGGCACTTTTTGTTTCGTAGGACGACGGAGTACTAGGGATGATGATGGTTTCTCAACCGCCACAGCCACACACACTGCGTCGGTCCTGTCTGGCCTGTGCAAAGGGTAAGCGTCGGTGTGACCAGCGATGGCCGACGTGTAGTCGATGCCAGAAGAGAAAAGTCGACTGTGAATATGCCAATGTGCCACTGACAAGGGAATTGACTGCGTCAAAGCCCGGCTCTCCGGGGATAGTTCGGGCCAGGAATATCGCCGACCCTCGACTCTATCCTTCGCTGAGTCTAGAAATTGTCAAAGGGTACAGCCAGGATGTCATTAATTTTCTGGAAGACGGGATGCGGGACCTCCCTGTCGTGTTTGCTCGATCTATGAAGACGATGTTCGTTCATCCGGATTTGTTCGAGGGAGAAACCCCTCCGGCTTCGATACAGGAGGCTCATGTGTTGTGCAAGTTGCATCTCACGGCGACTGAAAAGGGAGAGACCCGCTCTCTCGTTCCCGTGTTACGTCGCAAGTCCGCCCAGCTGCAACGACAGGTGAACCATCCAGCCAACTTCGAGGAGCTGCTTGGCTGTATTCAAGCATTGATTCTGATCCAGTGCATGTTGATCCTCAATGAAGACGATGAGGAGGCAACTCCGTACTCCGAGACAGTCAGCACGATGCTCATGGACCTGGCCGAACGATTATGGCAGCAAGCTCCCATTCAATTACCAAACACGCTGAGTCCGAAACGCGCTTGGCTTTTTGCAGAAAGTGTCCGCCGCACGATCATCGTGGGATTCTTGCTTCGGAGCGTGTACTCGCTCAAGAAGAGAAATTATTCTGTCCGGAATCCGTTCATCGATTCGCTTCCTTTCGATGTGCGAGTTTCCCTTTGGGATGCAGAAGACTCGCCTGAGGTGTGGAGAGGAGTACTCTCTGAGTCTGAGTCTTGGCGCTCGATCATGTCTCTGCATCAGTATTCTGCGATGATGGAGAACGGCCGCGTTCATGGCATCCCGCCGTTCGGAGCATTGATCCTGGCGGCTTGCAAGGGCCAGACGGCGTCTGATGTGTCCTATCCCGCCTTAAGGACGTACTACGTTTCGTGATGCTAATCAGTCTGGATTGCTTAAATGAGTTCCATATCATTTACTTCCTTCTACACTAGGCTAGCCACCTATCGCAAAAACTGCTTCAGCAAACCCGACAATAAATGCGTCATCTGATAATACAACTCCTGCCTCTTCAGCTCAAACGCCTCGAACACGCCCTTCGCCGGCCCCACCGGGATCTGATCCTCTCCTCGACACAGTCTCTCCCACATCTCATCCGTGAACTCCTGCAGCGGCATGCCGATCAAATGCCCGTCCTTCAAATCCGGCTGATGCTTCGTATCATGCAACTCGGTCTGCACAGCCGGCGGGAAAATCTCCACGACCTTGACGTCGCCCGGACCGCTCTGCAGCTGCGTGCGCAGCGCCAGGATGAAATGGTGCAGTGCCGCCTTGGTGGCGCCGTAATTGGGACACCGCATCATCGGCACCAGCGCCATCTGGGAGCTTGTGAATGCGATCGCGGTCTTCGAGGGCTGGCTCTGCAGGTGTGGCAGGAAGGCTTTGGTCAGATGTACGGCGGAGATATAGTTGGTTGTCAATTCTGTCTCGAAGATGTCCATGTCGACGGATTCGGGGGCCGCAAAGTCGAAGGCGCGTTGGATCCCGGAGTTGACGAAGATGCAGTCAAGATCGGGGTTACTGGCGATGATTTCAGCGGCGAAGTGAGGGATCTGGACCGTTAGTTTCTGTGCCTAGTGTTTTCCTCGCCATCCTAATGATTTCTAGGACATGTTAAGGACTGGAGGGAACTCACCTGATCCACCTTCAAAATATCAAACACCTTCGCTTGCACTTTCTTCTCGTCGCCTCCATACTTCTGCACGAAGTCATCCAGATTCTCCCGTCTCCGACCAGCCACGATCACCGGGATGTCATTTTCCACAAGCTTGGTAGCCAATGCCTTACCAATGCCGGAGGTGGCACCGATGACCAGGACTTTCTTATAGTCGAAAGACATGATATAAGGAATGAATGGGTGGCTTGAAACACGTCAAATCAAAGTCTGCAATCAGATCAAGAGCACAAGTGAACACAACTCTTCAAAACCAGCACAAAGCCCCCTATTTATACCCCTCCGAACACTCTCTTTCAAAAAAAAAAAAAAAAAAAAAAAAAAAAAAAAAAAAAAAACAGGCTATGTTCTGCGAACTTCTCGCTCGTGATGCCTTCTCCCGCCGTGCGGAGACTAAACCGAAACGAGCGAAGAAGCGGAGTCGGGCGAGATTGATGCCTGTGGGCCTGACCATTGCTCGTGTCCTTTGAGGCCGTCATTGGAGATGTCGCGGCGAGAATGTTGTGTCTGTGGCTGGTATGGTCGGATTGTACTCGTATTCTGTTCGGATTATCAAGCAGTAGGTTAGTGGGGAGGGGGATTCTAGAAAGAACTGTGTTGGTATGGATGGGGAGAAGGGAAGATATTGACTTTGCACTATAACATGGAAAGCATAGTCAAATTTGGTCTATATTCCGAATGAATTAATTGCATATTGAAGTATAGAAAAGTAATTGTATATTTTTATCAACAATCATTCATCCGTGAAATGGGACAACCCAAGTCACGTGATGCCGCATATATGGCTTCATCAAAACAAGAGGACTCGAGGGAGAACTTCAGATAAGCGAGAAACGACCAAGTTGAAATAAGGATCAAGGACAACGTAGATTATGATTTCGCAGATAAAGACCAGACAGCATAAATGAGACCATCCGCGGGCTTTGCCCACCCGGCCGACAGCAACACAGAACGGCGGCTGACATAAGCGCCTACCGGGATTTGCGTCTCCTGCAAACAATCATGAATCCGCATTTCCAACGTCTGCGTCTGCCTCTCTCGACCCACTTGTCCGATCTGTAGACTAAACAGAAAACCCCCCCAAGGCTTGTGGCCTTAGATTAACTGCATCTTCCCCTCACACTCAAATCCCGACCTGCATCACGCCATGGCTTTCCCCGACCCGTTTCTCCCACTTCTGCGGCAATGCCAAACGCAACGGTGAAGCAGAGACCGTGATGAGGAGGCTTTCTCCACTATGTTGTCGCATCCCGGTCGGTGGTACATGCTTGGTGACTGCGCGAGTCGAGCGAGACAGGCCGTTCATGCAGAGACCGTTTCCGAGAGGGCCCGGGTGGACTGAGATGAAGTGAAGTGAGGCGACAAGATGGGAATCGACATCCGAGAGGTGATGCAGGTTGATTAGAAACGGAATGGACGAGGTATAAAGAGGAGGTGAAGGTGCAATAACTTTGAAGTTCCATTCCCTACAAGATCAACTCAGTCTTAGAGTCTCATACGAATCTTCAGTTCTCAATCTCCTCACTTTCTCTACTTCCCACCTTCAACCTTCAAGCTTCCATCTACACCAGCCAATCTTCATCATGGCCCCTGTCCTCAAGAAGTACAAGGCTGCTGCCGTCAACGCTGAGCCGGGATGGTTCAATTTGGATAAATCCGTCCGTAGAACCATTCACTGGATCAACGAGGCCGGTGCCAATGGCTGCAAGTTCATTGCCTTCCCTGAGCTCTGTACGTCCCCATCCTGAACCATCACAGCTAGATAGAACTCTCTAACAAGATCAGGGATCCCCGGATACCCCTACTGGATGTGGAAGGTCAACTACCAGGAAAGTCTTCCCCTACTGAAGAAATACCGCGAGAACAGTCTCCCCTCGGACTCCGACGAGATGCGCCGCATCCGCGAGGCCGCCCGCAACAACAAGATCTACGTCTCGCTGGGCTACTCCGAGATCGACCTGGCCAGTCTGTACACCACCCAGGTCATGATCTCCCCGTCCGGCGACATCATCAACCACCGTCGCAAGATCCGCGCCACCCACGTCGAGCGTCTCGTCTTCGGCGACGGTACCGGCGACACCACCGAGTCGGTCATGCAGACTGACATCGGCCGCATCGGACACCTCAACTGCTGGGAGAACATGAACCCCTTCATGAAGGCCTACGCTGCCTCTTTGGGTGAGCAGGTCCACGTCGCCGCCTGGCCTTTGTATCCCGGAAAGCAGACCCTCAAGTACCCCGACCCGTATACTAACGTGGCGGAGGCCAATGCTGATGTATGTCTCTTCCTTTCTTTTCTTGAACTCCCTTTCCGATTCTCCTCCAAATGAACAGGGAAGGGAAAGCAATGTTGGAATCCACTCAGCTAATAAGACGTTTTCTTCCTCACAGCTCGTCACTCCCGCCTACGCCATCGAAACCGGCACTTACACCCTCGCTCCCTGGCAGACTATCACCGCCGAGGGCATCAAGCTGAACACTCCCCCCGGCAAGGAGCTCGAGGATCCCAACATCTACAACGGCCATGGTCGCATCTTCTCGCCCGATGGCCAGAGCATCGTCCCTCACCCGGACGTCGACTTCCAGGGTCTGCTCTATGTTGACGTATGCCATGAGCCCTTAACCCCCGTCTTATGTATCTTCATGCAGACTATCCATTAACACGGATTCCAAATAATAGATCGACCTCGACGAAATCCATCTCACCAAGTCCCTTGCCGACTTTGTACGTACCCATCCCAGAATAACCCTTTCCACTCATCAAGTAAAGCCTATGCTAACAAAGCGACACAAACAGGGCGGCCACTACATGCGTCCCGACCTCATCCGTCTCCTTGTTGACGGTAACCGCAAGAACCTAGTCGTCGAGGAGGACCGCATCAACGGCGGTGTCAAGTACACTCGCACCGTGGACCGCGTGGGCCTGTCTGAGCCGCTGGACGCCAAGAAGCCCGCTGTCCCCGAGCAGGAGGAGTAAATCGGCTCATGCTGACGATAAATAACTAAACCTTTGAGAATCTCTCCTTTTTGTGACATTATGATTCATTAGTGGATATGTAATGGTCATGGGATATGGTGGTGGGTTGGACTTAGATGCTGAGGGTGTCTTGTCTTTCTCCTGCTGCTGTGGGGGTTTTTTCAGGCTTTTATGTCCCAATTTTATTCCTGCGTTTTTCATTCCAGTCCACGCTTACGAGAGACGTTTATTCGCTGCAACCGCTTTGTTGTGGACGAACAGAATGTGCTCTAGGTGGGCTGGTTTGGGGACGCAAAGAATGGCTTTCATGCTTGTTATGTACATTATTGAGACCTAGGCAGGAGGGATTGAATCGCTGCTCTTTTCTCTCGATTTTCTTTCTCTTTTCCTTTTTTTCCCCCTCCTTTTCTTTTCTTTTCTTTTCTCTCTCCTTTTCGCAATATTCCCTCAATTGAGAGCGTAGAACCGTTTTTGTTCTTTGCCCCTAAAAACAAGGAGAGTCTATGATTATCCGGAGACCGGTGCACGGAGTCCTAAATCATACCTCACCCAAACCCTGGATGGATTATAAGGGATCAACCCCTTTTCCCTGCTAGTTATAAACTTATACAAACTTTTACTAATTGCAAACCTCTCTTTCCAATATCGAAAAAAAGAAAAGAAAGATAAGAAATAGCATTCATTTAAATAATATTCATATTTATTCTCCCCCCTTTTCTGAGCATGTAGCTAGTACTTAGAAAATGAAATCTCATAAATCACAATATCGAGTCGATATCACATGGACGTGATTATTTTCATAATGTTCGAACCTATTATTCATTCACCGATTCCAATCTAGCACACTCCCGAAGGAATCGTCGTGCTAGACGTCCGGCTTATGGCGCTGTAGCGAGCCCCGGAGCCGAGTCCGCGCTTCGCGAAAGCCTTCCAGATCTCGCAGGTGTTGTCACCGCCGGTCAAGGCCGTGTCAGCGTCGATGATGGCGTCGCGGGCTTGGACGAAGTTGGGGTTGCAAGGTTGTCTAGGTTAGATGATTCAGTTAGCGGGGTTTGCTTTCTTAATAATCCTATAATGGGCATTAAGAGGGAGAGAAAACTAACAAGGCCATAGCATCAATCACCAACTTCATAGTCAAGTACTTTCCGTCAGTAGGGACGCCGCTCTTGAACGTCGGTCGAGGGGCATCATTCTTGCCGTGCTTGTCGATCAGGTTCCACAGCAATTCGTAGAGCATGGTGGCCCAGACGGTGCCGGCGGCGTGAACGGAGGTCATGCCGTTCACGCTGGTGTAGGTGAGCGGGTTGGTGCTGGTCGAGGTCGAGTAGGGGTAGGCGCGGATGCCGATGGCCTTGTTGTCGGCCCACGCGCCCATCGGGTAGTCCTTGGAGCGAGTGTCGGCGGACTTTAGACGGATGGCGGTTGCCATAAAATCACCCCATCCTTCGCCCATGCCGCCGGATTCGAAGGCGCTGAGACAGCCGGAGTTGGCGGGTCCGCCGGTGAGACGGGTGGAGACTGGATTTGGGGTCAGGGAGGGTTGAGTTTTGGTGAAGAGGGATGGAAGGGGACTTACGGCCGTGAGTGTATTCGTGAATGACGATACCGGATTCGAAAGAACCGTCTCGGTAGGGAGTGGACTGGGTCCAGATGTACATGCGCATACGACCGGGTTGTCCGTCCGGAGGAGTAGCGAAGTTGGCGTTGTTGGTGCCAGAGCCATCCTGGGCGTTAAGGATCACGTAGTCGCCTCCAACACCGCCCTTGCCCGCGTTGTTCCACTGGAAGTTACCGGCCTTCTCGGTGAAGCCGAGAACATACAGCAGGTCGTGGTAGGTGTTGCCGGTGTAGAAGAGCTGGGTGATGGACGCGTCAATGTAGGACGACGGGGGAGTTGAGCTGGTGGTGTAGGGGTAGCTGAACTGAAGCGACGCGCTCTCCGGACGGTGGTTGTTCAGGTAGCTGGATCCACCGCTGGGGTTGGACTGCGCGATGGCGTTGTTGCCGTGCGTGGTGGTGTAGTTTTTCGATCCGTCACCGATCCAGGTGAACTGCGAGGCAGACAGGTCCCAGGGGTCCTTGATTGTAGTGCGAGATCCTTCGTTAGGGTCATTGAGACCCCATGCGCTGCTATTGTCAGTATTTCAAGAAGCGTGCTGATATTTCCTTGGAAACCTACTAGACTTGATAGTCCGCCTCGGCGACGTAATCAACGACACCGTGAACCGTGTCCTCGCTGTTGGCATCGACATAGGACAGGAGCCAGTTATCCTCAATGTCGGTCTCCACTCTCCAGCTGAGAGCGAGCTTTCCATCCCGCTTCACGAAGTAAACGAGCTTGGCCTTCGGGTCGGAGACGGCACCCGAAGTACCCTTGAACACGTAGGACTCCTTCTCCTGAGTCGACTCAGTCGAGATCTTGTCAGAAGTGATAGACAGCTTGAGAGTGTTGGAAGCACCCTTCAGGGCAGCAACGGGGTCCGAGAAATCACGCTTGTTCAGCGGGTTGGCCTCGGGGATCGCGCCAGTGTAGAAAGAGTTGCCGTAGGAGAAGACCTTTCCGTCTTTTCCGATCTATAGACCAGTTAGTTGGGAATGTGAGAAAGAGAATGAGATGACAGAACTGACGTTGACATTAAAGTCAGCATTGTCAATGTCAATGCCGTGAGCAGTCTGACGGAAGTTGACGTGCGCAACTCCGTTGTCGCCAACGTAGTGGTCGTTGACGACGCGGAATTCGGCGTCCGGGACGATGCTCTTCACGAGCTGAGTCGCCGTCTCGACGTAGCTCTGCTCTTGGAAACCACCGAGCGAAGAGGGAGCGTCCTCCACCGCCTCCGTCGAGTTGGTGTATTTCGCCTGGGATACCAAGCGGAAAGCACTCAGATCGATGGTACGACGAGTGAGGGCATTGGTCTGATGGGTGGGGTGAGAGAGAACAGCGAGAGGAAGGGCGATGGCCCCAAGAAGCAAATTGCGCATCGTGATGGATGAAGACGATGAACTTGGATACGGAACGAACGTGACGGGAGATTAGATGAAAACAAAAGAAAGAGTCGTAGAAGATAACAAGAGAAGAGAAGAGAGTGGAGGGGAGGGGAAAAAGGAAGGAAGGACGGAGTGTGAAAGATGAGAGTCACAGCGTTGTGGTCACCTCCGGGACTATTTATACCGGAGCTTCTATGTGGCATTCAAATGTTGGCCCAACGGTGAACAGGATCACTTCACTTCAATCCGCGAACCTCCGTCACCATTCCCGGCGAACCTCCGTCACCATTCCCGGTGAACCTCTGTCAAGATTCCCAACGAGCAATAGGCTACGGGCTCCCCTCATCTCATCTCCGAGACAGTTACATTAGATTTGATCACATTATCGCTATCTTCATGCACCTCCGGACAGGGGGATCAGCTGAGGAAAGCATCCGGCCGGGGTGCTTTCTGCAGCAACACAAACCGCAGTGGGATTGTGCAGAAGGGGGGATTAGAGTGAATGAGGTGGGCCGTCGGGTCTCCGAGTAGACATCATGCAGAATCCACCTAGGAGCCTGGGCAGGGGTATCGGACCAAGACATTTATATTGAAATTAGTGCAAAAGTTGCGGACCCTGATTAAATGCCGGAAAGTGCATGATCGCTAACCAATAGCCGTAGACAGGGCAGAAGGCCCTCCGACGGCCTGAAATAAGAAGCATCTTGGCAGTTTCTTGGGTTACATGAAGGGATCCAGGCCACGCTAACTTAGCTCCGATATCAACCCCGCGGATTCTGTCTTTTCACTTTTTGTCAGCTGAAAGCGGGGGCAAAAGCGATGCGAAAACTGGAAACATGTGGTGGGCACTATGTTTGCCTGCCAAAAGGCATGAATCACAAGCGACAGTGCAAGATGACTTGGTGGCAAATGCTGTGCAACCCGCAAAGGCACCTCGTGGTGCAGTTGTTATCAACGGGGCGAATCCGTTCGCGTTGCGACGTCGTGCAGATGAGCCCAGGCGCGCCGTCGACAGGGGATCTCCTGGTTGAATGGCGGGCAGCAGCACACTAAAGGCAACACTTGAGGCCCCTGACAGCAGATAGACTTGCCCCGTCTTATTGGGTGCTAACAGGCTTGGCTGCGGCATCTTCTTCGTGGTGGAACGTGATGCATGTCGACCTGGATCATTTGGGAATATGCGACAGGAACAGCTGGAAAGGCGACGTGGAGGATCATCTCAACCAGAGCAGATGAACGGGAGTAGAGGAATGTTGAAGAAAGAAGGGTCGAAGAGACGGAAGGTACATACTTTAAACTCAATGCTCGTTATGCCGAATAATGCATCTCGGTTGTGCCTGCATAAGATTGATAAGGCGATTATCCAAGGCGATGACGCCATCGACATCCCGCCTGTCCTCAGGCATTCCACATCGACGCTCTCTCCTTTCTCCTCTTCTGTGGAACGAGTTCCTCCTTCTATAATGCGAAAATATAGAACATGACCAGTAACAATATGAGACGAATACCTCTCGATGCGATCGCGCCTGAGATGCATGCTCAACTCTCTTCAAAGGTCCGAAAAATGCATAACTCATCACATTCTCACTAACAGTATTTACAGAGATCATCCAACTGTCATTCATAAGACAGAAACAACATCACCAATCCTATACCTTGATCCATCGTCCCATCCACGTCTGCACAACGCTCTTGGCCTCATCCACCAATCCAAGGTCCAAAAGAAGCTGGGTCGTTCCGCGGACAGCCGAGTCAAGTGCGGAGAAGATCCAGGCGTGGGTATAGCTGGTGTGCTCGCCAATGAAGATCGTCTTCATCTCGGTCTGGTAATACGCGGGGAGATACAACTCCTGCTGCCCGGCCCAGGGAGAGGCCCAAGCACCGGCCTGGTGCTCGTCGACTTCCCAGCATTGTCGGTCATAAACACCTATTCTTGTTAGTGGCTTGCTGAAAAAGGGAAGATGGGGGCTTGGAGGTACCTGTGAATTGTTCGGTCGCGATGGGTCCGTGGACCTCCACCATGGCGCGCTGGACTAGAGCGACGTGGTCTTCTGTGCTCAAGGATGCTGTCGAACGAGATGGAGTGCCACTGATGTACGATGCGAGGATCACACCTGGACCGGTGCCGTTGATGTTGAAAGAAGGATAGCAGACATTGCCGACACCGGGAACGTCCACGGTACCGCATCCGCCATAGATGGGATTCTCTTGATGTTCCCAGAATCGCGTCTCATAATGCAGTGCCACCTTGCAGGATGGACTATAATTCATCGTGGAGATGGCGCGACTGAGCAGAGATGAGTACCGCGGCAGATCCCATAGCCGGACTTTGCTGAACGGCGTCGCAACCACGGCATAGTCATACTCTTCGCTTTCCGGGACCATCTGCAAAGGATCATTGCGCCAATTGACGGAAATCTTCTCGGTCGTTGCGTTGTATGTTAGACCGTCGACTTTGCGACCCAGGGTTGTCTTGTCCGCAACGTGTGGCCAGAATGCACGGGGAAGAGACTCCAGACCCTTGTCGATAGTGCGCCATGTTGTCGCTGCGAAATAGATGTTCTCGAAGAAGTCGCCCCAGATCGCATTGGGGCTGATTGCGCTAACGTAGTCGCTGACATTGGCGTTATACCCCAGGGCATATCGCAGGTAGGCTTCCTCAGACCAGTCAAGCAGTCCGTGCTCCACGGCCGCCTTGTGAGCACGGAACAAGTTCGAGGCCACCTTTTTCATCATGCTAACATCTGTTTGTTCGGTGAATTTCTCGAAGTCGGCCTCGGCATCTGCAGCGGCTGTTGCATTGGATGAGGCCGCCGTGAATGACAGCGATGGGTCTGCGTCTACCTGTCCAGAAGTCGGTATCCGACCGTTAGGGAGACGGTTTCCACCGCTGGATATGGGCGTGTTCGGGTTTTTCTGAACAAATGGGATAAAGTCGACGCTGAGTTCCGGATGATCATTCGCATTCATCTTGTTCAGGACGTCAGCCAACTGGAACACCATCTTGTGGTCCTGGATGTCGAAAGTCTCGTTCGTCTCGGCATACGTGATGCTGACAGGAAAGCGCATCGGGCCCATTTCTTGGTACTGGTACTGGTCGGGGCGCGTGTCGTTGAGGTATTTGGTGCGAATACGGCCACCAATACGGTTCGACGATTCGATGATGTGCCAATTGTGCATACCGACGGATTCCAGAAGGTGACTGGTCAGCAGTCCTGCCATTCCGCCACCAACAATCGCAACAGATGCGTTCTTCGCTTTGCTCACGACTGCTTTTCCCGGATCCTTTCCTTTCATGTATGCCACGCCGTCAAACCACGGACCCATTGCATCTGCAACATCTGCGATACTCTCCCGACGAACGATGGGAGCAGCGACAGAGATGGGCTCAGATCTTCCAACGAGTGTGGACCCAGAGAATGCATGCAAGCAGTGCAAGTGCGGTGCGTCGGATGGCGTGGCCCACACGAAGCGCTCGGGGTATGCGTCGCGCTTGATGGACATTGTGCCGATGTCGTGGTGACGTTCAGAAGTACTGACAAGCTCACATTCCCCATAGACAAGCTCTATATCACCATGAAGACTGTCGTCCAGGAATTCCAAGTGAACGTTATGTACCGAGTCGGCCGTGATAGTGGATGGGATATGGAAACGAAGCAAGTCGGATTGCTTATAGACAGCAGCCGCGTAGCTGAGACTAGAAAGTCCCAGAGTCAGCAGAAGTCGGCGCATGTGCTTCATTGTCGCCGCCATGATTCAAACAAAACTGATGATGTCTACAGAGAATCGTCTTCCCTGCTTCTTTCTGGTCTTTTATAGATCTCCAATCACACCCAAACCCAGACCGCTGGTCCACCGCTGTCTCCAGCTGATACCTGTTCATTCTACATTGATCAAATCTGATACAGACTCATCATCTCGTATCTATCAAGATCATAGATGACATCTTTACGTAAATGCGAACCCTCCGAGGAATAAAAACCTCATCTCAAGACTCCGAACACGCCGATACCCCGAAAACCAATGACCCGCTGCGAATGCTACAAAACGTCCCATAATGGCTAAACCACATCTATCTCTGCTCGTCCTTATCTCAGACCTTGCACGTATAAGCGGCGTTATCAACCCAAGGTTCGGCATAACCACCCTATGACTCCGACTCCGGTCCCCAGCTATAGCCAAATCACTGCGTTGTTTCCCCCAACGTCACCACTACCTAGGTAGGCAGGTGGGTAGAGAATTCCACACCCCCGGGAGATCCAGATTCCAGCCAAAACTCGGAGAAAATCCACACATCTCACTTTAACTAGTACCGTTTTCGCATGGCGCTGCCCACGAAGGTAATGATTGACATGTCGCGGGATATCCGGATCCAGCTCTTATCAAGCATCAACATCGGAAGAGGGCAACTCAACAAGTCCGAGCATCGTGCGGAGCGATGCTAGGTCCCGACGAGCATCCTTCCGCTGGAGATTCTCGGAACCTGGACACGCGCGGGTCGAAGTGTTCTTGGCATAAGATTTAGGCTGCCCCGTAGCGTCGTTCGTTTGCTTTATCATCCCCACATTGCAAGGCGGAGGGTAGCGATATTCCTTATCAGTTGGTCAAACACAAGGCGTGGAAGTGTCTTATCTTGGAATATTAAACTGATAGAGTGATAAGACGAGAGAGGGGCTTTCTTTCCATTCTTCTTCCTTTTTCTTCCACGAACAATAATTGCTGTCGTCGGGTTGGTCTGTTTAGACGATTACGATGGCACTGATTAGGCACGTGGGTATTCTCTGATGGGTTCTTTTGGGTGTTCTCCACGAGGCTTACAGCTCGCTAGTGCAATATCACTTGGGGCGCGAAATGCGAAAAAGCCGAAGCGACGCGGAGTATCAAGTATAAAAACTAAATGTCTGATTAGAGAGGTGCCAAGGTTCGCCGAACTCGGGGGAGTTTTACAATATAGAGATAATTGACTGGTAGCGATGATGTAGTACAGTATATGAAGATCTATCTCATATTGAAAATTTGCTTGGATACGGAAGCCTCGCATAGAGACATAGCGATATACAAAGCTTTCTCATAACCCAATACATGTAGTCCCTGAGCATGTAAATGGCTGGTAAACAGAATACAAACCTCCTTTCATTCCTATCATTTCGAAGATTTTATGATTTTATGATCAATCTTTTACGGCGCAATGACAGTAAATAGGGTAAAAGAGGAGATATTAGCACTGTTGATCTATAATTATCTATATGAGTAGAGTATCATTCCCGACGGCTCCTGAAAATAGCCCGTGCCACATCACAATTAAGCTGCTGTATTATGCAGCCTGACTCCGGTGACATGAACACCTCCCGCGCCCCCTTATATGCAGCTGTACCCGCGGGCGCATAATCAAACATCAGACAATTTCATTATTTCCATCCAGGTCACACATCCGATTTTAAACAGCAGCATACAAACTTTTGTTCTGTGCTAGTCGGGCAGCAATGAGAAGCAAGCTGCCAACAAGGAGACTGACCCCCGAGTATATCGAGAGGGGAAGGTAGCCGTATTTTCCGGCTAGTTCACCGCTGATGGGGACGCCTGCCATTGCTCTGTAGATGAGGAAGGGAGGAAATTAGCTTTTGTCAAGAACGTTATCGAAGACTTCAAGGGGACATACGAAAGGGATGTAGACGCCATGACGACACCGATCGTAAGCCCGAGCGTCCGTGGAGTGGCGATTTGTGCGGCGCAGGCTTGCTGAAGGGATAGAATCCCCTAGAGAAGGTCAGTTGGTCAATGGCCATGTCAGAGAATGGAGTGAACTACTTACGCCGGAAGTGAATCCATACGCAGCGGCGAAAATGACCAACCCTGCCACAGACGTCGCCTTGGTCCAGCACAAAGCAATGATCCCGGATAAGAAAGTGGCGACGACGCAGCAGTTGAACTTGCCATAGCGGTCTGCAAGAAGACCGGGAAGAAGACGACCGAAGAACGAGGCGCCGTTGATGATAGAAGTTGTGTAGAATGCAAGGTCGGAAGAGAACCCCTTCTCAACAGAGTACGAGGTGGTATAGAAGAAAGGCGAGAACATGCCGAAGTAAATGATGAAGAACGCGACGCAGGTGAGAACCACAGACGGCTTTCGGAGGAATGAATAATCTGTCTTCTCGGGAGTGTCTTTCTCTTGCCCTTTCGATTCGTTGTCATCGGAGCTGGATTTCTGCACAGCGGGCGAGGAAGTCTCCAGCGGCGGACGACACCACAGGCAGGTGAGAGTCAGGAAAGGAATCATAATGAACCCGGCAATTCGCATGGTCCAGCCGAATCCAATATTGGGCCTTTTCATCAGCTGGGTAAGGACGATGGGCCACACCACGCCTCCCAAGGAGGAGCCTGAAATCACAATCGCCATCGCGATGGCACGCTTGACCTTGATATATTGGCCGACAAGTGCGAGTACAGGACATACTAGCAGCGCCATAGACATCCCAAGGAGAACACCCTGGGCCAGGATGAATTGATAAAACTCCTTGCACAGGGAGGTCATCATAAGAGACAAGACCACCCCTACAGAACCGATCAACACAGGCCACTATAACAGCATTGTTAGTTCGGCGCATGAGCGGGCATGAGCCTAAGGACCCTGCAGAGCGACCTACCCTAGGACCAAACGCATCTTGAATAGGGCCAGATATCACCGATACAGAGAAAACGAAGAAGATGGCAATCGCGCCTAGCCATGCGATCGTCGATTGTGATTCGTCGGCTAGTTGGTTCTTTGCATAGTGTTCTTCGAAGACCGCGAACGAGTTGACGAAGCCGACCGTGCAGAAAGCTCCAACAGTTGCTCCTATGATAACGAGCCAGGCCCGTTTCCTGAAAGAGGGATTTGTTAGTCGCTTTTCTCCATTGTGGCTCCGGAAGAAAGGTAGCACGAACGTATATTCGCTGGGCGGGTTTTCATCCACCGCCGAGTTATCTAGGCTCCCCATTGTTCATACACAAGTGCTTAAAACAGAAAGGAACGTTGTTGAGTCCAGCAAATCATCGAGATGAAAAGGGCCTTGGCTCACTCGTGCGCAGCCTGATCCTGTTTGGGAATTTGATCGAGAGCTGTCTGATGACCAGCGGGCCCCTTTATAGCTGGAAGAAACAAATTCTGGCATCTTGCTTCGTTCCGATGACCACGGAGAATCCGGTGGAGGAATGTGGACGAAAACAAGGAGAGTGAGTAGTAGTAGTTACTTGCAAGCACTCAGGGCAAGAGAGGCCGTAGATTGCCTCCGGGCCCGGAGCCTCCGACCGGAGTGTCCATCTAGGTATCGGGAGACGCAATCTCTGAAAAGGGGCCAAATGCCCCGGTCGTCAGTTCTGGCGGAGTCAATATTTTCGGACCTAGTCGAAACAATACTTTTTTCTTGCATTCTGTCCAGTCCACAGAATTCTTCCCATTTTGCGCGTCGATGAACTCTCACAACAGACCTCCTCCGGCCATGGTCGGGCGGTTGCACGTGACCCAGCCCGTGGAGTCTCCGGCGAAGCGGCCCAGCGCTGCTCGGCCATCCGCGCCCGCGCCAACTGCCACGATGAAGCGAAAGGACGCATCCCAGCTTCCTGACCCAGCTGCAAAACGTCGTCCCAGACAGGATCCGGTCTCATGTGAGTCCTGTAGACGGAAGAAGCTCAAATGCAACCGACAGCAGCCGTGTGAGAGCTGTGTCACTCGCAAACTCCCTTGCAGCTACGGTCCCGGGGTTTCCGTCTCTCAATTGTCCAAGACTGCAACACACGACGACAATCGAACAGACTATGACTCCACTCGGTCCTACGGCACAGATGGAGCTCGGATATCCGCTGGGGTGCCCCCTCCATCCGCTCCGGTCTGCCAGCAACATCCGCAGCAACGGTACAGTAGGGAATCAGCGGCCACCGCGGACTTACTGGAGCACATACACATGAGTGCTCGAGTGCCCACTGCTGCACCAAGATGGTTGAGGGATGACTTTGATGAAACCATGAAAAGGGGACTCTTATCCATGGGCAGTCCGAATTCTCCCTCGGGGGCACAGTTCTCATTGCCCACACGCGAGTGGAATGCTTCGCGTGAGAACCCGGCAACCATCAATCTGATCCAGTTTGTGCCCACGAGACAGGAGGCGACCGCACTTTTTCGGTACTATTCAAAATATGTCGATTATTTGTATCACATCATTGTCTTGAAGCGGGCTGAAGCACAAATCAACGGTGTGTATGAGTGCATCGAACGAGGCTCGCCGGTCAACCTCGACCATCTAGCCCTGTTATTCAGTATCGCTGCGAGCGCATTGTATTTGCAGTTGTCTTCTGAATCATCGCCCTACTCGGAAATATGCTGTCAAGAGTTTACATTTTTGACGGGTGCTGCTCTGATTCAGAATAATCACGCTGCATCTCCCACCCTGGAAGGCCTCCAGGCGGTCATGCTTGTCGTGCATTATGTTTGCAACCTGAGTTCTCATGAATCAGTCAGCGCGTTATTTATACACGGTGCCATCGTGAGCCAGGCAAAAAGTCTCATGCTGCACTGTATCGACTCTCCTCGAACCCGCGAAGCGAGGGATCAAAGTAAGGTGGACCCTGTTGAAGTTGAGATCAAACGGCGGCTTTGGTGGGATATTACAAGTAGTGAATGGTGAGTCTCATTACCCTACCGCTTCATCCCATACCTTGACTTTCTGGACTATTCTAGGTTTCTAGGCTTCCTAAGTGGTCCCCAGGAATGGACCTACCAAATCTATCCCCAACATATGAGTGTGAACCAACCACGCAATGTCGACGACGAAGCTTTGGAAAGAAACCCGAGCCTTGCATCATCACCCAGATCTGTACCTACTGACATGTCTTTCACACTGGAGCGGCTCGAGCTCTCTTTCGCGTGTCGCGACATTATAGACTCAATAGCCTATGAGCAGCTCAACGGGCTCGAAATCGACTACTCGAAGATCCTGGAACTGGATCGAAAAATTCACCAAGCTTTGTCGGAAGTCCCAGAGTTTTTCCGACTTGATCCCGGCTCACGGCGACGGTTTGCGAATCTCTACAAAGAGCGGCCCACCTTGGCTTGGCAGAGGTGTGTTCTACAGCAGGCCTACTACTCACGCATCTGCCGCTTGCACCGTCAGTTCTTCATCCGCGGGGCGCGGGATCCAACCTACTCATATTCCCATGTGATCTGTCTTCAGTCCGCTCGCAAAGTGCTCGAGATCAAGAGGATTATGGACGAAGAGGAGCCCAAGTTCACGCCACCAAGCTCTGTTGTCTGGTCCGTGATGCACCACATATTCATGGCCGCCGTGATCTTGTTACTCGATGTCTGTTTCAATTGGGACGATATCCTTGCCGAGAAACGCAAGGAGGAAGTCCTAGATGCCTGTCGCGTTCTGAGTAAGGCGCAGCAATCGTCGTGTCTCGTTAAGGAAGGCATTCAGGCCATGATGAACACACTCCAGAAGCACTGGAAGAGTGACAAATTATCAGTCTCCAGCGGGTTGCAGCCGAATCAGTCTTCATCGCCAGTCGTAGGGCCCATGGCTGAAGATTCTGCACAGCCGGCGATCGTTCCCTTAGAGCCAAATGACAAGTCAGTGGCTGTTGCGCAGACGTGGGGCAGTGCACCTAATCTATCTACGAATCAATTTGTCGATGGCGATGAGCGACAGCTCGAAGATATATGGTCGGAGTTCCTCGAGAACGGTTACAACTATACATTTGAGGATGCGGACTGGACAGGACTATTGACCGAGTTGACTAGCGCGACGATACCCATTGGATGATCTTTGTATTGCATATTGACGCATGTATTGATTTAGTATGAATAGCTAATACACCTCGAGCTATTCTTTCTTGAGGTCTCATCGTTCGAAGCCTGATTTCCCCTGCTCTTAGAAAGTTTAATGACGATCGTGCAACAACCACCCCGTCTTCCATATCATCCAATAAATGGCAAATCGTTCCGCCTGAGCTGAAAACACGCAAGCCTTCAGCCGCGAGGAATCTATTCAACCACAACCTCCACCTTACTCTTATCTACCATCATCCGTCAGCATCTTCCACCTCCCAAGAGAATAGCTACTCACAAAATGCAATATGATCCTTGATATTCAAGGCCGCATCATACGGCTTCGGATAATACCACGCTACATTGGAAAATGACTCATCTGACCAAACAAGCAAGGAACTGTCAGCTCCGATCAAGTTCTCACTGCAGCATGAACCTTACCCCCAACAACGACTGAATAATATGACGCAGTTCCTTTCCAGGGACAATACGTCGTCAAGTCTGTTTCTGCGAACTGGGATTTATCTTTCAGTGCTGATGGAGGGAACTATTGTGTAAGCGGGTTAGAATGTAGTTATAGATTGTTTCCGTCCCTATGCGGCATGGTACTGGGAATCGGTGGAAATACGTAGATGTTGCCCTCGACAGATTCCCAGGTGGGTGATTCTGCTAGGACGGTTCCGTTAAGGATGGCTTTGGCGAGGGGCATGTTGATTTATGTTGCCGTTTATCGAGAGGTGTCTACTAAGTATGGAGAAGAAAGAGGGGAAGGTGAGGTCAATGGTCGATGCCAGATGCGGGGATCCCCGCCATGAGGGACACTGCTTACGCGATATGCTGCTTTGTAACTAGGCTCCTTTGATCTTTTTGTCTACTACGAGCGAAACTACATCCTCGGGGTAATGGAGTATCTTAGCATGTAGCACTTCGAACAACAGAGATAACCAAGGCAAATGTGAAGGAAAGAGCAAGTGCACTCTGCCGGCGATGGCTTCGTACTTCATTTATCATCGGCGATCATATAAAGACGCACCATACTCCAGGAACTCACATTTGTCTTCAATACATACGGTGACCTCACTCATATGGTGAAATTCTGAGTCCAACATCTGAGAATAACTGGCCCAAGCGGTCCAATGCCGGTAGTATCGGGGAAAATATTACGTCGAAACAAGTCCACGATCTCGATATCTTCCAGTTCACTGTATGGTTCGTCACCGGTCGCCATTTCATACAAAGTTGAACCAAATGCGAAAATTTCTGTCTTCTCTGAAATTATAATACCCTCGGAAGTCGAAGGGCGGTTCTCAGGAAGCTAGTAGCTAGCACTGTAGCATACCTTCGCAGGCGAGCCATTGATCGATGACCCAGCAAAGTCGCTAAGTTTTATATTGAAGTTGCGATCAAGACATAAATTTTCGCAGTTGATATCCCCATGTAATACCCCCTGTCTGTGACAGAAGGCCAACGACTTCGCCGTTTATTTCACCCACTGAAGAAGAGTACATTCGAGGGGCGCTTCGTTTTTGCGCAGAAATCGCCGAACATCACCCTTCTCAGCGAACTCTAAGACGACATTGCCATTCAAAGTCTCGAAGTACTGTAGAATGGAAGAGGGTCGGTCTCTTGACTGGGCAAAGTGTTCGTAGATCTTCGACTCTATTGAACTACGTTCCTGCGCATCTGGATCTCCACCATGGGGGATTTTAGCGACCCGAAGCGTATCCGGATAGCGTGCAACAAGGCCTGTTGTTCCAAATGCAATGATATCTTGACAGTCAATCCCTGGTGGGAGTTTGTGTTGTCGTTACTCTCTGTCATAATGGAAAGCGAACGACTGGTCAATGTTGACAGATAAGGGGTATTTGTTGACCCTTGTTGGTCTGACCAGGAGTGGAGATTATTTGAATCACACTCCGGGCGGATGTGTTTCTTGGCATAGGTATGGTGCGATCCCCAGTTCTACGATATAGACTTTTGGGATGATTGAGCCAGGAAACCCTGTTTTTAGTTGAAGGACACATTGTGCTGGTGCTCTTTAAGCAGCAAACATTGCTTATATGCTATATTAATGCATTGGTCTAGGCATATCGTCGTGGGTTTTCAAGATCACACTTTGATATATATCTCAACGGGAGTGATGACTTGAATGATGCACGGTGTACTGCGTGATGCTTCATGTTCATCGGGTCCTGCCTATTTCAGTACCGTAGGTCTTGACGTAGTCCACAGTAAGCCGAAGGATTGTCGCTGTGGCTCGTGTTACTTGACAAATACCCGAAAGATTAGCCAGGATGCAAGTAACGAGGTTATAGTATAATGAGAGCCACAGCCTTGGTGCCTAAGGCATGTATGAGTGGGCGGAATTGCGGAATTGCGGAATCTCGGAATGAATGCGCCCTTTTCGTGACAAGTTTTCCTTCCCCTCCATCTTCCTTCCGACACTTCTCTCTCGCCCTCCTAAACCAGGAATAAGTTGACGGATTGATCGAACTATCGCCATCTGTCTTCATTTCACTACTTTTCTTATTGACACCAGAGCTTTCGCGCCTTTCAACCGGCTTCAGAAGTTCAATTGAGTGCATCCCTCACCTTCGGAAGCTTCCGACCGCGGGCAAAAATCCACAATGGATCGAGAGCAATTCAGAACGGCGGCTCATGCAGCCATAGATGATAGTCAGTCGTTCGATTTTTTTCGTGTCCAGATCAGCGGTACTAATGCAACGACAGTTATCGGTTACTTTGACAGCATGCCGTCGCAGCGCGTCGTGCCCACGGTCGAACCGGGGTACCTGCGTCCTCTGATTCCTGAGAATCCGCCCGAGGAGCCGGAAGAATGGTCGCAGATCCAGGCCGACATCGAGAACAAGATCAAGCCCGGGCTAACGCACTGGCAGTCGCCTAACTTCATGGCTTTCTTCCCGGCTACGGTGACATATCCTAGCATTCTGGGCGAAATGTACTCCGCTGCGTTCACGGCTCCTGCGTTCAATTGGCTTTGCTCGCCGGCTTGCACGGAACTGGAGACTATTGTCATGGACTGGATGGCTCAGGCCCTGGGCCTTCCCGAGTGCTTTCTCAGTACGTCCGAGAATCGCGGAGGCGGTGTCATTCAGGTCACGGCTAGTGACACCATTGCGACGGTGATGATTGCTGCTCGGGAGCGACAGGTGTATGAGCAGGCGCGCGCAGAGGGGCTGAAAGAGGGGACGGTGGAGTTCGAGGACCGGTTGATGGATCTTCGACCGAGGTTGGTTGCGCTGGGCAGCAACCAAGCGCACAGCAGTACCGCCAAGGGCGCTCTGATCGCGGGAACCCGCTATCGCAGCGTCACTGCGCAGTTGGAGAATAACATGGAGATGACTGGCGAGGGGTTGCGAGCTGTGCTGGAGCAATGCGAGAAGGACAACCTCACGCCGTACTATATCACCCTTGGAATGGGCACGACCAACTCCTGTGCCCTGGATCGCTTTGCGGAGATCAAGGCCGTTTTGCGAGAGAAGCCATCCTGGCAGAAGATCTGGGTCCACATTGACGCTGCCTATGCTGGAGCGGCTCTCGTGGCGGATGAGTGGCAGTATATTGCCAAGGACTTTGCGGAGGGCGTGGATAGCTTTAACATGAATATGCACAAATGGCTTCTCGTGAACTTCGACGCTAGGTATGTTGTCAAGGGTTTGATCGGCAGGAATCATCGCTAATGTTTCAAACAGCCTCCTCTTTGTTCGGAACCGTCACGACTTGACTGATGCTCTTGACATCACTCCCGCCTACTTGCGCAACCCCTACTCCGACGCCGGCACGGTCATCGATTACCGGAACTGGTCCATCTCGCTCGGACGACGATTCCGAGCCTTGAAGATCTGGTTCGTCGTTCGCAGTTATGGACTCAACGGAATGAAAGCTTTCATCCGGCGAACCATCAAAATCGGCGAAGTGTTCTCCAACCTGGTGCGCAGCCGATCCGACCTTTTCGAGATCGTAACCAAGCCCGCTTTCTGTTTGACTGTTCTCCGAATCAAGAACCCGAGTCACGCAGTCACGAACGGGGAGGCGTCGGTTGCTCAGCCCGATGAGAAGGCGAATGCGCTGACCAAAGAAGTTTATGAGCTTATCAACTCGCGTGGCGAGATCTTCATCACCTCGACGGTGATCGCCGGGGTTTATTCCATTCGCGTGGTCAGCTCGAATGAGCAGGCCGACGAGAAATACATCCGTCGGGCTTTTGACATTCTCGTCCGTACGACCGAGGAGGTCTTGCAACGAGCGCAGTAAGCTGATATAGAAACTTGTGCATATTGTGTATTTGGATATCAACCTACGTACATATTGCGTGTGTCGATTATTGTCGTATGTGTTATGATTTATTTGTTATGGAAATTTTGTCATTTGGAAGGTCATTCGGAAGAAAATTTGGAGAGTTTGCATGTTATTCACTGTCGCCATAGAATTCATGTTTTGTATTGTAGTTGAGGTGATCGACCACGGACAATTAGGACCCCGAGTAAACTTGACAGCTAAGGCAATGTATGAAAATGTTTAGCAAAGAAGGAAGATCATCCGAGAAACGGGTTAGCCCAACGGAAAGTTGCCGAAGCCAGTCCATCCTTGGGGATCGTTTCTCAGGACTTCCACAAGGCTGGGAAAGGCGTGACAACTCTGGACCCAATTCAAGACCGCAATGCACATGAAACCGAGACGTCTAAGCCTCTCTGACAACCGCGCAAGGCTCGCGGACGATTTCCAAACGGTCAAAGATTCTTTGCAAAATTTACGAAGCGGCCGCTGGCAAGGCTGTCACTGCGCCACGAGGGGGCCAAAAACTAGCGTCAATCCTGTAAAATGTCCCCTTTTCCCAACATCTTATCATCCCCGTCGAGCCGTCGACAGTCAACAGTCCAAATTCTGATTCTCCACTGTCCACAAGCGACATTTTTTACCTACCAATGATTCTTGAGTTAGTGTTGTAGAAACTAGAACCCCGCGCCAACATGCCTCGAAATGTACACAATCCGCTGCCAGCGTCGCTGCACAGTAAGTTTCGATCCCTCCGCTTGATGCTTTGAGGAACGCTAACCCGGAAACAGGCGAATGTTTGAAGACCAAACAGATCTTAGAGTCTTTCATCGATGGTTCATTCACAGGTAGTCCCGGCAAGGAAATGCCAGCGCGTTTCCTCGGCGAAGCCAAGGTACGTAACTACCAGCCCGAAGGGATGGACCTTATCTCGATCACTAACACAGGAACCAACACTTACCCGATGCAGGGCCTCGCCATTATCACCGTCACGCGAGCTGGCTTCCTAGGCTCGATCCGAATCGGCTCGGGGGTTCTGATCGCCCGACTCGACGGCGGCCGGTGGTCTGCGCCGTCAGCCGTCGCGACCGCCGGGCTCGGATTCGGTGGCCAGTTCGGCATCGAACTGACGGACTTTGTCTTCATTCTGAACGAACGCGCCCTGCGCACGTTCTCCCGCACGGGAAGCCTAACGCTAAGCGGGAACATCTCCATCGCGTTCGGGCCCTTTGGGCGCAGCGCTGAACTGTCCGGCGGAGCGAGCTCGAACGGCCTAGCGTCCATGTTCAGTTACTCGAAGACGGTGGGCATGTATGGCGGTGTCACGGTGGAGGGGGGAATGTTGGTGGAGCGGAAATCGGCGAACAAGAAGTTCTACAAGAGTAAGGTTACTGCGGAGCAGTTACTTCGGGGAGAGGTTGTTCTGCCGGCCGCGACGCAGTCCTTGATGCGTGTTCTGAGCCATAAGATGTTTGATCCGCCGGCGGAGGTGGAATCGCGTGAGGTTCCGGTCTCGCGTGAAATCGCGCAGCCAGATGGCATGGTGGAGTTATCGGCAAGAGCTGAGGCGCAGCCACCGTCTGAGCTGCCTATTGAGTCGAGTCGAGCTGTTCCGTCACCGAGTACATCCCCGGGTCATGAAAGTGCGCGAGATTTTGGAATTATGCCGGAGCTTGATGGAACTCCATGTACACCACAGCCGGCCGAGCTGCCTTCAGAGCCGAATGCGCAGCCCCAACCAAACGCGCAGTCCCCGACGGCCGAGCTACCTTCAGTACCGAGCGCTCAGTCCCCGAGGGCAGAGATCCCTGTCCAGGTATCGGAGCCGCCTTCGAGGAAACCTCTACGGCAGGATTCGGGACAATCATCGGGGACAGCAGATGAGGAGCCTACTACGGAGAAACCCGCCGCAAGCAGGACTTTACCTCCACAACCTCGTTCGGAGGGATTCGTTATCAGCGGATGAGGATAGTCGTATCCCTTTCCACGGAGAACGGCATATTATTCTCCCAAAAGAGAGTCCTGACATGCCATTGTTTTGGAAGAAATGTACCATTCTACACTGTATATAGACTGTCTTAGCTTTTATCTACTTGATTCCCCTATCGCAATATTGACATGTTATTGTCTGCCTCTCGTGCTTCTGATAAATGGCCCATTCATACACTCCAGGTCAGACAGACGCCTAGATCACTTGGAATTCAAACTCAACAGCAACTTATGCAGGGGTTCTTGACAAGTCATGGGTTGGAGAACAAAATACGTACAAATCAACCAAGATACAAGTGAACCTACCTTTGCCTGCCCAAAAGACCCTACCTACAAAGTACTGTACAAAGGTATTAAACCGCATCCAGTCTAGCGTCCAGCCACATCGACTAGCCCTCTTCGGCAGTTCCTTGTATGGTCTGAATAACAAGTGAGTAATATTATTAATTCATTTAATTCATAATGAACACTGGCGGTGAAGAATCCACACGGCTTAAACCCTGTCCCTCGAGCCTTGTGACATGAAATTTTCTCCGGGTGCATTTAGCTAGCAGCTACCTGAACCACGACCGGGTGTTCTCCGATACGGACAACTGACTGACCCCACGGGGGCTCCACGAAGCGGTCAATTGTGCTCCGTACCGTGCCCGTGGGACCTGAGACCTCCCCTCTCCCTTCCCCTCCTCCCACCTTCGTGTTTTGATTGAGATCTGCATTGTGATTCTGGAAGGAGGGGGATCTGACTAGTTAGGAAGAGGTATTTCTTTACTCCGGAGTGGTTTCTAGAACTGAAGAACGCCCGATCGTGAAGCTTAGAAAAACAAGGCGTAAATCCCGGAATTGAGTTTTCACTTTTATTTTCTTTACACTAATCAAGTCCCTAGCTAAATGGACTGATTAATTAATTCATCAATTAATTATAACCGCCATATGACCGGGATGAATAGCCCTAAGCTGCACGGCGCTACATGACCGACCAGGATCTGTTAGCTGCGGTTAGAGTTGGTGCTAAACTGGAAGAAGACAAAGAGGCTGTTTTTCCCTTTTTGGAGCTGTTCTGCGCGGTGCATTTGCTCTTTGCTCTTTGTTGTTTTGTGGGTGAGGTGTTTTACTTTCTAGCAGTGGGAACCTTGGTGCCCCTCCCTCCAAGGCTAGCTAGCTATCCGCTCCGTCGATCTCGTCCTCCCTCACGTTTATGGGCCCTGGCTTGGGCACATGATCACAGCAAGGGAACACTGTTGATTTACCATTATCCTTACTGGGAAGTTACCCACATTTGCACAGTACTCCGTAGACACCGAAGGCTCAATTTATCAAGTGCATGGATGAGAAGGTAGGTGTTCTGAGGTGGTGGAGGCCGTGTTTCAGGCTCATGTAGAGATGGAATGGATGAGAATTAGGAGAATTTTATCTATCGTGCATCTATCTCTATATAGGTAAGTACTTATTTTTTCTCTCGTAAATCACTCCTTCATAACGCGTCCAAAAAGGAAAAAGGAAAGATAAAACGTATAACCATTAAAGGAGAAATGTTCATAAACAACATGACCAAAATCATCATCGCTCGCAGACGTAATATACCCCGGTAAATTTTTTTCCCCAAAGAAAGAAAAAAAAGAAGACTCGCCAAAAGTCAAAGAAATATTTCATATACCGTAGCCCCGTGGTGTGTATTTAATTTAGTCAAGATACTTGGGAAGAGTCTTGAGGACTCCGTCCCGGGAAATATCCTCCAGGGCCTTCGTGATCTCCTTCATGAACCGATCGTCGTTGCGCAGGTCATCACCGAACAGGGACTTGATGCTGAGAATCGAGGAAGGATCGGTACCTCCGGCACGAGCCTTCGCCTGGAGTTCCTCGCGCATGGGGTCATCGACTTCGAACTTCTTGCCGTTGTCGTCGACTCCGTTGATGTAGTGGAACCAGGCGGCGGCGACGAAGCACAGCCGACGGAAGGGACCCGTCACCCAGATGGCCTCGGCGATGGAGGGCATGATGAACTGGGGGATCTTGCCGGAGGCGTTCAAGCAGATACGAGGCAGCTGGTCTTTGATGGTAGGGTTGGAGAACCGCGCCATCAGCGTCTTGCAGTACTCGTCGATATCGACGCCGGGGATCTCGGGAAGCAGCGGCTTGACTTCCTCCTGCATCATCTGCCACACGAGCTTGTTGAACAGCGGGTTTTCCATGACCTCGTGGACGTATTGGAACCCGGCCAGCTGGCCTGGGTATCCGATGGCGGAGTGGCTGCCGTTCAGCAGTCGGAGCTTGTGCTTCTCGAACTCCTCAACGTTGTGGACGTTCTTGACGAGCTGCACGCCGACCAGGTCGAAGGGGGGCCGGCCGTCGGAGAAGTGGTCCTCGATGACCCACTGCATGAACGGCTCGGTGACGACGGGCCAGGAGTCCTCGATGCCGAACTTCTCGGCGAGGGCGGTCTTGTCGTCGGCGGAGGTCTGGGGCGTGATGCGGTCGACCATGGCGTTGGGGAAGTGGCCCTGCTCGTTGATCCACTTGGCCAGCTCGGGGTTCTTGAGCTTGGCGAACGAGACGAGCATGTGGCGCGTGATGGCGCCGTTCTTCTGCATGTTGTCACAGGACATGGTGGTGAAGGGCTTCAGGCCCTGCTGGTGGCGACGGGCCATGGCGGCGTAGAGGAAGCCGAAGGTGGTGCGGGGGGCGGCCTCGTTGGCCGGGTCAAGGTCGAACTGGATGTCTGGGTGCTCGCTCTGCAGCTCGTGGGTGTTCTCGTTGTAGTAGTAGCCGCTCTCGGTGATGGTGAGCGAGACGATGTGCGTGTCGGGGTGGGCCAACTTCGCGATGACGGCCTCGCGGTTGTCCGGGGCAAAGAGGTAGGAGTTGATGCTGCCGACGACGTTGGCGAAGCTGCCCTTGGCCGAACGCTCAATGACCGTGTACAGATGGTCCTGGGAGCTGAGGACGTCGCGCATGCCGGCATCGAACGGTTGCAAGCCCACGCCGGCAATAGCCCAGTCCGTGACGCCGTGCTTCTGCATGAGCTGGTCGACGTACACGGCCAGGTGAGCCCGGTGGAATCCGCCCACGCCGACATGGACGATTCCCTCCTTCACGGCATTACCGCGCTGGTAGGTCGGGACCTTGACCTGGGACTCGCCTGCCGTCGAGATCTGCGACAGGTTCTGGGAGTTGAGTTTGAGGGGAGCCATTGTGAATCAGACAAAGAGAATTGAATGAAGGACAAGGGCGAGGACGGTGAGGGAGGGAGATGAGAGGAAGGATGGAGGAGAGTCAAAGAAGAAATCCAAAAGAACAGCTCCTCCAGGGTCACCGCCGGTTTTGACCGCTGCTTACCAGGGCAAAAGTCCAGGTAATCGCATTACATCATATGGTGGGGGGCAAATTAGGGGAGGGCGATGGAGTGATGATATCAACAGTAATTGACCAGTCGTTAAGCCCACCCAAACAGCTCAGCCCGCCAAGATTTTCGCTTGTTCTCGCACATTCCAAAACGGGTATCCCTTGGAGTTATGCAGACCAGATAAGCAGTTCTAATTTAGTTCGCGGATCCTGCGCGTTACTAGACTTACTAGGCCGAACACACCGTCGAGACGAAGCAACTGCAGCCTTTGTAGGACTTGGTCTCCGTAATTCCCGTAAGAAAAATTCTTCGGCCGCTGATCCTGATTAGATAAGCCTTCCAGACGCCGCCACCGGTGTCTGCCTGGAGAATCGGGCATCCCAGGCGCTGGCCTGAACGCGGCCCGATTCCTGCTTAACTCCGACCGGGTCAGTCTAGGCCTGGTCCCTAAGGCACCGCAGTGGGTCGGCCCCTCCCACGTTCAATGAGCGTCTGACAGCGCAGGAATGCCGAAAGACCTATCAATGCAGTTAATTATTCGACTGACACTCCGTTCAGTATATTGATTCTTGCCATGAAAATAGTCAGAAGACCTTGACGTGGACATTCGCCGAGAGGGAGACACAAGACACAGGTCGCAGGTCGTCCAAAAGAGGTGAGTGAGGGTAGGACCAGTGAATGAACTCCCTGTGATATATCATTTTTCGAGCTTGCAACACCCTATCACGAGGTCACAGGTCATGTAGCGGGGCACTAATGATCTGCAGGAGAAAATTCTGCTGCATGGTGGTGGCGTGAAAAAGGCAAGTTAGGCGCCGTCAACGTGGTCAGGAATTGCGGATGACCTCCCTGAAGAACGCCATTGGGTTAGGTAACACAAATAGCTGTGTAGAACTTTATCACACCGGGCCAGCTCAGCCCCCCACACGGCCGAATCGACGATGATCGCGTTCCTACATTGCGGCCCGAGTATTCGCGGGGTGCCGAAATTGTATGGCGCACGCACCCGTACTAAGGTTTAGTTACTTTGGTATTAAATTATTCATTTGGTCAATCTGAGGCAGCTAGGACTAAACCAATTTGGATCTTGACCACGAACAGAGCAAGAGTTGTTTTTGCTTACAGGAGGTCAAATGCGATGCTCATAATAATACTCAATAATATAGAACGAGATAGTTACATCGAAAGAGGCCACTGTGGCTGGGAAATAGAAACATGACAATAACTGGAAAGGGAATATTCCCGAAGCATGAGTACCAGGCTGAGGCTGGGGTAAAGTTATGGATCTGGGTTCGATTTGCTGTCCCATGGAAACTTACCGATTAAGGAACACCGATCGGAAATATACGTTTTGGGTAATCCAACATAGGGCACGCTGCTGTAACCCTATCTTGATCCTCACTAGTACAAGAGGGCTGCAAGTGTGGCTTTGAACAGGAATAATTTGCCTCTAATAAGCGAACATGTGCCACTTGCACGTCCAATACAATGCAAAGCCCGCAGCAATTAAATTATGTCCATTAACAACTACACCCTCTCCTGCCATTCACTCCTCAACCCCTGAATAACTACAAACGCCAATCACCCCTAACACATACCCACCAATCCCCTTCTATTTGATATTGTACAGGTCCTTCAACGCCTGCACATCCTTCGCACTCGGTTTCTTATTCGGCTGAATCAACTCCTTCCCCTTTTTCTTCAACAGCACCGGCGCCCGCTTATCAGTCGTCTGCGTCGACTCCTTCCCCCCAGCTCCGCTAGGATACAACATAATCGAATCCCAATCGACATCATCATGTCCTGCAGACAACGAATGCGGCGAGCGAGTGTTGCCCATGAACGGCAAATACTCAGCAGCCGAGAAACCCGCCTTCGCAGCCTCCTCACGAGACTTACAGATGCCATTATCCCCATCAATCTGCTCCTTGGTCTTCCCCTTAGTCTTCTCCTCGTAGTCCTTCAAATTCTCACAATGGAAATCAAACACCGGTTCGCCGACCCCAAGACCCCAGTACATCCCATCCTGATGCTCATGCAGCAACCCAAACATGTGTCCGATCTCATGTGCCACATTCGCGACCGCATCCTGCATCCCAATAAATGGATCTTTGCTGAGATGAGAGACCGGTCCTGACCTGGTATTAGGGATACCATTAGACGTTGACATGATTCCCTTATCGTTGTAGTGAATTTTCAGCACGTTCTTCTTGTTGAGTCTGAGCTTGCTGGCTTCTTTCAGCTTGAACTGTTTCGGGAGGCCGTTGCGGTACCAGAGGTCCATGGCTTGTTTGAGGGTGGTCTCGAGTTCTTTTTTGGCTTGCTTATCGGCCCACGTGTATTCGACTGTCGCGTCGGGCCATAGTTTGTTATTATTCGATGGTTTGATGGTTAGCCAGCGTTTGGAGAGAGCGTTGTTGTGGACGGCTCGGTCAAGGCCGAAGTGGCCGTGGTGGTTGGGGTGTGCGAGGACATGGAGGGTGAAAAGAAGGACGGCGAAGAGGAGCGGTAGAGAGCGGAATCTCATGAGTAGAGACATGGTGAGTCTAGTGTTCTAACAGCCCAACGGCGAGCGTTGAGAGATGAGACCGGAACTGGGGGGACTAGATTGAAAACACTTGTGACATATCCTGGCCAGGAGCCCTGTTATATACTCTAGATGATCTCATGGTAAATTAAAAGATAGAAGGGTTATACCATAAGAGCCTCCTAACAAGGCTGAGAATCCTGCAGGGGGTAAAATTGGCCCCAAGCGATAAAGGGCCGCGTACTCGCACGCAGGAGTCGAAACGACATGCACCGTGAGGCCCATGCAAAATAAGTATTGACATAGCCTATGAGGTTAAAGTGAATTTACATCTGTTGGCGCTTAACGATACGATCTTCACTCCGATTCAGTGATGATCAGGAACGCAATAACAGCATGGCCCTGCCAAGCTACCCTAGGAATCCTCTACCAGGCACCGCCGATGATCTGGAACGTCAATGGTCAGTTCTAATAAAAGGGTCAGGCACAGCCTTCTACTGAGCGAATCCTGATCTTTGTTTGTGTCAGTCTCCGATAACCTCCCCGTTGTCGTGATACTTACGATCTCCCGGTCCGTTTGGGTCACTCTTTCAGAAGATGCGATAATCATAAGATCATAGTGCCATGGAATAGAATTTTGACTCTCTAGTATCTGGAAGATCTCCTGGACTAAACCGGCCCCCTCAGGTTGATCAAACGTGCCCAGACCTTTGATCGCCCCAGAACTCTCGGCATCAGGCGTCCAAAAAAGACGCCCCTGTCATTTATCTCAACGACCAATGGATATCTGTGTTTCTTTGACAACTCATGTTGGTGATTCTAACATTAATTTAAAAAAAGTGCAACTCTAATTGGACAGTGAAGAATATGATAAGCTACGTAGAATTAGGCGCCCGGGCAGTAAGCAGCGCCACAAAAGCTTGGTACCTTAAATTGCGGTCTGTGTGTACATTTCCAATAGAATATATGGTGTATCGACAAATTGCCAGATCAGTATATCAAAAAGCGCACGTCAGGATTTGACATGTAGATCTCAAGATGTCGGGCCCAACTTGGTCCTCAGGGGAAGGGGAAGCCAGACGGCCCTACAGGATCCACACGGCAAAAATCCTTCATCCTGTGCTGTTGGATGTGGGTCCTGTGAAAGGCAGTGTTTGAGGCTCTGATCATCTGTCACACTCACTGCGCCCTGGCACATACAACGGTGCAGTAACTTAAGTATACGGTCCAGGCTAACGACGCCATGACCTCCCCTTAATCTTGCGTTTTCGTTTTCGCTTTTGGGCGCATCACCATGTTCAGGCCCACACCTAAGGATAAGATTGAGTTGGTTTCAAGTTCTGCTGTCATCCAGTGGGAGATGTTACACCGTATCTTGTTTCTGTGCTCTTCTTTCATTGTGTTAGTTTTGTCTTGGGATGGTTGTTGATACCCAAGGAGTAAATGCCATGTTAGGGGAAACAAACTAAAGAAGTCTGGGCCTAGAGGCGTCTAGCCGCGTGCAAAGCAAGAAAAAAAAGGAAAATAATAATAATGGAAATGATAGTAATCATGTGTCAGAAAATCAAAAATCTGCCTATATAGAGGCTTCTGAAGCCTCCATGAATCTTGCATGCCCGCGAGTTGTAGATATTTGGGAAGAGGCGGGCGCACCACCGGCATAGCTAGCTGCTTGTCCGCAATAAAGCGGCTACATCAGGTTAAAAGAATCAATCAGTCGTTGTGACTATGCGCTAAAACAAGGTAAGCATCGTATTCTAAAATTAAGTTAGTGTATTACTTTTATGTACCGCCAGTAAGACCCTTCGATTTAGATTTCGATCTTACCCCTTTTCTCCATCTCTCAAACCAGTCAAGTTTTCCATCTCAGCCCTTTTCACATCCACAACCGGGCCCTCATAAACCTTCCTCCCAACCAGGACATACATCACCAAACTGATAATGAAGATCCCTCCAAACAACACCACGCTCCAATTAAAATTATCCAACGTCACTGGAACCTCCGTCGGCCAGAAGGACCAAAACAGGGCAAACAGCGTATACAAGAGCGCCACGAAATTGACCCACACTCCGTGCCGACCGAGACTCCAGCGCCGCGTGGGGAGTGTCTCGGGGTGGAAGATTCTACGCCACATTACGCAGGTGATAGAGACAGCGTAGGTCCACATGAGGGCAGCGACGTTGAGCGAGATAATGGCATTGAAGGCCGTTTCGGAGCCGATGTTGATGAGCGAGAGAAGGCCGGAAATGACGCAGGACAGGCCGATCGCGTTCACGGGGAGTTTGCGGCGGGTGTTGACGGTGCAGATCCAGTTGGAGAAGGGGAGGCCCTTGTCACGCGCGAAGGCGTAGGTCTGGCGGGCGGTGGAGGCGTTGAAGAGGATGTTACTGAAGATCACGGGGATCAGGATGATGGCTGTGAGGCCGTTCACGCCGGCCTGGGGGACGGCTTGCGCGAAGACGTAGATGAAGGGGAAGCCAGTTGGGTCGTCAAGTGCGGCTTGCACGGATGGCATGGCGAAGAGGAGAGTGATGATGAGCACCAGGGCCATGATCCCGTTGCTGAAATAACCCCAGGCGATGGCAATGGGGACGTAGCGGCCGGCATCGCGCACTTCCTCGGACATGTGTGCGGTTGCGTCAGAGCTGAGCGACCCGTAGATGGCGGAGATCTGGCCGATCATCAAGGCTACACCAACATTGTTCCACCCCCCCAGAGTGCTGAATTCGGTGAAGACGGTCTTTGCGGGCTGGCGCGGCGCCATGGCCCAGAGGACGACGATGACCACGACCCAGCAGAGAACGTGAAGGGCTAGGAGCAGGTTCTGGATACGAGGCATCCAGCTTGCTGCGTAGACGTTGAAGAAGTAGATGATGGCAATCATCGCAAACACGAACAGAGTGCCTTGCCATCTTTGAGGATCGTAGTCCGGGTTACGCACACTGATGAGCCCCTGGATGATGGTTCCTGTCAGGAACGACCCAGAGGCTGCACCAGCTTGCCAAGCCAGGACAGACATCCAACCTTTGGGTTTATTAGATCATGTTCACGAGGAAGGTGGTATAAAGGTACACGAACCGGTGATATAACTGAGGAACTTCTGATACCGTGGCGACGCAAACTCCGACACCCAGTGGTATTGTCCACCAGACGTGGGTGCCCTGGACTATTGTTAGTGACGATAAACAATTGTCCTGAATCGTCGAATCACTCACATGGACGCCATCTCGGATAGCGAGACGATAATGAATCCAAATCCGACAAAGGTCCAAACATATGTCCAAAAGAGACCCGCCAGTCCGCCATCCAAAAGACCTTCGTAATTCGATCTAGTGAAAAGAATGTGTAAGCGACAAGTTCATGGCTAAGTGTAGCGGAGTCGAACATACATCAAAATGAACTCCCAAGTAGCTTGAAGGACCGAAGCGAAACTTAGAGCAGCTAATGGTCGGAGGTTTCTCTAGGAAAAGGTACATCATTAGATTGTGACATACAAAATTCGAACTATTCAACGATGGGAGAAATACCTTAAACTCTTGGGATTTCCCCATGCGCGTCATATCATCCTGATCATAGCCCGTGCCATGTTCGGTGTCTTCTTTCCCACTGCCTTCTAGCTCTAGCTGATGAAATCCTGTCGATGTGACAAGCTGCTCCTCGTTTTGCACATGGGCACCCTTCACCGTAGTATCTGCCATGACTGCAAAAGCCTTCTTGATGTTGGGATGACGGTGAATATTGTAAGGGTCCAGAATCCCGCCACACGTTTAAGGTTTCCGGAGAAAAAGTAAAAAGAAAATGTGAGGGGGTTAGGAGAAAAAAATTACCAGAGCAGAGGACGGAAGATTGTCCTCCACGGTCGCACAATTTCGCTGCGCTGTGTTGTACGACAGGGGGGATGGATACACGTTATTTAACTGGTCTGAAGACGACGGCGCACGCTTGATGCTACTGCATCCCGTCTCTTTAGTCTATCGGTGTGGAGCAGAAAGCGAGTAGATGTTCTTGCCAGGGCGATAACAAGGAGCGCTTGTTCTGGTTTCATTTAATTTAACATATCTTAATTCTTCCTCGCCTGGCGGAAGAATGCAAGGGGTTACCACCGAGTACGCTTAATGCCTGGCCAGTGAATCCCAGTGCACGGAAAATTATACTATTGATCAGCTACTATCACTAATCATCGTGGTACTGCGAACAGACACCGACCGTTTTTCTTTACAGAGCTGTGCCGCTGAGCAGTCTCCGAGGCCAAAGCATACACAGAGCAAGTCACCGTTCACCTCGGTCGCAAGAAATATCCAGATCAACACCTATAATTGTGTTTAATCTCCACTAACTTTTCAAGAACAAAGAAACAGCAAGCCACTTTGCCTCTTTAATAAAAAGGCGGTTTCAGCTGGCTGCGGAGTCATTTTCTGATCCCTGCCCTTTGCCCCATATTACTATCACTGTTAATTAACGCAGCTCCCAGGGTTCGCGGATAGCGAGACCGAGTGACTCGGAAAAGCATTGACCGACTGTCGATCATCCGGGGGTTTGATCCTTCAGCGAAGCTAACCCTCCACCGGTCCTGTTAGCGTCGAAACGGACCGTTCACTGCGCGCGGTCCGTCGCTCCGGACAAATCCCATCCGATCCCATCGAATTGTCGATGTTACGTCGACTAGCCATGCTAGTCGGTTGATGCAATTTTCTTCCCGTGCTTTTCGGGTCGGGTTGATTCGTAATCCGGGGGAGCCGCGGTAGGTAGATGGTGATTCGGTCGAGTTTATCATAATCCTTGCCATAGGGGAGGACGGGATGAAGGGGAGTCAATGTATCAAGGGAGGCGAAAAAGAATAGAAAGGAAAATAATCCGAAGAAAGAGCAGCAACGTTACGCACGATATTATTGTCTCATAATGTTGAACAGACCCTTATACTTGGTATATCCATGTCAGTCAACCGACTCTCCCTGTTGAGCCCCGATTGAAATATCAGTATCATCCGGATCGTGGCGAGGCGAGTGGTTTATACGACGGGCCACTGCTATGGAGAGAACGACTGTCCTTCCCCCGGGTATCGCTCCTCCCTTGACGGAAGATAATGATCATAATCATAATGCCTTGATTGTTATCATTGCCTCGTTTTCCATGTTCCTCGCTGTTGCGTCTCTCGCCATCCGGATATACGCCTCCCAGAGTAGGGGGGCTGTTCTGGAAGATGATTATGTTTTACTCTTAGTAGTGGTGTGTACGACTCAGGATATCACGGATTTGCGAAATGCAAGTCGAATAGTTTTGCTTACAATGCCGTTCATTAGATCATTGCATGTACCCAGGTCTCAGCGGCTTTGACCCAAGTGCACTATGGCTGGGGCAAATCAAAGAATTTGATCTCTACCGATGACTACCAACAGATGATGAAGGTGCGCTTATCGGGATCCATTCGCGTTTCTTTCCCAGTGTTGCTTATGTTTGCGGAATATAGACAGGCTTTGCTGTAGATATCCTCTACATCGTCGTTATCGGACTTTCCAAAATCTGCACGATGATGTTCTATCGGAATCTATCTCTACGCCGAAATATGCTTATTAGTAACATCATACTCGGGTGCTGTAGCATCTGGATCGTACTCGGAATGGTCCTACTGGGAGTTCGATGCAGCAGCAATTCGTGGGAAAATATCGACAACAGCTGTTCTGGGCTTGTAAGCATTCATTTATATGGCCATCTTCCCCTCTTCGTGGGAAAGTCTAACAATTTTATCCTTCTAGTATCCCCGCTGGCAAACCGTCTGCGCTCTCGATATTATTCTGGAAATTGCTATCCTCGCTTATCCCGTCAAAATTATCTATAATGTCCAAATTGCGTTCGTCCAAAAACTTAAAGTCCTATGTATTCTCAGCTGTCGCATTGTGTATTATTCCCCGTGTCTCTTCCTTGCTATTCTTTCCATTCCATTCCACTCCATTTCGACTAACCCAATATATGTCATTTAAATAGGCTTATTCCTCTTTCCGCTATCCACCTCATCTATATCAATACGCAAACCGCTTCCTCGAACCCATCTCTCGATGGCGCCTACGCCACCACAGTGGCAGAACTACATATCGGCCTTAGCGTAGTCCTACTCACGATATCGTCTTTGAAGGTTTTTGTGGCCGCCTATGAAGACGACCAAGGTTTCGCATATACCGATGATGGCTCCAAGTCGCATAGTCAGAGTGGAAGGACGACGAGACCGGGAACGTGGCGGGCTTCGCGCCCAGCGAAGGATCCCATGTTGAGTACCCCTGCATGGGACGAGGAGCCGATCCTGCGGTCCTCGGTTCCATCTTCAAGGGGCCATGACCTGGGAATCTTTGGTGTTGGGACGATTGTAAAGAGTGTACAATATTCGGTGACGAGGGAGAGTATTGAGTTAGAGGATCGAGGGGCTAATGCGGCGTCAGCGTTGGCGTCAGGGGCATTATAAAGTTTGTATAAGCTTTTTATCCAGCGAGACAATGTATATTAATGACAAACAGGCGAATATTTGGTTTTCAGGCGTGGACTATCGCAAATTGCATCCCAGACGTCTGGGGCATGTTCTGTTTTGATCGGACATTGAGCATTATCAAGGTAAGGTATACCCACCCGGACGAATCATCATGGTCGAGTTTGAAATTGGAAACCAGCAGAGAAACTAAATGAACCTTTTAACAATGTCAAGGCTTCTTGCGAACGGGACCATATTTGTTGCCATAGAAATTAAAGCAAACACCACCACGTGGTCAGGCAGGTATTCTTATAATTCTGATTTTGAATTGTTTTCACTTCTTGGATTCGTTTATCAAGCAGTTTATATGGCATTGTGGGAGATAGGCGGAGCCAAAGTCCGTACTTGGATACAGCAACGCGCTATGCCGACGGCGTGTAGGATCAGTAGATCAGACAAAAAGCAGAGACGGGTGCTGAAAGCGGAGCCTTCCGAGGGCGGTAAGTCAGACAGACGAATCAGAATCAGACATATTACAATGGCTAGGAATGTCGGATTATATAACTACGGAGTACGGCGAGTAACTATACATGACGTGGTCGTAATTGCGGAGCAGCTACGCGCCCGCCGCCCTGTGTCAGATGGGAATCAGAGGAACAACCTCCGGCACAAGTCACAGACAACGCATACTACCATCGTTATGGCCTCAGGAAAACCGTATGGGTCCACTGGCGGAATTCAGAACGGCCATTACCATGGAGCAGCCACAGAACAATTTCGTCTGCCTAAGAGACATAAGGTCTTCCATTCTGACAGTTTGCTTATCCCACGACACGATCAGTACACCATTGCATGGATCTGCGCGCTTCACATAGAGATGGCAGCCGCTCAGGCCATGCTAGATAATATACTTGAACCTCTGCCAACACACGTCGATGACATGAACACGTACGTGCTCGGAGGTATCAAACAACATAAAGTTGTCATTGTGTGTTTACCAGCAGAGGAGTATGGAACAAACAACGCTGTCAAAGTAATAACAAATCTGAAGCTTACTTTCTCAGCAATCCGTGTCAGCTTGATGGTGGGTATTGGTGGAGGTGTGCCAAGCAAGTCTGATGTTCGTCTAGGTGATATTGTCGTCGGAACAAGAGTGATGCAGTATGACCTTGGGAAAATCGTTGGAGACGAGAAGTTCCAGCGAACGGCAATACCTCGGACTCCTGACCTGTTGCTTGGGACAGCCGTCTCTGCTCTTCGGTCAAAAAACGAACTAGGCCTTAGTCTAATACCATCTATTCTACAACAAAGATTCCAGACACACACCGAGTATAGTTGCCCAAGCTCACCAGACCATCTTTTCTTGGCAAAGTATGATCATAGATCTCCGCCAACGTCGGGCTGTGAAAATTGCGACCATTCAAAGCTGGTACCGCGAAGCAGACGAATATCCAATGATATAGTGATTCACTACGGTGGGATCGCTTCAGGAAATCAAGTCATGGGACACGGGGTCACTCGGTATAACGTTGCTTGAGAACTCGATGTGATATGCTTTGAGATGGAGACTGCTGGTCTGATGGATATTCTCCCTTGCTTTCCGGTTAGGGGGATCTGTAACTATTCTGATTCCCACAAGACCAAAGAGTGGAAAAGATATGCCGCAGCAACTGCGGCCGCGTATGCGAAAGAACTGATCGAGGAGCTACCGGTGACCGAAACCCATGTCAAAATTAACGGGATATACAACGTTCGTAGGTCAACTTAGACTATATGTGGGAAATCGTGGATAATCTGCTCACCATCCCTATTTAGATCAACGTTCGTCCTGCGAACGTGGGGAGTGCTTGCTAGAATCTCTGAGATTCGAGCAAATGGACACCCGAAAATTAACCACCAAAGTAGCGTACGCAAGGACATGTCGGTGGCTTCTCAGTCACCCAGAGTACAAAAAATGGCTTGATCCCGAAAATTTGACCGAACACCACGAGCTTTTATGGATCAGTGGTAAGCCGGGTGCTGGAAAGTCTACAATCATGAAGTTTGCATATATGAATATGAACGAGAAAGCCCACAACAAAAATGCCCTCAAAGCTTCTTTTTTCTTTAATGCCCGAGGCGAATTATTGGAAAAGTCGATCAACGGGATGTTTCGATCGTAACTGATCCGGCTGCTTGAAGGGTACCCTGACCTTAAGGCGTTTTTGGACGATCCTGAACTTCATCCTCGTGGTCAATGTGGCTGTCCTTCATTAGATGTACTGAAAAGCCTCTTTTCCAACGCAGTTTCCGCCCTTGGCCAACGATCGTTTACATGTTTTGTCGATGCTCTTGACGAGTGTGATGAATAACAAGTTATGGACATGATCGAATACTTTGAAGACCTAGCGAAAATATCCACAGCTCAAGGCGTCCGATTCCGAATGTGTTTTTCGAGTCGACATAATCCCTATATTGTCATTCAACATGGAATCAGACTTACCCTAGAAGATCAATCAGGTCATACTGATGATCTAGCAACCTATATTGCAAACCGTCTCAGGGTTGGGGACCGTGCACTTAGGGAAGAGCTACAGTCCAAACTTCTCACTAAAGCTGCTGGCGTTTTTAGCGTTTTTATGTGGGTCGTCTTGGTTGTTGATATTGTCAGCACTGAGTACCGACGGGTTGGAATGTTTCTGAGAAAGAGGCTCGCAGAAATACGGAGTGACTTGAGTGAGCTGTTCAAAGATATATTGAAACGTGACAACGAGAATATTGAGTCTTTTCTGCTTTGCATCCTCTGGATTCTCTACGCAAAACGGCCCTTGCAGCCAAAGGAATTTTATCATGCCCTATGGTCTGGTCTATCGCTTCTGGACCTGGTCGATGACCAAATTCCAGATCTCAACGCCTCTGATGCTAGTGACAGTAAGTTTAATCGGTATGTCATTAGTGCCTCGAAAGGATTGGCTGACGTCACGAAATCCAACAAGCAATCAACAGTTCAATTCATCCATGAATACGTGAAAGACTTTCTCACCAAGGATAAAGGACTGTACGAATTATGGCCGGAACTTGATTTCGACTGCGAGAGTCCAAGCCATGAGAAGCTTTCCCAGTGTTGCAACCATTACCTAATCAAGGTATTGACGCGTGCACCTGTTCGCGAACTGCTGTCAGACTCCAACCATGATAGATAGACAGAATTATCAAACGAAATCTCGTTCTTGGAATATGCCAATTCATACATTCTGTATCATGCCAATGCTGCTGCAAATACATTCCCCCAAGATAAGGTTCTATCTTCTTTTCCCATTTCCGACTGGATTATTGTCGACAACGTTTTCGAAAAGTTTAAGATTCGGAGATATACATTAGACGCAAGCCTTCTATACGTTCTCGCAGAAAAGGGATTCTCCAGGCTCATTCGTACAAGGATCAAAGAGGATCCAGAGGTCCATGTGCATGGAGAAAGGTATCAATACCCGCTGTTTGCCGCTTTAGCCAACGGTAATAAGGACACCGTCGCTGCTATTTTGAGTTCGTCGTCAACCATCCTCGACGGAGTTGATATTACAGAGGGACTCAACTTCAAGAAAGACTTCAGGGATTACGAAAATAGGATCCCGTTATCCTGGGCTGAACAAAGTGGTCGGGCAGGCATTGTTAAACTACTTCTCCGAACGAAAACAGCCGTTAATCACTTAGATATGGGAGGTCGTACATCGATTTCTCGGGCCTCGGAATTTGGCCATGAAACTGTATCGCGGCTTCTTGTCGATAATGGAGCAGATGTCAACATCAGCGACAAAGACAGGCAGCACCCCTTCACCAAGCATCCGGGAATGGTCATAAGAACCTAACAAGGCTTCTTATCGATAATGGAGCTGTGGTAAATAATCGCGATAAGAATAGGGAGACGCCGCTTCACCGAGCGTCCGGGAATGGTCACGACGGTGTAGCAAGGCTTCTCATCGATGAAAGTGGAGTAATCGACAATCGTGATAAGAATAGCGAGACACCGCTTCATCACGTATCCTGGAATAATCATGAGAATGTAGCGAGGCTTCTTATTGACAAGGGAGCAGACATCAACCCCAGCAATAAAGACAGACAGACACCGCTTTATCACGCATCCTGGAATGGCCACAACAGTATAGCAAAACTTCTCATCGACGAGGGGGCAGTGATCAACATTCAAGATGAAGATGGACAGACACCGCTTCATCAGGCTTTCTGAAATACTCAGGAGACAGTGGTGAGGCTTCTTATCGACAAGGGAGCAGGGATAAATACTCGTGACAAGGACGGATGGACACCGCTTTACCAGGCTCCTATAAACAACCACGCCACTATCGTGAGGCTTCTTGTTGACAAAGGAGCAGATGTTAACATTGGGGATAAACACGGGCGGACACCACTCCAGCGGGCTTCCCCGAAGAACCATGAGGCTATAGTGAGTCTTCTTATCGATAAAGACATTCGACCTGGAGCAGAATATGTCCACTAAACAGATTTTGAACAGCTGCACCCACCTCTTCTCTCTACTATCTCCTCGTTTTACCATTCTCGGCGCTCCAAGAATTTTTCGGTATGCCTCCTCCCACCAGTCACTGGGAATTACCATCAAATCTTCTTCGGTCACTTTCCCCTAACGTCGTGCGACTGGGCATCAACCTCCATGCAACTGTGCAGTTGTGTAGCGAACAATTGTTGGGATTTTCGGAATGTGGGCGACTGAACGATGTGGCTTTTGAGCTACGGACACCAATGGGATGACTTCATGGAGCTTCGCTAATAGTTCTGTATTCTGTGTGGGTTATTTACACAAATTCATATTACATTTTCGATCTGGAATTCTCATTTCTGGTGCCATTAATGAGTATAACCGTGCAGTGACATCACTCACAGCATCTGAATCAAGTCTGATACTGTTGGTATCACCAGCTAGGCACTGTGTACACAGTTAAGTGAACAGGTTGTTTCTGAAGCGAAAGTATAGATTGTAGATAGATAGATGTGTCTTCCTTCCCAGGTCAGGTTCCAAGATACCCCTTTTATCCCGTGCGCGGATACTTGGCGGTCATAACACCGGATCCGTAGCCTCACGCAAGAATGCGTACGTACACCGAGCAAGGGATGTGATGTGTCAGTCGCTAGCGATAAGTTACCGCTAATCTGTTCTGACCGGAGGATATATCCCAACAGATACTTTGCATCGCGAGGTCAAGGAGTCCAAATGACATACCACAATGACAGCCGTCAAATAAGTGAGATGGACCCGCATCCTGGAGATGTCAAACCAGCGCCACCAATTGGTTGGCTGCCCTGTATAGAAAATTTAAGATACCTATGACACATTTCACGACCGTCAGTTCTCAGACGCGAGCTATGAAATACTAGGTTGCCCCTTGATAGTGGCTAGCATGGATTTCAGCTGTTTCTCAGCCTCCCTAGCTAGACGCAGGTATGCGTATGATGTTCCACAAATTCTGTCTCTTGTGATGGTGGAATACCCGAGGACTGTTTAAGTTCGTTCCCTCTTGGTCTATTCATACTCGCCAAGGTAAGGGTTACACAACCGACTAGCAAAGATGACCCCCTTTTTTCCTTATTTGCGCGGCTGCAGATACCTGGTGTCACAGAGGGTGTTTCACGAATGCCGGACCCGTGAGCCCCATGAGATCATATGGAATAATTAAACATTGAATCCTGAATCCAAGCCGATGACGTGATAATACAACGAAAGAGTGTCAAGGAATCCCGTTAAATCTATTAGACCTGTCATGAACTAAAAGCTAACCTAATTTACCTGTTTGAGACGCCACGTGAGGAACGGGATGATATAAGTGGGGAGACTGGCTCAATCAAACTATTAGGTATGTAGGGATGGAGGATCCATGGACGAACCCACCCAGTCATTTGAACCATCTACATCATATTTGAGTTTGGCTACCTACCTACTCGGGCAGTACTACCGGGGCAAGGGATAGATCAGGAACCAGGATGTGTGCATCTGGACTAATATGACAGGTGGTTCGGGATGAATACGTAACTGATTTAGAGTGCATGCACATTGTTTTCCTTGAACTGTCAACACTGATCGAATATATAACTACTTGTCCCCACGGTTTCAGAAAGATTATACTGTACGAAAGTGTGATTATCGAGCTGCATCATTATTCCACTTGCAACATTTCATCATACGTCCTTTTTAAACCTTGAGTATTCAGGCGAATTTCAAGAAGATGTCGAGATTTCCAGCGAAACAATGGGCGCAAGTGCCGCAGGACTCTGGATCCAGCAGGCTATCCCTTCACCCCGTTATTCATAGTATGTCTGAAATGCCCTCATTCCTGTGGCTCTGTTGATTGACCCTGAGCCCTAGGCGAGCTGATTGGGCGCACAACATTCAAGCCTCCCTCCGAAGGACGTGAAGAGCGACCAATCTTACATGAGCCACGTCCACGCTCGCTCCCTACGGCCCAGAAAGAGACCGATTATAATGTGGGAACATTCTTGGCCCATAGGATGCAGGAGCTAGGGGTGAAAGACTTTTTTGCAGTTCCGGGTATATTCTTCCCATCATGAATTCATGATTGGTTCATCTAACATGTTTTTAGGTGATTCAAACTTATCGCTTCTGGATAACCTACTGAAAAGTCCAAACCTGCGCATGGTGTCATGCTGCAATGAACTGAATACAGGATACACAGCCGACGGATATGCCCGCACATCCAAATCAAAAATCGCCTTCGTGGTAATTCCTTATATTGTTGGCGGACTCTCGATTATAAATGCCATCTCTGGAGCACACTCGGAGCATTTGAAGGTGGTTGTTATATCGGGGTGCCCAAACACAGACATGTTAACATGCAATAAATTTCTCCATCACACACCCTCCCGAACAAACAAAGATCAAGCACTTCGGGCGTTCCAGGGCGTGACTGCGGCGTCCGTTCGGGTTGACACCCCGGAAACTGCGATCAATGTGATCGATGGCGCTTTGCTGAAATGCCTTGAAAAGTCTCTACCAGTGTACATTGAAGTGGCAAACGATATAGCAACTGCACCTTGTCCGGCACCGTCTCCGCTGCGAAGATATGTCGATTTTGGTCACCAAGAGCGCGAAACAAGATACGCAATTGAATCCATCAAAAAGGCTTGGAATTCTGCCAAAAGACCCATCCTCCTTGTTGGGCCTCTTGCCCGTCTGGCGTCCTCCAAAGATGATGTGCAGCTTCTGGCCGAGAAGCTCGGATGTGCTGTTCTCTGTCAACCTGATAGTCGTTGGATACCCGAGTCCCATCCTCAATCCTGCGGTGTCTTCTGGCCGGGAGTTTCAAATGCTGAAGGTGATGAGATAGTCATGAGTGCAGATTTGTGGGTCGTTCTTGGCGGATGTTGGTCCGACCTTCACGTCCTCAGCATTGATACTCATAACGAACGTCATCGTATGATTGATATCCAACCGGAGGGGGTTCAACTTCCTGATGGTACGAGTTTGAGCCCCGTGAATATCGAGTCCCTCGTCTCGGGGCTCATCAAGTCGGATATCACAACGAACAATGCCTCTATTCCTAGATCCCATCTGCAAATTTCTAGCCCAGTTCCAGAAGAGCTTGAGCTTTCAGAAAAGCCATTAACTATGGCAAGCCTTCTTGCCGGAATTCAAGGCATACTGCGAGGACACCACACAATTATCGCAGACACTGGAGAAACATGGTTCGCGGCAACTCGTCTTAGGCTTCCACGCGGCGCTGACTGCCAGATGCAACTTGCTTATGCTTCGATCGGGTGGTCTTTGGGAGCGGGTCTTGGGGCACAAATAGGCCTCCCTGATCGACGGGTTATCATTATGGCTGGGGATGGAGGCTTCCAGATGACAGCCCAAGAGCTCAGTACGATGATTCGAATGAATTTGAACCCAATCATCTTTCTGTTCAACAATCTCGGATACAAGACTGAAGTAAGCCCTTTAACAATGTTGCAAAGTCGTATCACTGACCGTGTTGATAGACCGCTGTCCACGAGGGTCCGTATAACTATATCGCGAACTGGGACTATACGAAATTAGCCAAATCTCTTTATGGTGAACCCCATGCAGAATCCCATAATCCATATGCGACTGAGGAGGCGCCGAGAATGAGAAATCTCCCCATGTTTGCGGCTAAGATTCAGACCCAGGCTGATCTAGCATTGGCATTGCAAAGAGCAGAAGCGGAGAAAGGAAAGTTAGCATTTCTAGAATGTTGCATTCAGCCCGGGGATATGACGGCAGAGCTTCGAAAACTAGGAGAGAAGGTCGGGAATGAGATGGGAGCCTCCGACTCAAGCACCGAAACACTTGCTCCGACTCCTTCGTCGACCCATTCTAGCGACGATAGAAGTACGATCCCCTCTTCGGTATCATCGCCTATTCCTCGGCCTAAAGATGTTGAAGAATTACGTGGACTGAACGCCTCAAATGTGAAGATAACCCTCACAAAGACGCCTCGTGAGGTGCCTCCGCTTGATTCTCCTGAGGTTCTCTCTCATAAAGTTTGTACGGACCACATGATGCAAGCACGGTGGTCAATCGATGGGGGCTGGGATGATCCGGAAATAGTACCCTATGGACCACTGAGTATCATGCCTAGTGCAAGCGCTCTTCACTATTCGACGATGTGCTTCGAAGGTATGAAAGCATTCCGCGGCACGGATGGAAAATTGCGTCTTTTCCGTGCCGCTCTCAACTGCTGCCGGCTACTGGATTCCGCCACGCGAGTCTGCCTGCCAAGTTTCAGTCCACAAGATCTACACATTCTAATCAAGAAGTTGTGTGAGATTGATGCTCCAAAGTGGCTCCCAGCCAGTCAGAAGGGATCGTCCCTGTATCTTCGGCCCACTTTCATCGGTACATCCGAGGGATTGGGACTGAACCGTCCAAAGGAGGCTCTTCTATATGTCATCGTCTCATTCTGGCCAAATTCCACAGTATCTGCCAGTAAATCTACCACACCAAGCAAAGGGTTACGTCTATGGTCTAGTCCCAGGAATATGACGCGATCATGGCCGGGCGGATATGGATCGGCGAAGCTCGCCGCCAATTATGGACCATCTCTTCTGGCGCAGCACAAGGCCCAGGAAGCAGGATATGACCAGGTCATGTGGCTCTTCGGGTCCGATCGTCAAGTTACCGAAGCAGGGGCCTCGAATTTGTTCTTCATCTGGAGATCGCTGCAAGGAACATTGCAAGGCCGGCTACAACTCATTACAGCGCCACTAGAAAACAACCTCATACTCCCGGGTGTGACCAGACGCAGTGTTCTTGAGCTCGCTCGCTCGAGAATGTCGGTTGGTAAATTCTCAATAGAGGATTTCCCTCATTCTGTCGAGCCGCTTGAAGTTTTGGAGCAGAAATTCACGATCTATGACGTTATGGAAGCAGCGGACCAAGGGAGATTGCGCGGCGCTTTTGTCACCGGCACAGCGTGCTTTATTACCCCGGTGGCTTCCATCTATTTTGAGGGCCGAGAGATCGATTTAGAGCCGGATGCTTGTCCGCACACCGCATTGTTTCAGAAATTGATGTCTAACATTGTGAATGGCGAGGAACAAAGCTCATGGACGGAAGTAGTGGAGGGATAAGACACCGGATTATGATTCTTCGTTCTATGTCTTTTACTTTAGCCATTGAACCAGTCCCTCCATTTACAACTCAGTTTAAGTATATTTGACTTACAGTGCTATAAATGCAGGAGAGAGCGCCGACCGGATGTAAGACCGTTAAGTGCCATAGAATATTACATGTCAAACATGACCATGACTCGAGGCGGCCCTACTCGGCCCACAGTGTCAAACTTCCGCACGCGCAAATATCCCACTATATGCAGCCAAGGACAATCTATGTGTTTCTCATGCACATAAAACACAGCCTGTGCGTGAGGCTGCTGGAACGCAAGAACCAGGACCCTCGAATAACCAAGGCAGTGTCGAGAACGTATAAACGTAGTGTATAGGTCATACAGGTGGCTTAACTATTGGTATCGAGGGCAATAAATGGAATCCCTTGCCCCTTTTTTTCTCCTTTTTTCAGGGGTGGATATTGATGATACGTAACCTGCATGCTATGGCTACGTGGGCTATAAATGAGGTTGGATCTACCCTTTTGCCATCCACTATCCACTACCTACTATTCACTATCCACTATCTACTATCCACCCTCCACGAGCCATTGGCTATATTTACCCATCGCCGTACGCGTTCATTTCCAATATCGGTCTATCTATATCTATCTACCTCTTCCTCTACTGAAATGCGTGCCTCTGCCTTTGCCGTCTTCTTCATGGCTGCCTATGCTATGGCAAATCCCATCACCAACAACAAAGTGTCCAAGCAATGTATGTTTCATCGTTCCCGTCATAGGGCTTGGATAGCTGACTCATCTTCTCAGTTGGTAAAGGATTCGTGGATGCATTCTGTTAGCGAACGAGTGCAGAGTGGTCTATGTTATTCAGGGAATCTTCAGATACCATTGCGCCCATGTAACCTAGACCAACAATCATCCTATAAACCTCAATCAATCAATCAATCAAATCAAAAATCCAACCTAATCTTCCATAGATCTCCCAGTCTCTCATTGTTTTCTCCCAATCCACCCTGAACTACGACTCCGTCTTCAACAATGTCTGCATCAAACCAACCCCTCGCCACCGGTCCCTCCCCCTCAACCCTAACCTTTTCCCACCTATTCTCCTCAACATCAAAAGCCCGCACGTCAGAGAACATCTTGCCTGCCCCCTGATGTTCCAAGGCACTCGGGTCCCCTTACCCAAAAATCGTGACCAACTTCCCCCTGACAGCAACCAAACAACTCACACTCCGAGGAGCCGGCCCGGAAACTCCATCGGCAGCAAACAACACCGACTTTCACACATTTCTTCTAATATCAAACACGTCAACCGCGCCACCGATCTCGCTTTTTCCATCGAACCCGTTCATCCTAAAGACCTGCCCCTTTGCAAACGCAATTGAGGTCCCAACTCGTCCTGACCCGGGCGCAGCGGGCAGTTCCCACCAGACGCACGTCCGAATATCCAACGACCATAAAATCATTAAGTCGGCCCTGTTCAGGACATCCTATGTGCAGTAATATCGTCGAATCCCCATCGTTTGTCAGAGCGTAGTAGCTTCTTCCGACCGGATATTTGAATCCTGCATCGGAAGGAAATACCTGTCCCCAGATGTTGGCGGTCGTGTCGAAGACCCAGAATGACTCGCTCTCTTCGATAGGAGCCATTGCTGTCCCGCCTCTTCCGGAGAAGATGTAGATCTTGTTGTTCAGGGTTGTAGATGCGGCGCCGACGCGGGGTTGCGGGATCTTTTCGGGGTTAAGTTGGGTTATGTCTTTTTCGTTTTTAGGAGGGCATATATAAGCATTTTAGCTACCTCGTCGCGAGGTTTGAGCCAGGAAGGCATGAACACTCACCCCGGTCCAAAGGAATGCGGTGATAGACGAGTCAACAGGCTCGAGGGGCTTTAGTTCTCCGCCGTAGATGTATGCGTTGCTGGCCAGGACGGAGAGAGCCTGGGAGGACCTTTGAATTGAGCCATGGGAAAGAAGTTTTGTCCATGTCGGAGGAGCCATTTTGTTGAGTTCGTGTGGATGTCAAAGAATCCAGATTAATCAATAATCTTTGGAGGTTAGGAGCATGAATGACTGGGATTGAGGTGGTTTATATATTTCGATCCAAGCGGTTAGATCCTTATTACTTAGCAAAGCGGAGGACCTTAAGAGCATACAGGAACCGAGAAAGTGACAAGAATATGAGCATATTTTTGTCAAGGCGTAAAACTTTTCTTGAATCGTTTAGAGCGACGGATCGTGTTATTTTGATTTGGTCGCTGCTGGTATCTTTGTTTTTTGCAGGGCGTATATACATCTGTCATACATCTGAAGCGTATTAAATCTCTGTTTCGGGTAATTGTTCATGCCGATGACCATGTACGCGAGTATTTAATGTATGGCTTGGTAGAGTAACATTCCTATGACGTACTGATTATCTATGCCAAGCAGTGTTTCGATTGATATTCCAAAGCAATTTGAGTTATCAATGGCTTAATATCGTGGATGGCAAGAGGACAAAGGAATTTTATAACTAGTTGACAGAGGTCGCTGGTACTATCCAGGAATGAGCCACTTACTTGAAGTAATCTTCTTTCTCTCTGCTTTTCCGTTGTCCATGGGGAGCAATGTACTGAGTGCAAACAAGTTACGTGAAGATCAATTTTTGGGATCTCGAAATCAATAGCCTTGATCAGTTGCCAATGAACTACGCCATGGGGAACGTACATATTTCTTTTCTTCGTCTCTCTTCCATATAGGCCTTTGGTGGCATTGTATTTCTCGTGACTATTTCACCCTGACAGGATTGCCCCTCCCCTTGTTCACATCTAACTGAAACACGACATTGTCTGTCAGTAAACTAGAACGGAATAAAGAAAGAGAGAATAGAAACCCGGAGAAAGATAAAAAGAACAAGGGTAAGAGAAAGCTGAATTCTTGGCTGTGTGGAGCAGTGGTTGTTGGCCTAAGTTTAGACCTATTCTAGTTAGTTAGCTAGTCGGCTGTCATCGGCTTTATAGGAATTCAAGAATTCTACACCTACTGCAGCCGACATGCGGGGGCGCGCGTGAATCAGCTCATTCGATGCCTCGAGCTCAAGGACATTGATCGCTCACGCTCTACCGCATCCCCGAGTTAGCGTCTGGCCCACGACCTCTGGACACTGGACTTTTACTTCGTTCGGAACTTTATGCACGGCTATCCAGATGTGCAGCATGTAATGCTGCACACAGCTGCTCCCGCGTGTTCCGTGTTCTCCTAGGTACCGACTCAGTTTTCCAGTGGACAAACTAATCTGCGCCCTGCCCGTTCGTCGATATCAATATATTAATATCACAGTGGTGGCGTGCTTTGCGGCTCACGAACGCACGCAGGATCAATGGGAACAACACATTCGATCCGCGCGGCTGTATCTGGCCGATAGTTTACCCTACATGCCCTACATGGCGCAGTCAGGCCATAGCATGATGGCTGTACAACTGCCAGACCAGTTAAATATTACTAGCTCAACCACGTTCAGCTCTACCACGTAACGCCACTTTAGGTACCTTAGTGCTTATTTGGGATTTATTTAGTGCTCGATGACCCCGCACCACAATTATTGACTGGAAACGATGGAGCGGAAAGGAAGAGACGAATGAACCGTGATTCAGAGCAAGGCGTGATGGGGGAGTATAAATGTGTTGAAAAGTCGCCACTGGTTCTTCGATACCGATAGCTTGCCCTAAAATCTTTCTTTCTCTTTCTTCTCTTCCTCGTCCTCACCTGGATTGTTTTACAAAATGGCTGACATCGTGGCCGATCTGACAGCTGCTGTCAACGCAGCTTTACCCAAGCTCTCTTCTACCGATGATATTTAGGACTCCGCGCGATTGCAGCTCCTTGACCCATTGGAGAAGCTGCGTGGAGCCGTCAAACCCCCTGTCCAATCGCTTCTAAAAATTTGCTGGGCTGTAGGTTAAGGCTCTCAAATGCTCCGAGAAAATCTTGACCATAGAATCTTTCTGCTGATACATCCCCTCCCCGCGGGTTTGTCACAGGCTCATCCTCTGGTTGCGATCCGAACTGCGATTGGGATGGGTGTTTTTGATGCGTTTGCCGCTGCGGGCGGTGCCGAATTGACTGTCGATGAGTTGAATGAAAAGACTAAGGGCGATAAGGCCCTGTTGGGTAAGAAAATCCTTTTTTTATCCTCCTCCTAGTTAATAACTGGTAACAACCTTGGACCCATTGATTTGCTAATCGGCTTTTCCGCTTCATAGTCCGCATTATGCGGCTCCTGAGCGCCAATCGCCTCTTTACCGAAACCGGAGTGGACAAATACCGCCCCCAGCCCTTAGCGCTGGGATTTGCGACCGGTGCTCCGCCCGGTGAGATGATAAAAATTTGTAGGTGGCCCGTAAGTAGTCCATCTTGTTTTATACCGATTCGTTTTCGACTACCAGTCACATGGTTCTCCGGGCCACGGCGTACATGCCCGAATTCTTGGAAGCAAGAGGGTACCAGATGTAGATTTGAGATGATCCGTCGGTAGACACAGATATATAGATTTGATGACAGATTTTGTGACAGCGATATGAAGAACTCGAATTCAAGGAAGGACATTGATGAAATGGCGTATATGAAGTTTAAGGGCGTCAATCCCAAGACGAAGAAGCCAGAGGATAGGGAGGTGAAATTGAAGGAATGGATGGATAAGTTGCCCAAAGGCGAGGATCTCCTGGCCCACGCCGACGAAGTCATTGATGGACAAATCGGAGAATTGAAGTCAGCTCGTGAGGAACTTCTCAACTCCAAACGTATAGTCCCTCTCTTTGAGTTTCGGGACATTGGCAGTGCCCCAAGCAGTCATTTTCAAAAGGTGGTTGATGATATCGAGGACAGCCTTGTGACACTCCATAAGAAGTACAGCAAGTGATGACTACTACGTCACTTTCTGGTGTCACAACACGTCCCGATCTACCTCTATCCACTTCTCCCCTGCTTATTTCATATCAGCGCAGGTGAGGTTCTGCAGAGACAGCAGCTCGTATTTTTTGTTTACTGAATTTTACTTTCTATTTCTACAATCTGGCTATCTGCACGACACAGGTAGCGTTCTGTATTGAACCCAATTCCTTCGACTTTAAACAAAACTTTGCAAATAGCCTTGCGCCATAGAGTCGATGTTCATTCCGGTAGATCAACAGCCTGTTGACAGGGCCAACCAATGAAAATCAGTCATTGTGCTGCGTTTATGCACAAGAATGATGAGTCACAGCACGGTTCTTGCACTATTTATCCTAGGTAATGCAGTGCACAACTTTTGGTCCCGATCCTACCGACCGACTCGCATAATCAACATTTCAAAAAGAGGCACATAAGCAAAAGAAAAGATAGCACAAAGTCCAACATGCCCAATGAATCCTGCTACAAGGTTAAGCACTCTTGCCCAGCCTACTGAGCAATTAACGGAGATGATCGCTGCATCCAGGTCAACACCATGGATTCATATGGGAATGACTCAAAGCCAATGGCGTGATTTTCCCATAACCGGGCTCTCAATGCTCACTAACTCAAGCTAAGCCTTTCCCGTTACTACTTCAACGCAATCATAAGCTTTTCCCATATTAAACCGATAGCGATACCTGAGGCGGGCACCCTTTTTGGCCCCAGGACTCATTTCGATAAACCTGTCCTTAAACCAAGACGAATTTAAATATCGCCCCTTGTCCGTCAGTGAAAATAAAGAGAACTGCTTCTCATATATTCGAAATTAAAAGAAGTAATTGAAATGCCTTCCGAACAGAAAGCTCTCCTTCTTGGCGCGGGATTTGTCTGTCCCCCGGCTGTACAGGCTCTATCGGAGGCCGGCGTCCACGTCACAGTTGCCTCCCGCACCCTCTCTGCCGCCGAGGCAGTCACCGGCGGACGCAGTAACACATCGGCGATATCGCTGGATATTGCCGACAGCGATGCGTTGAATACGGCTGTCGCCAACGCTGACATTGTGATTTCTCTCGTCCCATTCACGCTCCATGCTGCGGTGGTCAAGACCGCAATCAAGCATACCAAACCGGTCGTGACGACGAGCTACATCTCCCCAGCTCTGTGGGGGCTCAACGAGGAGGCCAAAGCGGCTGGCATCACTGTTCTGAATGAAATCGGTCTCGACCCGGGCATCGACCACCTCTATGCCGTGAAAACAATCGACGAGGTCCATCGTGCGGGTGGAAAAATCACCTCGTTCACGAGCTACTGTGGCGCGTTGCCGGCGCCTAATGATGCGAATAACCCGCTGGGCTACAAGTTCTCGTGGAGTCCGCGTGGAGGGCTGCTTGCGCTTCTGAATTCGGCGCAATGGTATGAGAATGGCAAGATTGCGGAAGTCAAGGGCGAGGATCTCATGGCTAGCGCCAAACCAAACGATAATTTTTCTCAGTTTGATCTGGTTGGGTATCCGAATCGCGACTCGATTGGGTTTAAAGAGTTTTACAAAATCCCTGAGGCCGAGACTGTGTTTCGTGGGACATTGAGATACAAGGGATTTCCGGAGATTATTCGCACATTGGTGGCGATCGGGTATTTTTCGCAGGAGAAACTGGCTGTTCTTGACGGAGAGAAGGATGGCTCATTGACTTGGGCGCAGCTTACGGCAGAACTTTTTGCTTTGCCAGATGCAAGTGAAGCTGATCTTGAGGGTGCTGCGCTGGAGAAGGCACCCTTCCTATCCAAAGAGGAAGGCGAACGCGTTATTTCTGGGCTTAGATGGATTGGATTGTTCAGTGGAGACCAGGTTGAGGCTCGTGGCACTCCAATCGATACACTCTGTGCCGTGCTTGAGAAGAAGATGGCGTATGGTCCCGGTGAGCGGGATATGATCGCTCTGCAGCACCGATTCGAGGTCCTACGTGCAGACGGAGCTAGGGAGACGCGGTCAAGCACCCTTATTGAGTACGGCGAGCCGATCGGGCCTGGTTCGCGAAGTGCGATGGCTAAGTTGGTCGGATTGCCCTGTGCAGTTGGGACTTTGGCCATTCTTCGGGGGCAGATCAAGGAAAAGGGCATGGTCGCTCCTTGGACGAGCGCAGAAATTGCGACTCTACTGAGAGATGAGCTGAAAAAGAAGTACAAGATTCAGCTCAACGAGCGATTCGCTATTGAGTTGGAGGAGGCATAGTGATAGATGAGCACATACATACTTTTTATGAATGTCCAATTCCTCCCCTCCTGATTAAATCCCATCCTGTTACTTGACCTGTAGAGATGGCTAGTGCGCTGCAATGTGTCTGCTAATGCATTCATAAGCATGATGACGTGCTGCCCCATCGCTATGGCCTCACAAGAACTGATTGGCGCCTCGGCTTTCAACCGTCGAATGCGGGGAAGCAATATTGATACGACTCACAACACGGAGAACTTCTTCCCATGAAAATCCCATGGCAACAGAGACGAGGATCCGCAGGCGTATCCCTAAGTCTTGCAGGCGATGCCATCGTCGCAAGCAGAGGTGTGTTGGCTTTCCAATCTGTACGGGTTGTGAAGCTGCAGATCAGCAATGTCTCCGGTCGGAAACAACTCTGTCATGGCACCATGCGATGTCTAAAGATGCACTTGTTCAGCGGATCGAGCTCCTTGAGTCTAAACTGGCTGAAGCTGCTAGTCCATCATCCGATATGTACAATGCGACCGAGTTCACGGGGAGATCATCCCCTACCTTGCCATGGAGCGAAAATAGAGGCGACACTGCGTCTCTGGTCAGCCTTGGGGATTCTCAATCGACATATCTAGGGCCCTCATCTGGCAGGATTATTGCCAACAGCCTGGGGCGCATAGTACAAGACGCAAGTTTGACGAGTTCCATACCCGTCGAGGCAGCTCATCCACTCAAAAAGCCATCTAGTGGTGCCGATGAAGTCAGGGCAACACTTCCAGACGATGAATTAGGCTCTCGCATTCTGGATGCATATTTTCAGAACACGCATGTGCGTTTGCCTTTCCTTGATCGTTCCAAAATTTTCGAGCGCCATGCTACTCGCAATCTACACCGTACCACAAGCTCCGAAAGCGAGTATGATTGTTTTAGGCTATTCATGGTCTATGCCATCGGAGCTGCCAATCTGCAAATGACCGGATCATATACCGGGACTCAGCCGACTGCGTTCTTCGAAACAGCACTGCGATTTGATTCTTCAGTTCGTAAATCTCTGACTTTAGCCGGTGCAGAGGCAATGGCGCTCCTTGTTCTTTACAACCTACGGTCGTCAAATACGTCTAAAGTTTGGTATATGATGGGCCTAGCTATGCGGATATGTATCGACTACGGCCTTCATCGTGAGGCTCATTACCGGCAACAACGACCCTTCGAAGCCCAGATACATCGTCGGCTTTTCTGGAGCATTTACATACTGGAAAGATATTCTTCATGGTCTTTGGGGAGGCCATTTAGCATCGCAGAAGAGGAAATTGACGCCGATTTACCAGCCGACCTGGACGACTCCATTACCGATGATAATGTGATTGAACTTCTTCTTCTGAACTCGACTGACTCATCTCACCAAGCACCTGGTCCAAATCTAAGACGCTTCATCTCATGCGTCAGACTTCAGCGAATCATGTCTCGCATCCATCTTCGAGTTTATCGAGTAGACATGGCTCCCAGTACACTGGTGCCGGAGATTTCTCCGCTTCTTGCTTCTTTGGAGGAGTACAAAGAGACTTTGCCAGTTATGGCGGCACATGAAGCGGAATTTGTGGACATGCACTGGAACAACTCTGTGCGGATGCTGTTGCAACCCTTCCTAAATATTCTCCCTACTCATGATAACCTTATCGCGAGATGCCTTCATGCATCGGGGCAGATGTGCCAATTGTTCAAAAAGCTTCGGCAACGAGACCCGTCGGGTTATTCCTTTCTTCTGGTCAACGGGATCTTCATGGCTGGACTCACGATGTGGTAGGCAGCATTACTATCGATTACCTGGTCATAGGCTAACGAACCGCAACACAGCTTCTGCCTTTTCCGGTCACCAACACTATTAACTGGTAGTGTGTCTAATAACCTACGAGCAGCATCGTCTGCCCTGTTCGTCATGGCAGAACGAGACTCCAGTCTCAAGAAATATCGAGATGCTTTAGAGGCATTGATAACACGGGTGATGGATTTCGTCAATGGCTCTGACAGCACAAGCTTCTTGGACAACCAAGACGGGTCAAGCATGGGTAATCCTCAATCCGGATTCGGATATGCCTCCCATCGCTCTCCAGGCCATTTTCCCCTGAAATATCAGAATAACATATCTAGTAGCACACATAGGAGTCAAGGACTAGGATACGGGTTAACTGAAAACATCGGCTATCCTCTCCATGACATTCTTACGGAAGAGTTCTGGACAGGTGATCCCTTCATTGCGTTGAACATGGCAGACGGACTTAATTTTAACTTCTAAACATCCAAATTGTGGATTTGAATGTATATAAGAAAACTAATTTACAAATGGCATGCCGCTAAGGTGTCCTCAATCTCTAGATCCTCCCTCCTAGACTTGCTTGAGGGGTCAAAGAACGGCACTTCTCCAACGCCAACAGCCCGGTTACCACTCCGTGCACCAAACCCGTCATGGTCCCCAGTAGCCGTATGGAAGACACTCCGGTTATCCCAGATAGCTGCATAGAATCAGCATTACGCCGAAAAGTTTCGTCAGAAAAACCTACCGATATCATTTGGATCATTCCATTTCAATCTGACCTGCAGGTCATGTCCATAGGTAATAAGGTCTTGAAACCACTGTAGCATATTTGCACTCTCCCTGCGGTTCACTTCATTGATTCGCGCTGGAAAAGAACCTATTCCGGAACCTCAAGCATCAGTATCACGCCTCTACGGATGTTGTAACGAACAGATTTATAAAGACTTACCGATCGGAAAAATAGACTTCCACCCCGTAATCGGATTTGTCCTCACCACTGGATGCGTCGCCCCCAGTTCGTCGCCCACATTGACCGGCGCTCCTCTCGGTCCCAAAAATACATCAAACTTGCCAGACTTCGCCATAGCTCTAAATCCCGCGCCTACATGATCGGCACTCAATCTCTCCAGAAACCGCTGATAGGGCTTGCTAATGCGGTCATAGACCTCATAGCCACTCGCCCAGAGAGTATCTCCACCAGTAACCGGAAGCTGGGTCAGGCGGAGGGACGAGAAGTCTGCCGGCGCCTGCTCGAAGGAGATATCACTGTGCCAGACGGCCGCTTGAGTAGTGTACACGGAGCCCTTGTAGAGCTTTCTCCGGCCCTCTGAGCTAATAGTGCTGATTTGGGGATCTGGGTCGCCGAATTCGCGCGCGTCGTTGGTCACTGGGTGGATGTGAAGGCCGTGGGAGGCGGGGCGGCCGGTCAGTTCGCCCATGCGGAAGATGAGGTCTTTTTGGAGGTCGTTCGTGAGGTTGTCTTGTGCTCGGAAGAAAACGACGCCCCGTTCGGCCACTGCGTATGTTAGTATAGCGTTGTTTTGAAGGCATAGGGATGCGTTGTATTTACCTAGAATGGCGAGGTCTTTGATCTTTCGATTCGCGTCCTCGGCGTGGAGGATATTGTCGACGATGTTGCACGTGTCCTTTTGGAACTCGGTACCTATGACTGGAGTAACGAGAACTGGGTTGTATGAGTCCAAGGAGCCGGAGGAATACTGGCGTTGGACTTGAGGCGTGGCAGGAGCCATGGCGTTTTCGGACGAAGGCATAGTTGAGGTAAAATTCCAAATACAACCAACTCTGTAGAAATTATGAATTCAATCATCCTGCAATTGGTAATTGGTCATTTATATCTGCCTAATCTGACTGAATTATAATGTCCTACGAAGCCCGATTTGGGACCGTCGTTTTTCGGCGTTTAGCGTACATGGCCCTCCACTCCTGCGAAGGACTTTTGACAGCTTGTTTAGGCTTTGAAAACAAGTAAAAACACATCCGAAAACCTTCTCTGTCTAGCCCATAACGTGATTTCACGAGGTATTGCCACATTGTTCTAGATATCGGACCGTTTCGGCGATAGGAAGCTTTTCTTGGCATCCGCCTTCACTAACGCCGAAATCCGACGGCCATCGGGTCCTTCTCCACATTTCAGTGCAAGGGGATCACGTATGTGTAATGGATGATCTCTACCATCGTCGAATAAAGGCAAAGCAATTGCAATATTCCAGGAATTGTGCAATCGGTTCGATATATCGCGATGTGAAAGGATCATGAAGAAGATATATTTTCGTGATTCTTCCCGAAACCGAGATGTGAAACTCTAGACATAGCGGTGGGTATAGGCAAAATGTCTACTCAACAAGAACAATCAAGCTTGCCAGTGAATTCTACAGAAAAATCACCCAATGTGAACATTGATGAGGATCTGGAGTATACTCCACGTGAACAGCGAAAGATCATCCACCGGGTGGATCGCCGACTCATTGCTATACTGGGGGTCTTGCACACGGTCTCTTTGATTGATCGGGGCAACATCGGAGGTGCAGCAGTAGCTGGTATGAATAAGGAGTTAAAGCTGGTTGGCACTCAATATGTACGACTCAATACACCTATTTCTCTCGTGATAGCTAACTATGGCAGAGTACCATCGCGGTGGCCTTTTTCCCGCCCTATATTTGTCTACAGGTGCTTGGGCCGTTCCTCGTGCGGAAACTGGGACCCATTCCTTACTTGTCAGGGATATGTTTTATTTGGGGTGCTGTGATGGTAATCATCCTCTCGTTCTTGAGGACTGCATAGTTCATAAAATTATAACTAATGTTACTTAGCTATCCGCGGGGTTCGTGACGCATTGGTCTCAAATGGTTGGGATCCGGATTATTATCGGTGCATGTGAGGCAGGATTCTTCCCAGCGACGATATACCTTATCTCGACCTGGTATACCCGATTTGACATCCACAAGCGATTCGCCATATTTTATCTCTTGGGATGTGTTGCAGCGGCTTTTACTGGACTGTTATCGTTCGGTATTACGCACATGGTAGGAATACCCATCTTTATCTCATATCCTCTAATCAGACTAACAAAAGCAGCGTGGCCTAGGAGGTCTCTCCGCCTGGCGTTGGATCTTCGTGATCCAAGGTCTCCTCACTTGCGTTCTGGCCGCGATCAGCTATTTCGCCCTCGTAGACTTCCCAGACCGAATGGCAGAGAGCAAACGCAAATTCATGACACGAAATGAGTACGCCTTGATCCTTCGTCGGATCGAGAAAGACCGCGCAGATGTGACTGTCGAACCATTCAACTTGAGAAAATACCTGGCCGCTGGTTTGGACCTGAATATATGGGGGTTCGGGCTGATTTACTTCTCGACTACGACGACAGCCTACGCTATTACGTTTTTCCTGCCTCTTATCTATCGCGAGGGAATGGGGTTCTCGCAAGGTGCTTCATTGTGCCTGTTTGCGCCACCGTATGCAGCGGCAGGGATCCTGATGTTTGTGACTTCGTGGATCGGGGATAAGTATCGCATTCGCGGGCCGATTATTATCTTCAACGGGTTGTTAACCCTGGCGGGTCTTCCGTTGATGGTAAGTATCCTCGCTATACATTTCCATATCCTCATTGCTAATGAGATACGGTTAGGGATTCGCGAAAGGCAATGCTCCTCGGCTGGTGGGCTGTTTCCTCATCACTATGGGCGCTAACTCGAACGTGCCGGCCGCCATGGCATATCAGGTATGTTTTTCCGTTATCTCTGCTTAATATTCTATCCCCGGTGGTATCTAAACCCGAAATAGGCAAACAATGTCCGCGGACAATGGAAACGAGCCATCTGCAGCGCCGTATTTGTTGGCCTGGGTGCGTCCGGCGGCATGACCGGATCGCTGGTCTATCGGTCTCAAGATGCGCCAGATTATCACCCAGGTATTCTGACATGTGTCGGATTAACTGGAATGAGTATTGTGTTGGTGATTCTTTTATCGATCCGCCTTCATTTCTGTAATCGGAAAGTTGACCGGGGAGAGCTCGTCATCGGTGGTTTGCCGGGGTTCAAGTACACGCTGTAACTAGATCACAACAGGACCATACTCTTGAAACAAATATGCAGAGTATGATAGCTACGGACGAAGAGGATATGCTTGGAATTGGAAATTGTATGCAAGCTTCGTTATACCGAGATTTTGAAAAGCAAATACGTAATCTGCAAACAGTCCTCATACGGTTGTCTCACAATCTTCTTCGCAGACTATTAGCCGAGGACATCGATAGACTGTTCTGTATTTGCCTAATTTAGGACCGAATGAAAAGGCCTCGAGCGGGGTAGATGGCGTCAGCCTTCCATCGTGGAGCCTCCAGTTTCTCTAACCGAAGGACATAAAAGCAGCCGATCTCCCCTAGCAAGTACATTCGACATTAGCAAACCCGGACCTTCACCATGGCCCCACAAGCACACCAGCCTGACTTTACGGACACGACCGACTTCGAGAACGCGTCTCGTGGTTTACTTGGATTTCTCGAGCCATGCATTATCCGCTCTGCCGAAGGACGCGTGGTATGGAACAACGACGAGTACAGTTTCGTCCACAACACGGAATGTCCCGAGACGGCCAACCCGAAGCTCTGGCGTCAAGCTCAATTGGCCTCTCAGCAGGGGCTATTCGAAGTCACGCCAGGAATCTATCAGGTCCGTGGGTTTGATTTGGCCAATATGACGATTGTCGAGGGAGACAGCGGCATCATCGTCATCGACCCTCTCACCTCCTCTGAATGCTCCGCTGCAGCTTTAGCTTTGTATCATAAGCATCGAAGCGACAGAAAAGTGACAGGTTTGATCTATTCACACTCGCATATCGATCATTTCGGGGGCGCGAAAGGGGTCCTTTCAGATACTGCCGATATCCCTATCTTAGCACCAGAGGGATTCATGGGAGAGGCGACCAGTGAGAACACACTTCTTGGTCCGGCTATGCGTCGCCGGGCCATGTACATGTATGGAAGCGGGCTACCCAAATCTCCGGACGGCCAGCTGGGCTGTGGTATCGGTATGGCTGTCTCTAGTGGAACAAATACCTTGGTCCCGCCAAACGAGACAATTTACCGAACCGGCGAGGAGAGGGTTGTTGACGGAATCCGGATTCAGTTCCAGATGGTCCCTGGCACAGAAGCACCGTCCGAAATGAACTTCCATTTTCCCCATCATCGCGCACTGTATATCGCTGAATGCGCGACACACTGTTTACACAATATCATCACCTTGCGCGGAGCCTTGGTCCGAGACGCCAAGGCCTGGGCTCACTATCTCGACGAGTCCTTGGTTTTATTCGGAGACATATCAGATGTGCTATTTGCCGGACATAACTGGCCCACCTGGAGACAAGAGAATATCACGACTATGATCTCCGAACAACGAGATCTCTATGGCTTTTTGCACGATCAGACAGTCCAAATGATGAATACCGGGATGATAGGAATCGAAATCGCAGAGAAGTTGACCTTACCACCGGCGTTGCAAAAGGCGTGGCACACCCAGGGATTCTACGGATCCGTGAGCCATAACGTCAAGGGAATCTATCAACGTTACATGGGCTGGTTTGATGGTAACCCCGCGCATCTGTGGGAGCATCCTCCCGTTGAGAATGCCAAACGGTATGTGGATTGCATGGGAGGAATTGACGAGGTTGTTCGCAAGGCAGATGGATACTCACAGAATGGGGATTTGAGATTTGCGGCCACTTTGCTCGGGCATGCCATTGCGCTCGATCCCGGGTATGAGGGTTCCAGAAAACTGCTAGCGGCAGTGTTTGAGAGACTGGGATTCGGAGCTGAGAATACCACCTGGAGAAACTTTTATCTATCTGGTGCACGAGATCTGCGTGCTGGGAATAAAGGTCAGACGGCGCCACGGGCCATGCACGGGTTCTCGCCAATGCAGTCGGTGGAGCAGTGGCTCTCTGTCCTGTCTGTACGCCTGGATGGATCAAAGGCTGCCGAGGAGTCGTTCACGATAGATATTATACTGAAGGATCTGGAACAAACCTGGCGGGTGATCATCAGCAATGGCGTTCTCACCTACAGACGTCAATCTCGTCAGTCGGAGAATGCGGTGAAATCGGACTTGATAATCAGGCTTGACAAAAGTCAGCTACAAAACATCCTCAATGGGGCCTCGGAGAAGGGGAAGATCGAACAGGAAGGGGATGGCTCTCTGTTTAAAAGATTCCTCCTGTTAACAGGTGTGAAACAGGATGTATCCGGTACCAAAAGCCATATATAGGTAGCTTTTGTGGTGTTCAATTGATTCAATCCTTTCTTACGACGTTTATCAGTAAACTTGGTTCTAGGGACCAATGCGAACTCTACCTCAATCTTTTAGAATTAAGGATTGCCTAAGCCATGCGCAAGATTTCTACTCGAGGAATGAATAAAATGTACTATTCAAATGAAAGATAAGAAGTCATCTATGAAAGGTTGAAAAGAGGCCGAAGATACCCTTGAGCAGTCGGTAACCCCTTCGGGTTAGTGCTGAACGAGTGACCAGAGAAGTCGGGGTTCGAATTAGGAAAAAGCCTTGTAGAAGCTGCAGGAATGAGTCATCTATTTTCTTGCTACACATCAGTGCTGGCAAAAAGCTTGGTTGAATTAGAAGCTCTCCAGACCGAGAAGAGAATTAAGACCGGAAAAAAAAAAAAATTTGCTAGAAGAAAAGAAGGGGGGCACCAGAGAGACCCTGGACCAAGTTGGCCCGGCAGGATCGAGTGGGGCTGTCTAAGCCACATTGTGATCCCTGCGAGGTAACGCTTCACAAACTGTTCGAACGGAGTATATAGGATACTATTAGGGCGAGCTATCTGTTGATAGTATGGGTTCTGGCGGTGCCTAAATGATTAGGCAGCCTCTTTCTTCAACTATTTAATCCCCAACAGAGCGCCCCATTCCACGTCTCATTCAACAGCCCTTCATCCATTCAAACCATTCTATTATACCACATCGCTCAAAGCACAATGGACCCTGCCGTAGAGTATACGCGTAAAGATGAGCTTTCGGAGATCGAAAAGGTGGCAACACCTATGATGACCAAAGCTTTCGTCTTCTATGAGATCCTACCAACGACCGATCTGGACAAAGTCATCTCATCATTCAGAGAAGGCCTCAAAAACGCAACTCGCCAGGCTCCCTTCGTGGCTGGAAACATTGAGTATGATACCACGGGCAAACCACCATACATATTAACACATCCAGGGGAGAGAACAGAACTATTTACTGTCCGTCACTTTTCCTCTGCGGAACATAAGTCGTTCGCGGCGCTCGCTGGCGGCGCCTTCGGCCCTGCAGATTTTGACCCTGACCAGCTAGTACCTGAGCTGCCCGCGGGAACGAAGCCGGTGTGTGCGATTCAATTGAATATCATTGAGGGCGGCCTGATCTTGGGATTTACGTTGAACCACGTGGCTGGCGACTGGACTTCCATGGATACGTTGTTGTCCTTGATTTGCCAAGGCAGCAGGGCACACCAACAGGGCCTGAAGATGCCTACATACACTCCGGATCTCAATAGAGACCCGTACAATGCTCAGTTCGCGATCTCAAAGGATAACTTGCCCGAAGAACTAGGCATGTACTACGTGAAGGAAAAGGTCCCATTCATCCCCAAACCGCCACCACCTTTTCAAACGAGCATCTACAAAACCACGGACGCTTTAATGCAGCAACTGAAACAGAAATGCACCCCCCTACATGGATTGGAGTATGTTTCATCCTACGACTGTCTCTCCGCTCTTCTTTGGACCTCAATCACTCGCGCCCGACTTCAGCTGCAGCCTGAGAAAAGCACAACAAAATCAACCTCTCTCCACCCCGTTGGCCTCCGGTCTCGAGACCCTCAGAAGAAAACATCAGAGCGGTACTTCGGAAACTCTGTCTTTCCGGCTTGGGTCAGACCGACGGATAGTCAGGCTTTAGTTTCGGAGAATGGCCTCGCCCTCGCGGCATCGTCGATCCGCAAATGCATCCAGCAAGTGAATATCGACTGGGCGGGAAGCATAGCATCGTTGGTGGCATCCCTCGCTCCGAACGAAGCATTGGGCTACCATGTCGACTTCCACGACATGGATGTTCTGATCAACAGTTGGTATTCTGGGACTGCCGAAAATTATGATATTGGAACCGGGTCATTGCCAGTTGCTTTTCGCACCGCTCGGCCCATTACGGGTGGCTGCGCTTTGGTTCTGCCTAATTTCAGCAAGGGGGATACGAGAGAGTATGAGGTTTTTGTTCAGTTGGAATCGCAGCAACATGAGCTGTTGCGTCGGGATGCAGAGTTTGCGAAATATTTCGAGCTTCTGACATGATTCAGGCGTCACCATAGAGGCAGCCTTTTTGATTGTTGCCTAATTTATGTTAATATATGACTCTGGTTAGAATTAACTCGGACACGTGTTCTGCCTCGATTGGTGAGATCATACCCATTGACAACATGGAGGCCAAATTTTTGCACTCTAATAACAACTCAATCTTGTTAGTATAAGATCCAGATGCGCCAAGAATGGCATTTTGCTTGTATAATGGTCCCACATCAGATGAAGGCCTTGAGGATTTGAAATTGAGAAATCGAAGAATACACTTCTCTGCGTTCCATTTCTTTATCTCCCATTGAGTTTGTGAATCAATAGAATGTCGAGAAAGGGTTCCACCATTCCATTTGATCAATCGGACAACGACCGAACCCCTATGACATCATTCTTTCCCCCCTAATTAGGCTAAGAACCCGAACCATACCCGACCGTCTCCTTCGCGAGTCAAAAGTCAACAAATACAAACACAGCTATAACTCTCTCTCTTCCCTCTTCATCAAATGATACAAAAAATCTGTCATTCTTCTGCGCAATGTCCGAAGTTAACTATACCTGTCCACTTTCCTTCCTCGCGCGGATGCTCGTCAGCACAAACGCGACCGTCGCAGCCATCATCTCATGGCTTTTATTCGGATTCAACGCGGCCCCCACGCGGACTCTTTGCTTCGTTTTTTACACCTTCCAAATCACTTGGTTTGTCATTGATCCTAGGCTCTGCTATATCTGGTTCTCGCGAACCCAGCCGGATGGGACTAAGCTTCGGGTGAAGCGCCCGGTTATTGGGTTCAAGCGTTGCGAGACGGTGAGGGGGTTGGTGGACGATGATGATGATGGGTGTAGGCATGAGAGGGCTTTGTTGAGAATATGAGTTATGGTTGAGAAAATTCTTAGACAGTCTTTTGTTTGAATTTGATGTTATTGCTTTTAACTTAGGGGTCAAAAAAATGATATTATTCATGTCCTTTCCTTTGCTATCATATATAACGTCACCAAGTGGACGAGGTTTAGTGCAGGTAATTCGAGAATATTAGTGTCTTTCATGAGAGGGTGACGGTAAGACCGAGCGACGCTCCAACACAGTGTTCGTTCTGTTTACATGGCGTTTTGATGTATTCTTGCCAGTCAAAGTTGACTTGAACTGAGTTCCATACTTTGGTTCCTATGCGGCAACACAACATCGCCCAGCCTGATAATAAAAAGGCGCTGCCGCCGTGCCGCCGACACAGCCCACGGCAAGCCTATCATGGCGAGGCCACCCCTGGGGAACGGTGGAGCTACTTATGTAGGTTCTGCACACCCGCTTGCATAATCGGCCAATTATGATTGCGGCGTAGGCGATCGTCCGTAAATGATCAAATCTCTCGCATGCATTGCCGACAGTTCAATTTTGTATGTTGAGGGGTTGATGTGCCTTGTTTCTGATTCTAGAGTAATTGAAATGACAGTTGACGGTTGGTATAGATTGTAAAGTTATACTACCTCAATGAGTTGGTCCTGGGCTAGCATGCCGTATAGCCGAAACATATCCTGGTTAATGAACGAGCATTGAGCGCAAAAGCAGGGTATCCCTTATTAAACCTATCATCCCTGCTGTAAATAACCTATAATGACGTCCTGTTCTAACATAACCGCCTACTTAAGTCCACATATACCTAGTTACCGCCGCTCTATAGCCCTCGGTATTCCAGGCGTGCCTTCATCCCAGCAGTGCCCTACATTTATGGGTCTACGAGTTCGGCGTTTCAGATGAACCAGGATATATCTGTCAGCCTTGGTCGTACTATGTCTTGAGCAGTGGCTAGGTGTGAGCGGGTGGTTGTGGTTTATATCGTAGCGCTACGCCCATCAAAATGTCCTCAACAAAGATAAACATTGACACGTTCAAAATGCCAAGGCTCCCGGCTTTTACCACCGAACATAAAACCATCGAACACAAGAAATCGAAAAAATGCACACATATTATTCAAGCAGTCCTGGCGATTTTATGGTTGTACAGTTTGCTCGTTACGCATGGGACATACATTGGTATGTGCTCTTGTCCGTCTCAAAGAAGCGTACTAATAAAAGATGCCTAGCCAACCTCAGTGTCCCTACTATAAACCACTCGCCATTACCGGTTGCGAAGATAACCATACTATACGATGATAGCCCCTTTCTCGAACGAGCGCTAGATACACACAAGGAGCATAGTCACAGACAAGGCTATCCGCTGTCTGTCCGCCGCACTTCAGTCCTCGGTGGCGGATGGAACAAATACGCAATGCTTCTGTCCGCCATGATCCAGGAAATGGAAAAACCATTTAATCAACGGGTCAAGTGGCTGTTGTAAGTTAGGAGCCATATACTTCAACACTTTGTCTGGTACTTGGCTGACTTCGATGTCCCAATAGCTGGTTCGATAGCAACACAATACTCATGAATCCGAACATGCGACTGGAAACATTCCTCCCTCCACCAGAGTTCTCACACATTCATCTTCTTCTCACCAAGGACTGGAACGGCATGCAAAACCATGTTTTCTTTCTCCGCGTTCATCCATGGTCCATCAAACTACTCTCCGCTGCGATCGCGTACCCAGTAACACATGACCCCGTGTCATCTGATCTGTCAGCCCTAAGCAACATCCTACAAGACAACGATTATTTTGCTCGATCGGTCGTGTACTGTCCATCGCGATGGTTCAACGCGTACACTCGCACGCCAGATGACGAAGGCTGGAGAGCAGGGTCATCTCCCCATTTCCAAATTCATCCTGGGGACCTACTGGTTAATTTCCCGAGGACGCCATATCAGCATCTGAACGAGACAATGCTGCCCTATCTCGACTTGGCAGAGAAGCATGAGAAAAAGTGGGAATCAACTGTGGAGGAAACGGGCTATGTGGAAGAGGTAGCGCGATTTTGGAGAAGTATTCATCGGTCGCCTTCCGACTAGTTTTCGGTCTCGTTGAGCGTGGGCTTTTCCGTGTATTTGACATGCCGCTGTCATATTGATTTAATTTGTCTGATGCAGGCAATCTCTGATGTTTCTTTGTCTGGTTTTATCATCTTCTTGGCAAAATATATCCAGAGTTTGGACCGCCAAGGGTTATCAAATTAGGCTGAGCGAGATTGCTATTCTTGGATCTTAAATCAAATCGGTGCGAGGCTATGGTTATTATATAATACTACCACTCGGCACAATAAGAAGCCAAAAGACAGAAAGCCCAAGCTGCTCCAGTTGTTACGGTGTCTTCCAATTGAGGGGAAGCAGATCAACTGCCAAGGAACTGCTGCATTCTTGACAGGGGTTTGGTGGAGATACCTCCTGCGCCGCAATTTCGTGGGCAAGTCTCGAGCCAATTAATGTGGCCGGCAGGAATAGGCGCTCACAAGGGGTGAATCCGGTATTTTGAGCCTAGCCAGGTTCTTCTTTTGTCTAAATTTGGTTTTCGAGGTAAGCGTTATGAGCGAAGGCGCAGGATGTCAAATATCAGAGATTGTCGACTATGCGTGAAAAGGTTCGGTCCCGGCCGCCCGATTCTATAACGGACTCAAATAAACACGGATACATGTAAATTACCTGATCCAAAATAAAATGTATGTCAGTTCCTAGAATTTCCGTGAAATGGTCCGAATAAAAGTATTGGCAGAAACCTCTTTCCTGCATCTGGTTGATACCACATCCGATCGTAGGTTGTGTTTCTTCGATTAGCCAAGTTATCAGATAAAATTTCATTGTACTGACTCAACAGCTAAAAGTCAGAATTCATTAGAATACAGAGAGAAAAGTATGTCATTAAATCATAAATATTTTCTCCGGCCTCATCCTTATATAAACAGTCCCCGTCCCCCCGGACTCCCCGCAGGCATCTCGTACACCTTCTGCTGACAATTCGAAGGTAGCTCGACGGGCGCCCTCACCCTCACAGGAGCGTAGTTTTGATCATATGTCTGTGCCTGCACCATCGTGGACTCTCGTAGTCTCTTCTCGTACATCCGCCTCTGGAACCAAAGTGCGCCCGCCATCGCCAAGATACAAGCGCCCAGCCCCGCGCCTACTCCTGCCCCAATGATATTGCTCTTTTGATTATCATTATCACTTTCCACACCGGGCGTTTTTATTGCGCTCGTCACAGTGGAAAACACAGTCGCTGTTGATGTCGTCACCTCCCCAGATACTGTGGTAGGCGCGTTATCCGAGGGAAGCACTAACGTGCCCATATCCATCTCAAAGGCATTACCGCAGCAATCGGAGCCGCTCTCGCTGCAACACCAATGTTTATTGCTTATATTTGTGCACGGAAGGATGTGGATGCCGAATGATGTGCGCATGTCTGTAGTTTCACTGTCAGAAAACACCTCATCCTCTTGAAAGAAAGCAGCAAAACGGACTTACTCTCAGGGCAGATCTTCGGACAATCCGAGCTCTTCCATGTTTGATCAGTACATGTATTCTGTAGAATCAGACCTGTGTAGCCGCGCACTTGTGCGAGACACAGCCCATTCGACAAGCAGACATCATTCACTTGGTTCGCGTTTTTTTTGTTTGTCGAGCAGCACGCGCTGTTTGCTCGAGACGGGAAACATGGTTGCATCTCGTCTATAGCTAAGCTGTTGTCTCGCCAGTAGCATTGCGTTGCGAGGATCGTGGGAAGGATTATGATTTGCGCAGTGAACCATACGAGAGCGATTTCTCGTACTCTCCCCGAGATAAGCATCTTGAGGAGATTTTGTGGTAAATAACCAGAAACTGGAAGTCAAGAGACGGTCTCAGGAATACACGACAGAGATGGAGGGGTAGTGTCGTACAGACAAAGGCTAGGTTTGCACCTGACAGGATTAGATACTTATTATAAAATGGGTACTCTAGGACTGCACGACATCAGGGGCTATTAGGCGCTGACCGTGTTCAAAATGAGAGTTGAAACAGGCCCATGTATGTTGGCGCCTACAGGACGGGTCTCATTTGTGTAGATATTCGGATTGGCCCGTGTCGGCACGATCCCTGCCGCTTCCCTGCATTTAAGGTGCTCTGCCCCTATAGTATCAGCGCGATGTCGAACTAGACCTGCTGGGGCGGAAATTTCTCCTCACGCCATGCGCGCATCAAAACCAGAATGAGGGGAGAATGGAAAAAGACGAGTCGAGTTCTGTTCGACATTGTGGGTAGTTTGACCATTGCTATTGCTAAATCGGAGCTCGGTAGCGTACCTTTCTTTTCGCCAAGGAGGTCACTAGTCCTCGAAATGTCTAAAAATCCTAGGTTTGCAACTCCCTTGATTGAGAAAAGATGTTCTAGTTTAGTAATAATTTGCTAAGTCGTCTAACGTGATTCTAGTCGTTGACACCCGCCGCGCCCCGATAGGTATATCCCACAGAACTCCGAATTCACTTAAAAACTTCGCTTTCCACAGCCTCAATCGCTTCTCGCAACACCAGACAAACGGTCTTTAATTGGTCTTCAGTGATGATAAATGGCGGCGCCAACAACGCATGGTCACCTCGCAAACCATCAACCGAGCCAGCACCTGGGTAGATAGCCACCCCTTTCTCGAACGCAGCCTGCTGAACGCGCAGGCCGAATTTAAGAGCCGGGTCGAACGTCTCCTTGGATTCTTTATCGCGAACAAACTCAACCGCCCAGAATAGACCCCGGCCACGAATATCGCCCACCGATCGACAACCCTTCAGCTCGCTGCGGAGCAGATCTTCCAGAACGCAACCCATGTCCGCGCATCTCGATACAAAATTTTCCCGGCGAACAATTTTCTGCACTGCTAACGCCGCAGCACATGAGGTAGGGTGTGCTTGATACGTGTGTCCGTTATTATATGCGTTACTGCCTTGCCGAAGACCGTCGATCACTTTCTTGTGGATCAAGACACCGGAGATCGCTGCGTAACCACCACCCAGTCCTTTTGCAACGGTGAGGATATCGGGAATAACGTCTTGTTCTTGCTCGAAGGCAAAGAATGTTCCTGTGCGACCGACTCCGCACATGATTTCGTCGAGTATCAACAGAATACCGTATTTATTGCACAGTTCACGGACGCGAGCAAAGTATCCTTGTGGCGCGGCCACACAACCAGACGTCGCGCCCACAACGGTCTCCGCGATGAATGCGATGACCTTTTCAGGACCGACGCGCAAGAATTCCTCTTCTAGCTCCTGCACTAGTCGAGTTGTGAATTGTTCCTCCGTTTCGGCGGCCCCCTTGTATCGGTAGGCATAGGCCGGCGAAACATGAGAAACATGCGGATACGCAAATCCCTGATAGGGTACCTTCCTGGCCAAGTTACCAGAGATGGACATGGCAGCCAAAGTATTTCCGTGGTAACTTTGCTTTCTGGCGACGAAATGGGTCCGTTGCGGCTCGCCCTTTTCATAGAAATACTGACGCGCAAGCTTCAATGCTGACTCGACGGCTTCGCTGCCACTTCCGACAAAGAAGGCCTTTTCGAGTCCGTAGGGGCTCCCTTCGAGGATGAAGTTTGCTAGCCCCTCTGCTGCTGCAGTCGTGTAGGACTGGGTGTGCACGTAGCTGACTTTTGCAAGTTGGTCGATGATTGCTTGGTGGACTTCCTGGTTGCCGTGACCGATTGCTGCAACTGCTGCTCCGGCGCAGGCATCGATGACTGTTTGGCCATTAGAGAGGTATAGTTCCACTCCGTGGGCTCGTTCCACTAGGGAAGGTTTCTCGATCAATGATCGATGCAGCAAGTGAGGCTCTTTCTTCTGCGTGACTTGCTCTAGGCCGTTCTGCCGGGGTAGGATGTAGTCATCTCGAGATGGTGCCATGATAAATGATGAATATGGAACTTTTGGTAGATAGTTGTTGCGGGAGGTTTGAATTAGATAGATGTACCTTCACTCCGATCACGGGTGACGGCGCTGGGGAAATATACCATTCTGGGTGTGGACATTGATTTTGTGATGTGGACCATTGACTGGAGAATCGGGATAGAACCGTGAAAGTTCACTGGCTGGCCATGGCGGGTCGAAACCGAAAGCCGAAGGCCAAAGATCGGTTTTGAGGTACTTCGGAAAAGAGTCGACGATCTGTTCCTGCATTCTCCATAGTTGCACTCTATGGATCGGACGGGATCTGTTTCTATTACAAATAAGTTCTCAATCCATCTGTTCCTAGTTAACCTCGGCTCTGGCGTCCAAGATATGCGCGTAAACCCGCCTCGCGCCTGAAGAATGTTCGGATATCCCACGCTTTCGGAAACAACAGGCTGTCCGATATGATTACCGCTGTGGATCCTGCTGTCCAGTCTAGTTTTTACCATCAATGACCATTGTTCATGTTTGTCCTAGCTTATGTTCCTTCAAAACCCAATGCCAAATCGACTTCTTCAAGAGAAGGCCACCAGTGACCCCAAGCCCCCTGATCATGCGCAAAGTTACTAGCTTCAACGAGTAACTGGCCCAGTGGCATCTCAACGTCAACTGGATTAGCGCGTGGCTCCCTGATGTGGTATGGAGGATGATTGCCATCCTGTCCGGCAGCTCTTTCCGCGCCCTCAATCTCTTGAATGTAATCATTTGATCTATCGACTACGCGAAATTCATGGATGGATTGATGCAGGATATCGAAGTCAGCTCGCGTTTTGCCTTGATAGCGATGTCGGTCGGATGCAGCTCGTTCATATAAAAGGGATGAATGCTCAATTGTTGTGAGCTAAATGATGTCAGCAATTACACGAAATTGCATAGATAATGCGAAATGCAAAAGTCAGCTCACCCAACCGTCTCCAAGCTTGCAAACCTTCCGAAACCCCGAGAGATAGGCGAGACAGTAATGCAAGCCTTCTTCTGCCCGCAGACTACGGCCGAGATTCATTTTAGGGAAACGATGAACGTAAATGTTCATGTTGGCCGCGGAGAACGCGCAAAAGCCAATGAACGGCGTGTACAAACTGACACCACATTCCGAGGCTTCGTGCAACAATAGGGCAATCTGTTCCGTTGCTTTGAATAATTCTTTGGCACTCTCTTCCCACCAACCCGGCGGTGCCTCGGCTTCGAGTGTAGGGTGGTCAATGGGGCCGCGAGGACCTGCCTCATTCAATGGTAGGAATGGGAAGTACTCTCGATGCAGCATGAGCGTGCTTAGAGAGCGTTAGCTATAGAATGAAAAAGCGCTGGGGCTTGACATACCTAACATAGTATAGTAAATTGGAGTACGTAAATGACTCCCCGTAGCCCAAGCTCATATGCGCAACGACACCATTATTGGGGTAATAAAGTCGATCATGCTGGCTGGCTCTCCATCTTTCAAGTTGACTTCTAGTACGCGACCACGGAGAACCAGGGACCCAGGGACAATTCTGAGGGGCACACATTCCCGGGGCGCGCCTTCCGTCGTTCAAAATAAATGTCATTACCTGGGCCCATATATCGAATCCCGAGACCAGGATCTCAAAGCTTTGGGTAATGTCCAAAAGTCCCGTGGGATGATGCTCCGATCGCATCAAGCTTTCCTCGATACCGAGTGAATGAGATGCTAAGTCTGTCCCGAAGGCAAATTCCACGGTGCTGAGTGGGCGTAAGATACCCAATTTCTCCATTTCCGACATCGGAAGCATAGGTGGGTTATAAGTACCTGAGCTAACCATCCGGTCCATGATGAAGCACGCCCAGAAGACTCTGTTCTCGATGGCCACTGACATTACGTCATTTCTAGTATCGGCTTCAGTGTCCAGCGGGTACCTGGTCACTCGGAGGCTATGAATAGCTTGCATGATGCGAATCGCGATCCCTTCTCCAAGTTAGTCTTGGTTTCACAACACACTTGCAGGGGCACTCCATTGACCTACCACAATATACCCACGCTTTGTGGAAATTGCGAGATCCCCACTCGTGCAATGTTATGATGAGAAGTGCCTGCACAACTTGTATGCTAGGGGAATCCAGAACAAGGCCAGAAAGCATCTCTCTGGTATAGACGGCATAGATGTCAGCATCTAGCAAGCCGTCAACCCATGCCGGATTGAAAATCATCCCATGAGGCTTCGTCACAACGAGAACGGCCCCTAGCAAGGCTTTGGTTTGTTCAGAGCGTATGCACTCCAGCTCTCGAATCACAGACGGCATGTGCAAAAGTCCAAGCTCAGGAAACTTGTTGTTGAAAATGTTTAAGCATTTCAGAATCATATCCTTGGGCAAGCTGGAAATATGTTCATCGACTTTTCTCTTATCGTAATGCTGGAAAGAATCATTAGATTCTAGCTGCGATCTCGGATTCTGTTCCGCCCGTGGACTTGGCTGCACTTGCTCCTCGAATGTTGGTCGCTGAATTCTATTGCGTTGCTCAGCTGACGCAACTTGAAGCAATTGTCTACGCTCTTTTTGTTTATATGGAGGTGGCCGAGTCAAAGAACAGCCCTCCAGACCTGCTTTCGCGCATTTTTGACAAGGCGCTCTTCCAGAATTCACGCATTTGATCTTGGATTTTCTGTATCATTCAAGCGTCAATGTGCGTCAGTCCATACTTCTGACTCTTAATCCTCATGATATTGACTCACCGGCAAAATGCGCATGATAAACTTGAGCGCATGGTGGTGGTGAGGCGAAAAAGCTTCAGCACTGTGCGGTCTTCGGAACCGATCGGAAATGTTCGGCTAAGGGAACTTCGGCCAAAGAGACGAAACTCACCCAAGCACAATCTTTCGTATTGACTATAGACGGTGCAATGCGTTCTCGGTGGTCATGTTGATCAATGTGCGGTAAAAAGATTCTAATGTTGCTGTTGTGGCCAATTCCGAAATGTTCGGGTTAGGTTGTGCTGCCTGAGGCACTCAATTCAGCGAGCATCCACCCGATTACGGCATGGAAAGTAGTTTGTGGAGTTACATGTCATGAATATACTGCTAAATGACACACCTTCACCCAGGAGAACCACCATAGGCTGAACTGAGAGGAGATGGTATTTTTTGATTGACAGCAGTGAGAAATAAATAGCACCGGGCGGCTATGAGCTGGTCTTATCCTGAAAAGGCCATGTCTTCTCCCACAAGGCTCGTTCCTCTGGAGTTGATGATGCACGATTCAAAAACCTCTCCTTGGCCACATCCAGTCGTCTAATGAGTTCATCATACTGGTCTGCAGGTACATCTCCATCCCAGCCTGAACTCACGCCAACCTCGTCAAGTAGCTCTTGCTTCCTTTCGATGTCCCTTGCCCATTTTTCAAAGTCTTGATCCTGCGTTTCCAAATCACGCTGACTATAGTACAAAGGGCAGGGCTCTTTCGGGTTCCCGTCGTCATCTTCCCCAACTACTTTGGGCCATATCTCATCTCTCGAGGCAATGGCAAGCAGCCTTTGGATATAGGGCTCACCCCCATCGAAGACTGCTCCTATTAGTCTAAGTAACTCGGCTTGCAACGAATCCTGATACTCAAAAACACGCGAAAAGCCACTGGAATCTTTGGAAACCTGAAGCTCATAAGAGAGCCACAATATCTGCGCAAGATAAAGCTCCTTGGCGACTTTCTTCTGCTTCACATCAAAATCCTCGAAGCCTTCTGGTAAAGTCGGCATCACAAATTGCTCTGGTTTCGGACCGTCAAATTCTATCAAGGATGGGTGACAGACAGCAAAGAACTTGGGGTATATAGATACAGTTTGCCAGTCAATGATGCTGGTAATCTTGGTCGGATCATCATGGTCGACAAATATATTCTGTCCGTGCAGGTCGCCGTGCCACAGTGTTCCGACTTTTAATAAATCGGATATTGGTAGAATATTTTTGAAGATCTGAAGAAAATCATTTAAAGCAGACAGCTTTGCTTCCTTCGTCGGGCGATAGTCCCCATACCAATTGAAGAATCCCTGCTGACGATCTCGGAACAACGGAAAGAATTTTTCAACGCAGCCCTTTTCACGCAGAGCCATGTCTCTGATGAAATCCGCAGGATAAAACCCTGGTTGCGAGCTTATTAGCACATAGATCACCGTGCGTGACAAAAAGAACTTACATGGACCTTTGTAGACATCAAACTCCCCTCTTTCGTCTTCATGCCACGACCTGCCTGTTAATGGGCCGATCGCAAAAGTCTCGTCAATCATCATACTTTCCAATTCCGACACGTCTTCCTGACGATACAAGGCACCGTAGAATGGGAACTCGGCCCTAGATAGTGTAGAACCAATGGAAGCAATTTGCTTCACAATTGATAACTTCTCCCGCCCCTTGAGGGTGTCCCATTTGCGGCTCAACTCAATTCCTCGGGCTTTCTCCATCACGATGTACTCAGTCCCCAGCCGACTCTCCGAAGCATGGCTACAATAGGACAAAACTCTCGGAACAGGCAGTTGCAGAGACTCACGCGCCTAAGCGGGGGTTAGCTCATTCTCAAGAGTTCGACCGCATAGTGTGCAACGAGATCAAGCATTCTCACATATTGCATGGTCGCTACTTCTGACGCCATTACGTAGTGGCTGGGTCCAGCATTCGGATTCGGAATCTTGACAACCACCTCCGATCCATCCTGCATACTAACAAGGTTTTGTTATAATTCCCTTCAGACAGCTTTGAGAGATTGGCGCAGATAGCATTGTCGGCAGCCACCTCTTCTGCAACTTGAATCAAGGCGTCGACGTCGAATTTCACATATCGACTTTGGAGCCGCTGGGACTCGTTCCAAACCCATCGCTGTGCGGAGTAGCGATAGAAATCCTCAACGTCACAATCTATGGCTCATGAGGATGTGATGGTGAAATACCAAAAGGTTTAGATTGAGAGCTCCAGGTTCTCGGAGGGCGCGTGGCCAGTGATCGAACTACTGTTACGGTAACAGCGGTGCTGCGAGTTGAAATCAGGGGAGATGAAATATCTTCCAAGTCGTGGTAGCATCTCGACTCTGGGCCTCCCTTGTGAAGATAAAATAGTTGTTCAGGTCAGAAAGGGCGACGCCCTGTTGACACTCACATAATCACCTTCCTAGATAGGATTAGTCGGTTACCCACTGGGAGTACACGCTAACCGGGTTAGGACAGGTCGCGCGCCTTCGTTGCCCGAGCATTGAGATGCGCTCGAAGGAACATTGCTCACTCCCATCCCGTATAGATACTCGGCTCGACGGATCACCATAAATGGTCCATTTCACCGACCTTCCTTTTGAAATTCTCACAAGGATTCTTTCATACCTGCTATCTCATCGTGATATTGCTGCCTTGTCCATACAATGTCGGTTCCTGCATGCCGTCTGTGATATGGACACCCGCCGGAGATACCGGCGCATTCGCATCACGCCGGATAAAAAGAGTCTGAATCGCGCATTTGACAGGCTATTCAAGATATTAAAACGACCTAGTCTCGGCCGACATGTCCGTCGGATTGAATACATCAATTGTACATCTTATGAGACGGAACGAATCTATCCTCCGGGCTACGAGCGAGACCCAACCCCGGAAGAGACTCGGCTGTTACTCACTGCGTGCCATGCAGCGGGCTTTGGACGTTCGGATGATGATAATCTGATGGCGATGCTGCTCCCCCCACCAGTAGAGGAGACTGAATGGTCTGAGAAACAGCTGTGGGTGTATCTCCTGTGTTGGAAAGCTTCCTGTTCTGACAAATTCTAGAGCCTATCAGGCACAAGCGATGAACATCGTGCTGGCGTTGACGGCTCTTCATATATCAGTCTCACAAAACGTCGAATATCTGGCTATTCCGGACCCTTGTTTCACATATAGTGGACCCGGAACTCCTGAAGATATCGTGTGCTGCCCGGTGTACCAGCTCATCGAAAATGTGCACGCCAACCCCGAGGAAAGACCATTCTTACAGAATCTGCGAACGATCTATTTACTTAATGCACAGGGCAGTCCGGATCCAGTTTACTCTCAGAACTACTGTTTTTTGGATCTTCCCCAGTCCATGGTTCTATTCCAAGGGCTTCCTGCCATCGAGTCTATTAGAACAGATATCCTAGGTGCACCACAGATTTCTATTCTTTCAATGCTAGATCTGAAACCTGCGTACTCAAACTTTAGCAAGGTTTCTATTCAACACTCATGTGTCGATTCCAGCTACCTTGCAACAGTAGTCACATTTTGCAAGGTACTGAGAGAATTTGAGTATGGCCTTGGAGGAAAGTATAGATATGGACTTGAATACCCCGTGTTCAATCCCAAGACCTTTATTCAGGCGCTGCTGTTTCACAAGGCAACTCTGGAAACTTTAGATGTCGATATTGACGCTAGCTGGCCTTTCGACCTGGAGGAATGGGATGAGGAGTATGAACAGGAAATAGAGAAAATTTTTTGTAAGAAATAAAATATAAAATATAAAATGTTAACATATTTAATTTCGATGGACCGGGGAGAAGGAACAGAGACAGCTGTAGGGCTCCTTCCATACGACATATGGGAACAGAGTGGGTCCTTAAAAGACTTCTGTTCCCTGAAGCGACTCAGCCTCGGTATTAAGTTCTTAATGTACTTTGCCGAGGGAGTCATCGCAGGATCCCCGCGAATGTGGCTGGGTGTGTCCTATAGCCCGTGCAAGGAGGAAGGCGAAGATTGCTTTAATTTGGCAGATCACTTGCCTCCCAATCTCGAGTATCTCACCATTCGGGGGTATAAGAGAGGGGTGAACATGGCGCACGACGCCCAGGTTGATGCTCTAATTGCTCTCAAGGAAAACGCCTCGTCTAAAATAAAGGAGATTACTGGCATCGAACATCCGATCCCAAATGGCGAGGACTTTGATCCTGATGTGGACGGAAGCATCCTATGGCACAGAGTGGATGAGGAGTGGAACGATGATTAAATCGACTTTTTTTTCTCGTTTTGCCCCTTCCCCTGTCTGTCACTGTTTCATTTGATTCCCACGTTTCCGATACAAAGCACTGCACAGCATACAATTTTCCCCTTAAGATTGCTGCCAATCTACTAGTGCAAAGACACGGTATCCCCCCGCGAGATCTCCATGTAATATCAATAACCCGGATCCTCGGAACAGAGATGCTTCGGGCTTTTAAAGCCACCCATATTAGCAGCGTTAATGAAACTCTCAGTTGTCTGTTGATCACCTCCACAGATCGCACCGCACCAAACAGGACGCATGTCATGCCCATAAGGCTGCAGAATATACTCCTTCATCTCAAAGTCCGAATCCACTGCGCCTCCAACATCGCAGACAGGAATAGTAAACACACCCTCCCACGAAGCGCCCTTCTCACCAGGACTGGCCCACGCGTTCGAGATCGCATCGGACGCTCGTTCCGCTGCTTTGTCGGCATTATAATCGAACCCAGCGGCATTAAACGCATCAAGGGATGAGTTGATGATATCCTCAACGCTGACACCGCTATACGAACCTTGTCCTAGCTGATCCGCACCCGGTGGTGACGCCACCCATCCCCATTGATGTGCGGTGGTGGAAACCACGTCGTTCTCCTGCCAGTAATATAGATACCAAGCCTTATCATCACGACAGATGAGGGCTTCTTGGGGTCCTGATCCAATGCCTTGGTTATCACCGCATGCTCCACCGCCCATGACGAAGATCTTCTGTGTCCGATAGAGCTGGTTAATTGCTGTTCCAACCATCATGGCTGTCATGGAGTCGGTCACGGCGTTCTTGTCTACCCCTGGGTAGTCGAGGAAGGCGCCTCCTGAAAGGTAGGATCGGATATCGGCCTCGTTATACTCTTTTCCGGACATGAGGTCGTTGTTAGCTGTTGTGAAAGACTTGAGGGAGTCGACGACGACGGTGCCCAGGATGCTGCCGAGATCGGCTGATTTCTCGAAGGTGTCATCCTTGCTGTATAATGCACATGATTAGCTCCTACCATGGATATATTATAACTCCAAAAGAAAACAATGGACGACTTACTGATCCCCAAGCACTAGATTACCCGCCGCAATGCCGCCACTAAGTAGCGCAGACCCAGCTCCAGCAACCGCTCCACCGACCGCAGGACCCAAGCCCGCAAGAGTCACCCCAATGCCAACGATAGTGGTCACAGCATTAAGCGCTTCTTTGAGTGCCGTGACGCTCTTGTCATCCTTATCCTTATAAAACGTCAAAGCCCACTCATCCTTCGACAGCGCAGCCCCAAGGGCGGTCGTCGTGAACGCCTCCCCAAGACCAGTGAAGTAAGTATGGAGTCGATTAACAGACTCGAGAACATAATAAGCAGGACGAATGTCATCACCCTTATCATTCAGGACTCGATTGTCGCATAGATTCAGGTCGCAGTCGGTATCGGAGCCACTGTCACTGCAGGACCAGTCTGGGTTTCCCATGGCCCATTGTCCGAATGCTCCGGCGAATCCGGCCGTGTTGCTGGAAGTCTGGTCGGTGTTGCTGTCCCACCAGTTATTCAGCCAGTCGGTTGTATTGTAGATATCCCAGTCTCCTTGATGCTGGCCGTAGAATTCTTGGACAGGACCACATCGTTTGTGGAGATGGGGCTGATGGGATGGGATGCCTTGCACTGTAGCGAAGAGCGCAAATGCCGGGAGGGCAATAAGGGAGAGCATGATTTCCGGGCCGAGAGAATTGATCTCAACGGGAGGAGAAAGAACAGGACCCAACCGGAACGGAGAGTTTGAATGACAATTGCTGAAAGTCATGCCAGAGAAGGTAGACTGTATATATACAACACCGACTCGGACTCTTCCACCCCCCGACTATACTTACCCATTCGGGAAACTGGTATAACGTTCCTAAATCTCATGTTCCGTACGTCTCACGCCGATGATCAATGGTTCTCGGGAATAAATATCATTGGCTCTCCCTTGGTTTGGTAGGATCCGAGTGTCGATCACCATCCTGAACTCGCGCTAACTTCCCGTATTTGTTATCAGAGACTCGACTAAAATGGGTTTGACCAAGGTTTCCATAACTTCGTTCCTGGATGAAGTCAATTCAAACTTTGCTTTGGGGCCGATGGCACTGAAGGATCTTGGTCAGTCAATCTGTTAACTGTATTTTCTAGTCGGTGCGATTGAAGATTCAACGGCCGGGCGCAGGATCTGGATTGAAGTTAACCATGTATATCATGTCTGGATTAGGCAATTCGTACCTGTGGTTCCAGGAAATTCGCTTTGTGGTAGTAGGAATTTCTATCCACGGAAATTGCCGCATGTCTAACACGGACAAAGCCAACTGTGCTTGTCACTTTGAACTTACCTCCCGAGTGTAAATAATGGCTCAAAGAACTACAGCCTTTTGATAGTGGACTAATAGGCACCGTATCTACGCTCCATTGAACAGTGAAACATGAACCTCTATAGTATATTTCCCCGGGCTTCTAACTAAACAAAGACAAATGCATGTAAAAGGCCTTGAGTTACGAGAGAAAATGCTTTAGACTTCCAAGATAGCCTTCTCGATGAGGGCCTTGCTGTCAGTTTCCACTTTAGTGAATAGTTGGAGAGCGTCGCCCAGACGTGTAGTGGCGATAGGGTCAGCCTTAATGGCATCCTCCACAGCCGCACCGTTATTCGCTAGGTAATCGACATCTGTGGTAGCGAGTTTGCCGTCCCAAGAAGCGACGAGCGGGTCAATGTTGGCCAGATGATGAAGACGCTTCGGAGTGGCCACTGTGTTCTGGTGACCGGGGTACTGAGGCTTGGGGACACCGCCCTCACCAGGCTGCCAGGTGCCGTCGTAGGGTAGCTTGACGAGCTCTTCCAAGACTTCCTTCGAGATGGTGGCGGAGTCGACCCCGATCTCGCCCTGAGCGAGGGCTTCCTTGGCATTGATGAAGCTGGAGAGAAGTGTTAGCGGATTCTGGAACAAGTAAGCCGGCGTGGGATGTTCATACTTTGCATTCTTGATGAGAGGTTGCTTCTTGCCGGCTTCCTTATGCTGACGACGGTATGTCTCTAACATCTGGATAAGACGGGCTGAGAAAGGGTGCTGCGAGGCAGGGTCCTCCACGTTGGGCCAGAGGCTGAGATCAAGGTTCGCGCGTATCTCTAAAAAGGAAAGAGAACAACATTAATACCCGCGCAGAGAAAGGAACTGAGTGGATCATACCATTAAAGTAGGGACTGATAAACAAGCAACCGGCCTGACTAGCCGCAATGGCTTGTGCGAGCGAGAAGCAAGCGGTTCCCAGTGTTTGGATACCTTCGGCTTGCAAGGTTGGGCAAACGCTCAATGCAGGACCTGTGCTGGGGATCTTGATGCAGAAGCGATCCTTGGAGATGCTCACCGACTCGAACTCCTTGGCATATAATCGGGCGTGTTCAAGGACCTTCTCACCATTGTACGCCTCGGAGGGGGAGACCTGCAACAACACGCGGCCGGAAATCAGATCAATCGATTTCTTGCACAGCAAGACGGCCTAAAGTGAATAAAGTCGTGTCAGTATGAAATAAAAGAAAAGTTACGACATATCTGTTATCTCGAAGGCTTTTTTACAACGCGAGTGTAGATGGCCAGCCAGCCACGACCCTTGTATTCACGAGTAACTTCTGCAATCAACTCCTTGTTGATGGGGTTCTCCAGTTGCGCGTGAACATGGATCTGGTTGCTGGTCATGTCATGGGGAGTAATGGGGAGGCTTTGAATGAAGGCGGGATCCATCCAATCAACATCGACATTGACTGGACAGAAAAGAATGAGCTTTCGAATCAATATCACTCTCGGAACAAGTCCGACATACCTTGATCCTCTAGGCGTTCAAGCCAGCTGGGAGTGGTAGCAGTGCCTATCATTGTGTGTGCAGAATGGGATTGTGCTCAAGTAACTGTGGGAAATCTGGAGTGATCAAGGGAATGATGAACAGCTTTGGATGGAGCTGCACCTTATATGTATCCAGCTCACAATGCCCTACCATTTCTCAACAGAGCAGAACCGCACATTGTCGGGGAAGCATGAGAGGACCGCGGGGTACCTGTGGGGGAAAACAGACCGGGCCGTGTGAGCGATCGGCGGAAATCTGTCATCACCATATCTTCGTCATCTTCAGACTGCAAGCATGAACGTCATGGCAATACTCTAGCCCCTGTAATTTTCACCTTTTCATACTATCTGTAACCAATGACAATGGAATCCGCACATCCAGGCTGCGTTGTAAGGCTGACGATCCCTGCGGAACTCGGCTGGCCCAGAATAGTAATGCTCCCGAGTCGAAGCCCCTTTCGGCTGATCGAAAAGAGTGATTATCCCGAGCCGGAAGCCGCTCTCTGCATACCAAAAATAGTAAGGATTCCGAGGTAAAAGTCGCCCGCTCATAACATACCTATGAGGTTCTCCGCAGCAACATCTACAAGATACAACCGTCTACAGCATGTAGTGTCATGGTCCTTGCGACTCAATTCGCGTCTTCCTCGCAGAGTCAGTGAAATAGATCTCCCATTATGAAGCTGAACGAAATTGACATAAAACCCTCCCCCAAGGGAGGTCTTGCAACATCAACAATACTTAGAAATCCCGATCACTCTCTTCAAGTCACAATAGCCTGAACTCGAAGTAAAAGCTATGCTCACTACGTTGCTCATTTTCATCGCCTTAGCGCTGATTATTTGGAAGCCTTTCGTTGTATACTTATATGACGTGAAAGGCCTCCGGAAATACCCCAACCAGAACATTCTTTCGCCCTTCATGAACCTCGCCTACGTTTGGGAGCGCCGTGACCAATTTCGAACTAGAAGACTATACCAGAAAGACCCCAGTTGGATTTTTGTGCCTGAGGCAGCGGATTCGGGGAGATTTTGCAAGCATCGCGACTTTCGGACTCGGAGTCTGCAACTATGCAAAATGTCTCCGAACAGCTTCAAAAGACCGCGAAGATGCGTTTCTCACAATTTCTACTCTGTATCACTTTTCCTCGGTTCTGTAAGATCATACTTTTTTTCTCACAACGCACCCCGACTTACGATTTACCGAACAACGCGATGAATACCACAACGCGATGAATACCAGGAACGGTCCTACATCGCCAGCCGAGGTCTCTGACAATGCGCGAAAGTTCACCTTCAACCGTGATCTTCGTTTTTGGTTGGTCTTCGTTGCGCTGTCTGTGACTTCCTTACTGGCTGCTCTCGAAGGAACTGTCACGTCCACTGCTCTTCCTACCATTGTGGCCGACCTGCACGTTGGTAACAGTTACCCATGGATGTCCAACGCCTACTTTTTGACTACATACGTGAGACACCTTCAGTGATTGCGCAAGCGTGCCGTTGAGTATAAAGTCTAATCTGTTTGAACTTACATAGGGCATGCTTTCAACCTTTTTACGGGCAACTCTCAAATGTTTTTGGTCGGCGGTATCCCATGATTTTCTCCGTCGTCCTCTTCATTCTCAGAGTGATGTATGCCTCATCTTTCTCATCGAACTGCTTCACCATCGCCTCCACTCAGGGGGCGGTATGTCCCGGAAAATTCATCGATCATTCTCGAGGGGAAACTCATGGGCCACTATTTTCTTCAATATCGCTCTTATACGTACCGTACCGTACCGTACCGTCGTTCTCGAGGGATCTTTTTTCAAAACACACTTTTTTGAATAGTATATCCCTATAACAGCTCATAGGACTTTCCACTAACTTGGGAAATTACTGCTGGTTGATTCTATATTACTTGTATAGAACTTTTGGTTATGAGGCTAGCCAACTTGATGACGTGACGAGGTTGCTTACGGGATACATTCACTAGTTAAGTAGTTATTTCAAAGCAGTTACAAATCAACGTCAATACTCACAAATCTATTCACTACCAGTCAACTTACGCATTATAAATATCTGTCTTTAGGATATAAAGTATATCAAAACATTGCTTGTCTCATTTACAAAACAAGCAGCACACTTCCCAATCCCTCGCTATGACTTTTCCATTCCCAATTCCAACAACAACTAGACAGTGGACTGTCGTAGGTCGAAATGGGCTGGAATCCTTAGAATACACGGAACAGTCTGTGCCTGAACTTAGCGACAGCCAGGTTCTAGTTAAGCGTATGTTACTCAATATTCTGCCTTTAGGACTATAAAGTTACTAATTGGTTTCTAAAGTTCAAGGTGCCTCACTTAACGTACACACTTTTCCAACACCATTTCTCTCACAGCAAAGTAGGCTAATATAAACCCAAGTATCGAGACCTTCTCATCATCCAAGGAAAATACCCCTTCGACCTTAAACCAGGCGTAGTACCCGGATCAGATGGGGCTGGCACAGTCCTCGCAGTCGGCAAACACGTTACTCGATTCCAACCCGGCGACAAAGTTGTCACTATAATCAACCAGCAACATATTGCTGGATCAATGAATGCCAGGTCCCTGAAATCCGGTCTTGGCGGCTCCCTCGACGGCACTCTACGCTCCGTCGGCGCGTTCGATGAAGATGGACTAGTCGCTATGCCTGAGGGATTAAGCTTCACGGAGGCCGCGACGCTTAGTTGCGCGGGATTAACAGCATGGAATGCGCTCTTCGGGCTGGAGGGAAAACGCCCCATGCCGGGGCAGTGGGTCCTTACTCAGGGAACTGGTGGCGTGAGTCTCTTTGCGATTCGATTTGCGAAAGCGGTTGGCGCGAGGGTTATTGCTACTACAAGCACAGCGGAGAAAGTCAAGTTTCTTGAGACGCTGGGCGTGGATCGAGTGATCAATTATCGTGAGGTTCCTGAATGGGGTTCGTTGGCCAAGGAGTTGACTGGGGGAATTGGAGTTGATCTCGTCGTGGAGGTTGCGGGTGGAGCGACAATGAAGGAGAGCGTTGCTAGTCTCAAGCTCGATGGACTGATCAGCGTCGTTGGTGCTGTTGGAGGGCAGGGTAAGGAGATACCGAGCTTGCTGGACTGTTGGCTCAACCTTTTTACTGCTCGCGGCGTCTGGGTTGGTAATCGGCTTCAGATGGAGGAGATGTGTCGTGCTATAGAAGCGTCGCCGGACAAACTTCGCCCTGTCGTTGATCCCAAGCTTTTCACGCTGGAAACGGTTAAAGAGGCATGTGGATATTTGGAATCGGGAAAACATCGCGGCAAGGTTTGTATTGAAATTGCCTAGCCTGGTGAATTTGGTGTGGCGGTCAAGTAGGCAATTTGGAAGCGTGGTCTACCTCCTGGATTTGAAAGGGGATAAGTGAATGCAGTTCAGATGAGATTAATTTAAGCTTTGATTATTTCCAACCACCAATTTGGGAGTAGCTGGACATCTCTCTTCATAGTTGCTTTGCCATTCTAAATAGTTTGTGGTCTTGTATACTCGCAATATATCCGCACAGCCATACCTTAACCCGGCTGCTCAATAATGTACGGCTCTCTGGAGTTACTGTCTCTTCGGTCTGGCTCAATCAGAACATTGACTGCATTCGATCGGCTTTAAATTATCAACTGTACCTCGGGGACTTCAAGAGAATACCCTTGCTACATGTGATTTTCTATTAGACTAAAGTTTGTTTGGAAGAGTTTCAATTTGAGGCGGCAGAGTAAATCATAGTTTTATGTCAACCCCCAATGCGGAAAGAGAGAAGTAGATAAAGTAAATGGGAACATAAACTACCTTAACATAATAAGCCCCAGAAATATCATGTTAAATGCTTTTGATATCTGAATCAAAGAGAAAAAACCCAGAAGCCCGGAGCCAAATGACAGAAAGTTGGTGTGCCCAATAAAAGAAGATAGGAAATAGAATGAGCCAGATAGAATCCTCGAAATGAAGCAGTACACTGAGTGGCAAGACAAGTAACCAAGAGATATCAGAACCAATTCATTAAAATAATATGGAGATCACACCTAGGCTTGATCCTGATTGTCCATGTCGGAAAGTTGCTTCAAAATGGGCCTCTTCACTGCACATTTGCCTGACAGGCGTCCGTTTCTGCAAAGTGGCTAGTAGTAGTGGAGGCCATAGTGTCAGTCACTCCCATTTGCACCATGTCTTCATCTTTGATATCAGACATATCGGTACTGGTAAGGTCTATATAAATGCGAATGTTAGTGATTGAAGTGAAAGGGAAAGAGATTGTCTTACCACTTCCAGAGGCAGTTGTAGAAACAGAACCCATACGTTGCTATTCACCAAAATGAGGATCTCCGAGATCATGGGGGTTGCTGTATTTAAGACGGGACTCCGATTGACCAAGCATGCGGCATAGCTCGTCAGCTGCCATGGTCATTTTTATTCCTTCCCCTTCCTGTTCTCCGGCACCCGCCTCTATATCTTGCTCGATCCTAGCCCCAATCTCAGCAATTAACCCCGGTAGTGCTTTACGAATGAGCGAGTACTCCGCTCATCTCTCGATTGTGTGGTTCTGGAATAAGATCCATGCCTTTTGTTCCTCTTTCTGGCTGAGCCGATGTACTCGCCCAATGGCCTGGACGAGCGTACCCAGGTTTCTGGGGGGTTGGAGTACGATGACACGTGAGCAGTAAGCATGGAGATTCAGCCCTTGAGAAGCCCGAAGATATCCTGAATCTTCGTTCCGCCATCGTGCCCGACCTGATCGCATGGTATCTCGAGCACTGTTATCGGCATCGAGGTGCAAAAATTTACCAAGAAACTTTGCAACTAGCTCCATATCGCCATTGATGACAAACCAGTTCAATGGGGTCCAGCCTTCGTTATCCACGAGAAGGCGTGCCCCTCCATTAGAACCGTGCCTCCAAGACAGGAAATTACAAAATCCTCCAGATCTTGGGTTTTGCCCTTCTCACCATTGGCTTCGGTACATTCACAGTGCTAGGTCCCCACTCCTCCACAGCAGCCTGGACGTTGACGCAGATGGTCGCTGCGTTCGGTGCGGGAGTGATCATGCCCGTCCTCCTCCCCGGGCTCGAGGAGAAAGACACGGCCACTTCCACGGCACTCTGGGCCTTTGTCCGTAGTTTCGGCATTATATGGGGTCTTGCCGTGCCGGCAGCCATCTTCAATAACCAATTCGACAAGTTTTCCTCGTCAATCAGCGACAGCTCGGTGCGCAACATGCTTACCGGGGGTAATGCGTACTCTTACGCTTCGAGTGCGACCATCAATGCTCTCCCAGCCCCGGTGCGAGCCGAGGCTATCGACGTTTATGTCCGTAGCCTGCGGGTGGTACGGCAGGTGCCCATTGGTTTTTCGGGGCTGTCATTTCCGCTCTGCTTCTTGCAGAAGAGCATTAAATTGCGGTCGGATTCGGAGACGGATTACGGGCTGAAAGAAAAGGAAGCGAACCAAGGTTCGGATAGAACTTTGGCATCTGCCTAGGCGCGTTTTCAGGATAGCTGTGTGGTCGCAGAGGTCTTACGGTCACCGTCTGGAGATGTCTCTCAACTTGTATATTAGTATTCCGCTGGCTACCCTTTAGGGGGGGTATGGCACTTCTGGGGATGGTTAGCGAGACAAGATATTCTTGGGAGGTATGGAATGGCGTGTATGGTCCGTCGTTCAAAAGTACTGACAATTTCAAGATACTAGAGTTGCGTTTTAAGTATCAAGGCTTGAGGTGTTCCATTGTTATTCTACTCGTAAACAGCACTCGGTATCCCATGATCTCTCCTTCACTGTAATGTCCTAGTAAGGGCTCTGCTATAAGAATTGTATACTGTTCTTCTAGGAACACTGTCCGGTGATCCTTAGTCTAGTTCATCATCTATATCTTGCTCTTCTCTTCTTCACATACCCTTACCCCTTACTCATCGATATTCGTACTCATAGCCACATCCCTCGACGCTTCCAAATCAGCAGAAACACTCTTCAACTTGACTTCCAGTCTGTTCACACAATCCGGTCCCAGTGGCAGTCTCAAAACCCTCCCCTTCAATTCCCCACCAACGCCCTCACCCGTCACAGCCCCAAAGATCCGCGCGGCTGCCTTCTCAGCATCGCCTGGCTGCTTCCCCTGCGCGCTCTCGAACTTCCCAAGCATTTCATCCACCGGTCCTCCTCGATAGGGCTCCGACAACGAAGTCTCAGTCTTCTGCACTGCGGAGAGGAAGTTCGTGCGGAAACCGCCCGGCTCAACGATCAACACGGAGATATTGAATGGCGCGACTTCCTGAGCTAGCGATTCGGATAACGCCTCGAGCGCGAATTTACTCGACGCGTACAGACCGCACGACGGCAGGGCATTCTGGCCCGCGATACTGCTGACATTGACAATTGTTCCGTTTCCCTGGGCGCGTAGGGACGGCAGGAACGAGCGAATAAGTCGTAGGGGACCGAGGAAGTTGGTGTTGAATTGCGCGAGGGCTTCGTCATCGCTGGATCGGATTTATCAGTATCAGGGCTTGTTGCGATGTGTGGGACTCAGAATTGCGATCTGACAGAGAACACAAACATAACATACCTAATATCTTCAATTGCGCCGAGAAGCGAATACCCAGCGTTGTTCACGAGAACGTCGACGCGTCCGTAGATGCTCTCTGCTTTCTTGACCACGTCGGGGACGGTCTCGGCATTAGTGACGTCCAGCTCGATGACCTTTCCGCCTCGCGACTCGATTCCGTTGACTGCGTCGGCGGATTTGGTGGTGTTTCGTACCGTCGCGATGACGTTGTGTCCGGCGGCCAGTGCGTGGAGCGAGAGTTGGTATCCGAAGCCCGAGGAGCCACCGGTGATGAACCAGACGAGAGGGGCCATGTTGGGACTGTTCTCGTGGTGAATTTAGGTAGGAGATGAATTGATTGGTATTCCTTTTGAGAGAAATCGTGAAAATAATTCAATCAATCCTTCGTGGTGTTTAGCTATCTCCCTCTTTAAATACCCCTCCTTGGTGACACATGGAGTTAACGGGATCGGGGATAGCGATGGAATTAAACTCTCCTCCGTCCCTTCGAATTTAGCGGCAATCCTGGCCACAGGACGGCTGTTCCGGCCAATAATGACCCCTACCATAGCGCATAGCCCATCCCCCCGATTGTCGCAGTGGATGACCCGGCGATTATCCGGCGATTTCTCAGTGTTCTCGGAACAAGTGGATCTGACGATGGGTCTAACCTGAGGCATCAACTCCGGAGAAGGAACGGAGCCGGAACAACATCTCTCCCGACACAGTGATGCCTTAGGATCCAAAGGTGCCGCAGCCTTGCACTAAACCCACCGTCTGGATCCTGGAAGGGCCAAAAAAAAAAACGGACCCAGCTCCCCAATAGATCCTCTAGCGCTCGCCCCGATTCCCAGTTCAGTATCAGCTAGACTCGTCGAGTCAGTCGGCAACGCGCTAGCCAGAGCTACTGGGGGTCTGTTGCCTTCCTGTTCCCAAGATCGGTTCGTGATGGCCTGGAAGGAGAATATCAATATAAAATCCACGGACCAGAACATCCAGATTTTGCGGCTCAACTCAAGCTAGAATATTGGAGGATGACAGCACTTTTATCGCTCCCGAATGAAATCCTGCATCGGATCGTCTATTATGCCGATCGCGAGGAATTGCTCCAGTTGAGGCTTGTGGGTCGGTCGCTGAGCGATGTTAGCAGGAAGTACCTGTTCCAGTCTGCCCGCGTGGTGCCGACGGATGAAAGTTGTGAGAAATTCGAGAAGATCTTGAATGATCCGTTCCTTGCTTCGTGCGTGACGAAGGTGTATTTGGATACCACTGATTGGGACAATGTGAGTTTTGACCTCGTTGGAGGAACTTTTGATCGGGTGCTGACATGCGACAAGGAAATTGACATCGAAGAGTATGATGACGACGAGGGCGAGGAGCTATTTCTTCCGACAAGATATAGCAACCTTTTCAAGCGGCTCAAGGAGTTCCCTAGACTCCAGGGGGCTGTGTTGCGTTTTGAGCACGAGTGTTATAGCCCGAGATCAATAGAATCGATCTATGTCGACTGTCAACAAGAACCTGACTTCCGTGAGAGCGTCCTGGAGTCGTTTATGGAATCATTGACTTCCTTGCCCCGACCTATCCAAGAGCTTGGTCTTCGCGATCTCCAGAATCTCAACCAGACGGACGAAGCGCTCGTCGAGAATATCAAGGAAGTGCTAAGAGGGCTTCACACACTACGCCTGAATATCACGAACGAACATAGCGAAGGAAACGGAGAGAATGATCTGGAAGTATGTTAGCATGTTTTCTGAGTGTTTCAGCTAGAACATGACTGACTGTATGAATAGCATGACGAACCGCACTTGTTCTTCTCAGAGCTGCCTTCCTTCTGGTTGCAGCCCACATTGGCAAACCTGCAACATCTGACCCTCTACTCGAGCAACTACTACGGCTTCTACCCGAAATTCGACCCGACGGGGCTACATTTCCCTCAACTGAAAACGCTCGCTCTCGGTAACCACGCCTTCATCCACGACTCGCAACTCGACTGGATCCTCTCGCACGCCGATACACTCACGGAGCTGTATCTAGACGACTGCCCAATCCTCTATGAAGTCGCAATCTACGCGAAAGAAAAAACATACCTGGACCCAACCTCCTTCGGGTTCAAAGACGGTCTCGGAGAGAAACATTACGCGACATATGACAAGCGCTGGCACGATTATTTCAACGCCTTCAACGACAAGCTCCCGCATCTGAGACATTTCCGGTACGGCCACTGCCCGTTTTGGTGGGATGAAGGAAGCCCTCCGTTCGAACAGGAGCAGCATATCAAGCTGAGTTTGGCGAAGGATAGATACATGGTGTTTTGTGATGGGTTTGGACCTAGTCCGTACATGGAGGAAATGATATATCGTGAAGGTGGAGGGCGGGCGCGGCCTGATTGTTATGCGGAGGATGAGAAGGCGTTGGTGGCGTTGTGTGCGAAGTTGGGGTATAAGGCGGAGCCTGATCCGGATGAAGATTTATATGGGCATTTCTCGTAATGGGGATATGTTATTGAATATACTCGTATTTTCGTTCAGAAGTCCGGTGAAAGGTGTGACATAGTGTTGTCGAAGAGGCACAGCATGCGGCGCTTGTTTAGGGACGGATGGTTTCCCCGAATTTTGGCTCAAGGTTCTTGAGCACTTTGGGGAAGGCTTAGCCATGTGACCAAGATGTCTTCTAGCACTTCAATATATATCTCCTCTTTTCAATGGAATATATTGCTTTGCCATCTGCCATTCAGAACGTGGCGCGGTTCAGCCCACATGAACAGTGTTGGGACCAGATAGGCTAGAACAATATGCACTGTCACACCGTCAGCATGCTTATTTGAAGGAACCCAGGTTATTCCTAGAAGCACCACCCAATAGCTTTCCAGTCACTTCAAATCCCCAATGACAGCCAAGAAAGCAAGCTTCAATGCGCCCGCATTCCTCCCAGTAAGAACGCCCCCGGGGAACGCAGTGATCGGAGCCAAAGGATGCGCTACTGCACTGATGACAGGATGCAAATTCCGGCTTGCGGAGAATGACTTTGTTCGAGTCATGGCGCTCGCCTGTGGCCAATAAGATTGTTAGTTTGTGACAGATCTCGTATCGACCCTGTCCAGGGCATCCATCTAGGATCTGCGCCTCTGCTCGTGTGCCCTCCATTGCAGTGGTTCGATGCAACATTGCGAGTCGATGAGATCACCTTTTCTATCATCTGGATAGTTATTGCGCTTGCTTCCGAGTTTAACACTTGATGAATGGTTGAGATCGTATTATTAATAAGATAATAGTTTTGTTGTTAAACTTCTGCCTACCCATGCTCTAGACCAACCATGTGATCTGTATTTGCTAGGCAATGTGATGAATCTGCTCTGTGCTGTGCACTGACTACACGCTGTTCAGCTTACGCAGGGTGTATATCTGGGCTGGCGTTTCTTCTGCAGTCGGGGTGAAGTCATCGTCGTTTTAGTAGAAATCCTTACCCAGGGCATATTTATTCGCAAGATCCCCGCTGGTCCCGAATCCGCTTTACTGACGCCTTCATTTCATAAAATCAGTGCCTTTCCACTACCTGTTTGTCTACCATGTCCGTGATAGTGTACTCTGCGGTGGGAGTCTTATGTCTATTTCTTCTCAAGTCCCTGTTCGGACGAAAAGGCTCGACTGCTCCCCTCCCGCCCGGGCCTCCCGGGAAACTCATCGTTGGCAATCTCCATGACCTCCCACCATCAGGATCTCATGAATGGTTACATTGGTGGAAATACAAGGATCTCTACGGTACAGGACATTTCCTCGCTCTGAGTGTCCGCACGCACAACACACGTACTCACCCACACGCCTAGGACCGATCACTTCTCTCAATATCTTCGGCCAAACACTAATGATCATCAACGATGCCGACGCAGCGGTCACGCTCTTCGAAAAGCGCTCCGCAATCCACTCAGCCAGACCGGAATTCCCCATGGCGGAACTGTACGGCCCTCTTCCGCTCTTTGATCTATCATTTTCTAACATATCCAGATCTGGCTGGGGTCAAGCGGTGAGTTTGCTGCAATGTACGCCCCTGTTCCGAACGCATCGCAAGGCCCTGCATCGAGAGCTGGGTACCACGGCCGCTGTTGCGCGATTCAACGATATCCTGGATCTTGAGGTTCGACGGTTTCTGTTGCGGGTGGTCCAGACGCCGGATCAGTTGATGGAGTTTATTCGGAAGTTAGTTCCGGCTTTGTTTCTATGCCCTCTTCTCGGGGAATGGGTTAGGCTGATGTGTGGGAATCGTGCAGACAAACTGGCGCATCAATTCTGAAGATCGGATACGGATATAATGTGGAACCGAAGGGCCGTGATCCCCTTGTTGACTTGGTGGAAAAAGGCATGGCTGAATTCTGCGATGTCGTGGTTCCGCATGGATGGCTTGTGAATCTTGTTCCAGCTTGTATGTATCCGGGGATGTTTCCTCCGTGACTCCAAAGATAACTGACAACAATCACAGTCAAACATTTCCCCAGTTGGCTCCCAGGCGGCGGATTCCACAAGACAGCCGAGGAATACCGAAACAGCGTCGCCCGACTGCGCGATCTGCCGTATTATTTCGTCAAGCGACAAATGGCACAGAAGAAGGACACGCCCAACTTCGTGTCGAGTAGTCTCAACAAAGAACATATCGAACCGGGGTCAGAAGATGAGATGGTGTTGAAGTGGTCTGCTGTGTCGCTGTATGCTGGAGGCGCTGATGCCGTGAGTGACCTACTCCCAACTGATCCCATCGTCCCAGAAAACACCCTGGACTGTAACTATGAGCATCACTAACTCAATACCGCCAATATTAGACCGTGTCCTCAATCGCCTGTTTCTTCCTCGCAATGGCCCTCTACCCTGCAGTGCAAAGACGAGCACAAGAGGAGATCGACCGCGTGGTAGGAACGTCTCGATTGCCCGGATTCCAAGACCGCGAGAACCTGCCGTACATCAACGCCATGGCGCAGGAGATTCTGCGCTGGCATCCCATCGCACCGGTCGGATTCGTTCATAAGTCCAGCGAAGAGGATATTTACGAGGGATATCGCATCCCGAAAGGAGCAATTATGATTCCGAATATCTGGTGCGGAGAACCCATCTTACCTATCCACTGGAGTCCCTTGCTAATCCATACCTGTCTGTTTGTTGATAGGGGCTTCATGCACGACCCATCCATCTACCACGACCCAATGACCTTCAAACCCGAGCGCTTCCTCTCAGAAAAAGGCCACACACCAGAACGAGACCCCAACATTTTCGCATTCGGTTTCGGACGCCGGATTTGTCCCGGTCGGGTCCTTGCCAACGCGGATATCTATCTCACGATTGCGCAGGCGGTCGCGAGTTTGAATATCACGAAGCCGGTGAAAAATGGAAAAGAGATCCCTGTGAAGGCGGAGTTCTTGCCCGGTGTGATTAGCCATCCGGCGCCGTTTGAGGTCACTATTAAGCCGAGGAGTCGGGGGCATGAAGATTTGATTAGGGAGGTTGAGAGGTTGGGGCCGGAGGCGAAGAGTGATGCGGAGGCGTTGTTAAGAGGGGTTTAGTGTACAGTTCCTATACGAGATGGGGAGGTGGATGGGGAGAGAATGGGAGGATGTGTGTGTGAGATTTTGGTTAATAACATTCGGTAGTGAGAAATTAACCTCTTTTTTATAATGATCTAGGAAGTCCACAAATGCAGCAACTAGCGGAAATGACAGACGAAAGGGGCCAAATCTCAATTAAATCAGTCACAGGTAGCGACGTAGGCCTCCCGCACGCTGAGAAAGATCAAGTTAATCAACATTTTCTAAATCCCAATTGAGAGCAATTACTGGCTCCTTTGCAAACCCTCTGTCGTGTAGCGTCGATATTCCAATCTGGCCTTAACAACCGGCGGCCGGTACGTTGTGACTCATACGCCTTCGGTCTTCGGCGTTCGGGGGTCTATCCGTCTCGGCCCTTATGCTGGGATATAAAAATCATCGATTACCAGGTTTGACTATCTTCTTCTCCTTACCAATTCACCATGGAACATATTAAGAATACCTTTGCGCAATGCAAGGCAGACGGTCGCCCGGCCCTAGTGACCTACGTCACGGCCGGGTTCCCAACCGCCCACGAAACAGTAGATATCATGTTAGGCATGGAGGCTGGAGGCGCTGGTTCGTTTCACTCAATTTCTTTTTTTTTTCCCGGTCGCGTGCATGGAATTGGGTCGCTGATCAACCGAGATAGATATCATCGAACTCGGTCTCCCGTTCACAGATCCCATTGCTGACGGGCCTACGATCCAAAGGTCCAACCTCCAGGCTTTGGATAATGGCGTCACGGTCTCGTCTATGTTGCAGATGGTGAAAGATGCGCGGGCGAAAGGCCTTCGAACTCCGGTTCTCTTTATGGGATATTTCAATCCGATTCTGAAGTACGGGGAAGCGAAACTACTGCAGCATTGTCGCGATGCTGGCGTCAGCGGGTTCATTATTGTGGATTTGCCGCCTGAGGAGGCGGTTCGGTTCCGGAATAGTTGTGCGGGAGCTGGGTGAGTCTTGCTTACCTTTTTCACTTCGCTCCTGAGATTCTGGATCGGTGATGGGCTGACGTCGGTTGATTAAAATAAAGCCTGTCATATGTTCCTCTGATCGCACCGTCTACGCCTGAGCCGAGAATGAGAACGCTCTGCTCCATCGCGGACTCGTTCATCTACCTAGTCTCGAGAATGGGCGTCACGGGCGCCACGGGATCATTGAGCACGAACTTACCCGAGTTGATGCAGAAGGTAAAGGATCTGTCAGGAAACGTCCCCATCGCTGTCGGATTCGGGATCAGTACGCGCGAGCACTTCCAAAGCGTCACGTCCATCGCCGACGGCGCTGTCATCGGCAGCGAGATCATAACGCAACTCTCGAACGCGCCCGCTGGACAAGGAGCGCAGCTCATCCAGGAGTATTGTTCGGGAATCACCGGACGGAATGTTTCGAGATCGAATGCGACTGCCCAAATCCCAGAGTTCAAGACCCCAACAGCCACTCAGGAGAGCGCACAAGACGAAACCCCCATCACCGACACGGCGGGCCGTTTCGGCGATTTCGGCGGCCAATATATTCCTGAGGCGTTGACGAAATGTATCAGCGAGCTCGAAGCCGGGTTTAACGACGCCGTCAACGATCCGGCCTTCTGGGAAGAATACCGCGCATTCTATCCCTTCATGGGGCGGCCGTCGAGTCTACATCTCGCGAACCGGTTGAGCGACTACGCCGGGGGAGCGAATATTTGGCTGAAGCGGGAAGATCTGAATCATACAGGCTCACACAAGATTAACAACGCGATCGGCCAGATCCTCGTCGCTCGTCGACTGGGCAAGACGGAGATCATCGCGGAGACCGGGGCAGGGCAGCACGGCGTTGCAACGGCCACGGTCTGCGCGAAGCTAGGCATGAAATGTACGATTTACATGGGCGCTGAGGATGTCCGACGACAGGCGCTCAATGTCTTCCGGATCCGCTTGCTCGGCGGCGAGGTGATCCCCGTGGAGGCAGGATCGCGCACCCTCCGCGACGCTGTCAACGAGGCGTTCCGGGCGTGGATCGTCCGGCTAGATACAACGCACTACATCATCGGGTCGCCGATCGGGCCGCACCCGTTCCCGACGATGGTGAGAACCTTCCAGTCGGTGATCGGCAAGGAGACGAGAGAGCAGTTGAGCCGGGAGATTGGAAAGCTGCCTGATGCGCTGGTCGCGTGTGTCGGTGGCGGATCGAACGCTGCGGGCATGTTCTACCCTTTCTCCGACGACCCGTCGGTTGAGTTATTTGGCGTCGAGGCGGGCGGGGATGGCAAGGAGAAACATTCTTCGACGTTGAATAATGGCACGATTGGTGTTCTGCACGGCGTGAAGACGTATGTGCTTCAGAACGAACATGGGCAGATCTCTGAGACGCATTCGGTGTCCGCGGGATTGGATTATCCTGGCGTTGGACCTGAATTGGCGAGCTGGAAGTATGCGAATAGGGCGACGTTCATGGCTGCGACGGATGCTAATGCGTTTGAGGGGTTCCGGCTGTTGTCTCAGCTGGAGGGTATTATCCCAGCGTTGGAGTCCTCGCATGCGGTCTGGGGAGTGGTTCAGGTTGCGCGTCAGCTGGGCAAGGGGAAAGATGTCGTGCTGTGCTTGAGTGGACGAGGCGATAAGGACGTGCAGACGGTGGCCGAGGAATTGCCGCGGTTGGGACCTCAGATCGGCTGGGATTTGCGATTTTAGTAGAGATAGAATTCAAAAGTTGTATAGTTAGTTGGCTTAGCAGATATGAATGGCCCGGTCGCATACTTTACCATTTCGGGCATGGGAACCAAGGTCCACTTCTCCCTCCAGCAAGAACACAACATAAAGCACCCCGTCACCCCACCATATCTTTTGGACATAACTAAAGATAGTTCAGAATATGTTGGAGAGAAAACAGATCAACTTCTTCCGGGGCTCCCCAGCCCCAACCCTGATTCCAACCGAGCTCCTCAAACAGGCGGCCTCCGCTGCGTTATCCGATCCAACCATCTCCGGTCCGGGATGCGACTACGGCCCAGAGGAGGGCTATTTGCCACTCAGGGAGAGCATCGCCAGATGGCTCACAAGTGTATATCGACTACCGCAGTCAATCGATACCGAGCGAATTTGCATCACCGGTGGAGCAAGCCAAAACCTGGCGTGCTTGTTGCAGGTTTTTACAGACCCGGTGCAAACCAGAGCTATATGGCTGCCTCAACCAACTTATCATTTGGTGTTTGAAGTGTTTGAAGATGCCGGATTTCATGGATTGCTGAAAGCCATTCCGGAAGATGCAGACGGAATGGATGCTGGGGCTCTCGATGAGGCGATATCGCGGATGGGGTCGGATCCGGCGACGTTGGACCGATTGTGTCAGGTATATAGACCCTTGTGACTTGTTTGGTTGAAAGATACTGACTTGGAGTAGACGCCAATAAAACCAGCATTGCCATATCGGAAGATATATAAGCACATCATATACTGCGTGCCGACATTCGCTAACCCCACAGGCATTACAATGTCGTTGTCTCGAAGAGAGGAGCTCGTCCGAGTAGCGCGCAAACACGACGCACTGATCGTTAGCGACGACGTCTATGACTTTTTACATATAACTGGAACAACATCCTCGACTGCAGCAGTCCCACCGCAGCGGATTGTCGATATTGACAGAACGCTAGATGGCGGGTTACAAGACCGATTCGGAAACGCTCTCAGCAACGGATCGTTCAGTAAACTTGTCGGACCCGGGTGTCGCGTCGGATGGGCGGACGGACCAGGCCCTTTGATGTATGGGCTTTCGCAATGGTAGGCAGTCTTTGTCTCGGCATATTCGTGAATCGAATGACTCAGACTAACTGAGACAGTGGTTCAAATATCTCCGGCGGTGCACCATCCCAACTAATCTCAACATTCATCAACCAAATCGTCCAAAACGGGTCCTTGGCAGATCATATCGAGAAAGCTTTAATTCCCGCCTGTACACGACGATTCAACGCTATCGTATCGGCCATCAAAGATCATCTCGTACCACTGGGGGTGCCATTTCAACCAGATGGAGAGACAAAGCCTGCCGGCGGATATTTTGTTTGGCTTACTCTTCCTGCATCGTTGAGTAGTTGGAAAGTATGCGAGGAGGCAAGGGCGCGTGCAAATCTCATTCTTCCAAATGCGACAGTTTTTGCTGTGCCGGGGAATGACATTCCAGATCTTCTTCGTCGGCAGCTGAGGCTTTGTTATATGTGCGTGGATGAAGCGGATATTGCGGAGGGTATCTTTCGGCTGGCGGAGGTAATTCGGGGTGTTTTGAGGGGTTGATAATGAATTGTATATTGAATTTTGTTGGTATTGAAGGTGTTACATGAGTCATTTGGTTAAGCTTGCGTCGTGGGACATTGTGTCCAGAATGAAGTGTGAAACAGACAAACAATTTCAACGGGCGGGGAAGTTTGGCCGAATGACAAACTCAAAGAAGAGAAGATTTAAATGCTAACAGACGGTCTAAAAAAAGAAATTGAATTAAAAACGCGATAGCCCGGAGTAATGAAAGCCAACGGACATAGGTTCATCTAAGACATTGTCGATAATTAGGTTGAATTGGATCAAATGACTTGAGCTCATGGGAATCGTTTATATAGAATTATTTGTTATTCAATTAGTCGTCTCTAGCATACGGACTTCGTCTCCTGAGAGCCGGACCGTAATATCTGAGTAAAACGGTACAGGGTATGCCGATAAACGTGGCTATCAATGCCAGCAGCGTGTTGCCCCATCCATTCCCCAGATTACCGTAACTGAGACAGGATTAGTTTTGTGTTCTTCTAGGGGTGGAAGGGAGGAGTCGTTCCGGGCGTTCACTAAAGTAATGAACTTACAGGCTAGGAGCTGCCAAAGGCAAGGCAAAAGCAAGAATGCTCCGTAGGACAATGATGGCGGCCATGGCACTTGCGGCGTATTTTTGATAGGTGTCAATGATGTAGCCCATGACACAAAGAATTTCCAGGATGGTCCCGGCACTGTAGATTGCCGCGCCGATATTTCTGGAACAGAAGATTAGCGATAAGCCCTCCGTGTACTGACCAGGCTTGGTGCGGACGGTATACTCACGGCATGATCCAATGGACATTCGATCTGGCACTCCAGCCATACCAGAACAATCCAACGGGTACGATGAAAGCCCCAAGAATAAGAACGGGCAGACGGAACTCCGGAAGTCCCTGACCCCCGTTTTTATCGCAAAGTTTCCTATAATACCGGTCGGCTAGTCGTGTTCCGATCTGAGAAGCGATTCCCATTCCAATAAACATGGAAATATAGTTTAGTGATCCAATAGACACAGACTCGCCGTAGACGTCCGACCAAACGTCAGGGAAACTTGCGATCAGGAGATAGAGAATCCCGTAGAGGTATGCGCAGTATAAACTCCAGACTTGCACGACCGGCTGGGTGGCGAGTAGTTTAAATGGTCTGACAATACTAGTGCTAAGGAGCTTCGCAAGTGAAATTGTATCGTGCTCGGTGTAGAGATTGAGATTCCCGGTGCTCTTCCGCAGGCGTCTGCAGCGCTTTTGAAGAAGAATAGGCGCATAGGTCTCTCGGAAAAATGGCAGACAGAATATTTGAATGGCACCGCCGGCAATCGACACAACATAGAAGCACCAGCGCCATGATGTGTATTGAACGAGAAAGCCGCCTGCTATCGGACCAATCGCGACGCCCGCCAGGGGGGCCAATGTGTATACCGCAAGAGCTTGGCCTCGTTCACGAGGAGTGAATAGGTCGGCGTTGATGCCACTACCAATCTAATAGAAAACATAAAATTAGAAATCTAGAATCGCGTACCATGAACGAGAACTTGTGCACGGAAAGAAAACATACCGCGAAAGGCCCAGCTCCACCCAAGCCCGCGAAAAAGCGAAACACAATAAGCTGAGTCGGAGTCCGCGACACCCCACAGAGCGTGTTGAACACAATGTAAAAGATATTCGCGGACTGAAGAATTAAAGATCGACCAAACACCTCCGACAACGGGGCTGTGAATAACGGTATGAAAGCCGTCCCTAATAAAAATGCCGACAGAGACAATACCGCCAGGAGGCTTGAGGAGAAGTTGAGATCCTCTTGAATGGCCGTCAATGCCGGGGCCATGGTGGCGGAACTGATCGAGGAGAGGAAGTTGAACAAGGACATGGGAAGAATCGTCGTCCATTTTCGACTTTGCGGCCAATTTTTGGGGTTCTCTGGGTCGTCGGGACCATCCCATGTTACCTATACATGTTTAATTGATTTGGGGACAGACTTGGCACGGTAGGAGCAGGTACTTACTAGATTCGGATCCGATACATTCTGTGCTTGGGGTGTAGGTTTGTCGTTGGGAGAAACGCCGGTTGCCTTCTCAGCCATGGTACTGGATAATTTATAAATATGGATGAACCCGAGTTGATTATCCAGGCCAGACGATGGCGATTGTGAGGGAATCGAAAGAAAGAGATGACATACGATGGTGAGAAGAAAATAAAACTAAAGACGAAATGATGGCCAATGATTGTTCTTCGGAATGAAATTGATGGGATTAACGAGTGTGAGGGACTAGGGAGTAGAGAAGAGACCGAGAATGAGCCGTAAGAAGGGGAGATCCGAACACTGGGTCAGACATAGGCACCGTAACACGGGCATTGCAATCCGGCCCTTTCTGTATTGCCGGCAGAAAAAAGAAAAGAAAAAAAACAGCATACGGACATACGGTATTATTTCAATTCAGCCTACAGCGGGTCGGTCCGCCAAGTGGGTCCGCCTCGAGTTGCACCATGGAATTCCTGGTGAATCCTTCCAACTACGGAGTAAGACAATCAACACTAGCTCCGCCACATGGGCAAAGGCTTGTTGCCTGTTGGATGCATGACATCCACTGTGAGATATGTGAGGAGTTAAACGAGCTTTGTGCTACAGTATCTGTGCTACGGTATACAGATTCTGGAGTACAGGCCGGTTAGCACGGCACGCATGGGAAGCAAGCAAGGGTTGTCAACATCACGCTGGGGCTATCTGACATCAGCAGTGGCGAGTCAGTGAATGAAATTGCGACAATGTCTCATAGCATTGTAATACAATGACTGAAATTTGCGTTGTTAGATTGAGGCATTTGTGTCTTATCTTTCTGGTCATTTCAACCTTGACCTAAGCCCTTGACAGCATGGTTCTGTGATTGAAGTCTACCCACGTCTAAAAGTCATTCTGCTTGAGATACTAACTACCTACGATTCCGATGATAGCAGAAAGAGAACAAAAATAAAACACCATGTGGTTATATTTTGTGCTCGTTGCAGCCTTACTACTCGCGACCCGGCATATTGCGCACCGGATCAAAAGATGGAAGACCAATTGCTACTATGCTTCAAAGTACGGTACCAAAGACCCTATCATACTAGCCGACTTTCTCTCTCCAGAGGGAGGGAATTATGACAAGGAAACCATGCGAGCATTCAAGGAGCATCGAGGTCTAGAACTCATTCAGAAGAGACACATTGCTGGAGGCTACACTTTTCAGACGCACACCATAGGTGGCCGGATCATCAATACTTCAGAGCCCGAGAACATCAAGACCCTTCAGGCCACTCGATTTGAGGATTATTCTCTTGGCTTCAGACAAGTGGCTCTGGGCCCATTGATGGGCAAGGGCGTCTTCACCACTGATGGCAAGGATTGGGAGCATTCTCGCGCGTTGGTTCGACCGAACATGGGCAAGGCATTGTATACCGATTTTTCCAACTTGGAACGACATGTTCAGGAAATGATCTCGCATATGCCGAAAGACGGAAGTACTATTGACATTCAAGACATGTTCTTCAAGCTAGCATGTAAGTATCAACATCGTTTCAATATCGTTTCAATACTTAAATGACACTACGAGCTCACGATATATTAGTTGACGCGTCTTCCGAATTCCTGTTTGGGGAGTCAGTTCGCGCCTTTGAAGCCGCCGAAGATTCTGAAGAGGCCAAGTTCGGTGCCGCTTTTGATTATGCCAGCGCAGAAACCGTCCGTCGACTACACTATGGCCCATATCTGTTCTTGTACTGCAACCGGGACTTCACAAAGGCTTGCAAGACCGTTCATAATTTTGTTGACAAGGTGATTGCCAAGGCGGCTGCTCGTCATGCACAGGGAAAGCCTAATCAGTACATCTTCCTGGACAGCTTGATGGAATCCGTTTCAGACCCTCAGCGCCTGCGCTCGGAAACACTTAATGTCATGCAAGCCGGTCGCGATACGACCGCCAGCCTACTTGCCACTGTGTTCTATTTACTTGCTCGTCACAAAGATGTTTGGACGAAGCTGGATGCCGAGATTGGAGAATTGAATGGAAATCCGCCAACCTATGAGGAGCTGAAGAAACTTACCTATCTGCGCTACGTCATGAACGAGAGTAAGTTATCCCTACCCTCAAAGGATAATACTGTTGCTGAAACAATGATACACCAGCTCTCCGTGTACATCCAGTCGCCCCCATCAACAGCCGCGTTGCAGTGCGTGACACAATTCTTCCAGTTGGAGGTGGACCCGATCATAAATCCCCCATTTTCATCCCTAGGGGGCAGAAGTACGTGGTCCCAACAGCTCCAGATTCCTTCCAGTGACTAATGACCTCGTCAAAAAAACCAGAATCTCATTCCCCACATACGTACTCCACCGCCGATCGGACATCTACGGCCCCGACGCTCATGAATTTCGACCCGAGCGATGGGGCGAGCCCACCTTCCGCCCCGGGTGGGCATATATCCCATTCAATGGAGGGCCGCGTATCTGTCTGGGACAACAGTATGCCTTGACGGAAGCGGGATATACGATTGTGCGTCTGGTGCAAACCTTCAAGGCAGTGGAGCAACGTGACTTCACGCGGTACAAGGAGTCGGTTCGCGTTTCAGCCAGCATTTTTGGGGGTGTGCAGATCGGGCTGATTCCACGGGAGTAGTGGACGTATTTGATCGGGCGAAATAAGGTCTCAGTTGGAATAGTTGGCTGCAAAGAAGATGAGAATGTAACAAATTGAAATTATTATCTGCTCTTCCTGGAAGATCTTTAATTAACAAGAAAGTCTTAGAATAGATAGAAGCGATGCGCATATCAAGGCCAATATTTTCCCATGAACTCCAGTCCTTCTTTAACCCATTCATCCTCAACGGTATGCATAACTTCGAATCCATGATCGCCTTTTTGGAGGCTTAGCAAGACCGGCACATCTGGCAATATCACCTTTAACTGATCCACAAAACCTGTAGCACACATTGGTGGAACCTATTGAGCTCCTGTCAGCATATTTAGACCCCAATAGAAATTCCAGCCCGGCCCAGCCCAACCGCAAAGCTCGGTAAGAAATAGAAAACCCCGCGAAATGGACGGTAAATAATGCGGCGTGTACCAATCAAGAAGGAAAATGGGAACATACCACAGAATCCTCCCTTCCTTGAACCAGCCAGATTGGTGGCATGGAATCAATCCTCTCTATCATCTTCATAACATCAAGCTTGTCATCTGCCTTCAACCCCAACCATCGAGGTAAATAAGCCTGCTGCAGCACGCACGTCAAGAATTCCCACATTTCAACCGCGTCGCCGCTTGTTCGTATCGCCCCTTGTTTCATATTCTTCGTGTATTCTCGGATCGTCATCTCGGCCTTTCGTGGAGGGGGTGGCCGCTTTCCTAGAATCACCTTTGGCCCGGGGACTTTATAATGAGGGATATCGGTATAGAGAGAGCCCGCGATCGAGAGAATGGCTTTAATCTGCGAAAACTGCCGGAAAAGAATAGATGATTGCACTGCGAGATAGCCACCAGCCGAGGTGCCTGCGCATGCGACTCGGGAAAGGTCTGGACGAGCATGCCAGGCTGCGGTTTCTGTGGGAAGGGTATCTCGCAGCCAGAGCCAGAAGGCTTCAACGTCGGAAAGAATATCGGCGGCGTTGGACTCCGGAATAAGTCTGTAGTCCGGGGAAATAATGATTGAGTCGTTGGAGAGGCAAAAATCTAGCATCCTGTTTATGGTGTTGTTAGTTAAGGTTGCCTTGGAGAGGGCGTATGGTTTTATTTACCATGGTGCAAACCAGCCTTCGTACATGCGGTCCCCGATTATGAATCCCCCGCCATGCCAATAGACGAGAACCGGATACTCGCCGCTTGGCTTGGACTGAAAAGATTTTGGAATTAAGATTGATGTATCGAGATTTTGACCATTGATGACTTTGTAGGTGAGGTCGACCCTATCGAACGGAGAGAACTTGTTACTCATGGTGAAGGGGGTCGGGAGGCGAGCAAGCGTTGAGTAGAAACAAAATAAAGAAGAAGAGAGAGAGTCCGGAGGGGTACAGTCCGGTTTTATAGAAGACAAAGCTACTGTCGCTTAGGTCAGTCCTCATTCGCGACCTAGAACCCTAATCTGTTCGGCCAGATGAGCCTCCAACATTGAATTTCTATAGAGAACACTAGGGGAGTATGTTCTTAGGGGATAAGGAGTTCATTGGTTACTAAGTGAATGGAGCACACCCACTATTTACTGGAATACTTCTGTTGTAGCCTCTTTGCAGCCAAACCACCCAGCGCCTCAATAGTACCACCATTCATCAATTCCAAGACCGACACATCAACGCCTAGGTTCTGTCTCCACCAATTGCGCACCTCGATCGCCACCAACGAGTCAACACCAACATCTGAAAGAGTTGCAGAAGTAGGAACCTCGTCTTCCTCACGCATCAAAAAGCTTGCCACACAGTGTGCTAACTCAGCAGCAATAACATCCGCGGAGGCCTTCTGCTCTAGTTTGGCCGGGTCGCTCATCATGCTAGCGAGGAAGTGCTTGAGCTGGTCGGCTGCGTCATTTCTCTCTGCTTCGGAAGTCTTCTGAATATTCCGGTAGATCGCCATCCGAGGGTCTCGCTTCCACATGCTGCCGTTTTGAGGATCCATGATGGGAATGCGCGAATCCAACGCCTGCACGATATGGCTTGGATTTTGGAATCCGGCGAGCGCGGATCGTGTCTTGGTCGGCGCGTAACGAGATGAGGATCGCGCAATCGTGAGCTGCAAACTGTCTAAAAAGTTTTGCTCTGTCAATAATGTTTCCAGCGTGGCGATTAGTGTCTCTCTGGTTGCCGGAGTCCGGCTCACGTATCCCACATCGTCGACTGGACCAATGTTCATAACCGATGCAGCAAGGCCCATGTTTTGGCGATACTGGACGAATGAATCAAGGAAGGTGTTTGCCGAAGCGTAGTTAGACTGGCCATAATACCCAAAGGTTCCTCCAACTGAGGAGAACAGAACGAAAAAGTCCATGTCTTTGGGGAGACACTCATGCAGATTCCATGTTCCTTGGACCTTAGGGCGCACTGCCGTATGCCAGGAGTCAATGTCCATACCGAGCACGCCGACATCACGCAAAACCATTGCCATCTGCATAACACCAGCGATTGGTAGAGGGGATTGGTCAACAGCGTGCTTAACGGCGCTCGGATCGGCAATGTCGCATGTAAAGCATTGGGTAGAACAGCCCATCGTATTCAACTCGCTCAGAAACAGACGATCCTCCTCGGACTTTCCAGCAGATCTGGAGAGGAACATGAGATGACATGCGCCGTTTAGTGCCATCCAGCTGGCAATTGCTTTACCTAGCCCGCCAAGACCACCGACGAGGAGATAAGAAGCATCGCCGCGGAATCGTGGGTGGGGAACGGTAGCAGTCAAGGGTAGAGAGTCATCCTGGGGGAATTTGATCACGACTTTTCCGATATGAGTGCCCTTTTGCATGAATCTGAAAGCATCCTCCGCATCCTCCGCATTGAATGTGGTGATCGGCGTAATGGGCTTAAATGAGCCATTGAGATATTGATCCACCATGAGTTGCAGAAGACGCTCCACGGTCGACTTGTGCGTGACGAGTAGACGAGCCATATCGCCGCCGATGAAAGCTCTATTATCCTCAAAGGGGTCCAAGGCAAGCTTTCCCCTGCCAACCATATCACGTTTTCCGATTTCGGCCATGGCACCATGAGGAGCAACGCATTTCCATGATGTATGCAGCAATTCGCCCGATAGCGAATTCAACACCAGATCAACACCCACACCCTTGGTAGCGTTCATCACGCCGTCCAAGAAGCTACTGTCTCGGGAATTGAAGATCCGGTCCCTTGGAATGCCAAACTCTTGGGTCAAGAACGCGGCCTTTTCTTCCGAACCAACGGTTGCGTAGATCTCTGCCCCGATCCACTTGGCCACATTCATTGCACAGATTCCAACTCCTAAAAAGATTAGTCTTCGGATATAGCAATTTTTAAACTTATGATGACTTACCTCCGGCTGCACTGTGAATCAGTATAGACTGACCCTTCTCCAGCTTCCACTTCTCAACCAGAAACATCAACACAGTAATATAAACGACAGGCATCGTAGCCGCTTCCTCATCTGTAAGCTGATCCGGAATCTTCACGCAGAGACTAGCCGGTCTATTGATGACCGTGGCCATTCCAACGGATTCACACCCGATGAGCATCACACGATCGCCAACAGCAATGTTCGAAACCTCTGACCCAACCTTGGTAACATACCCGGTTCCCTCCAATCCCAGCGGGCTACTGCCATCTTTTATGGTATCCCCACCGGTTATAACTCCCATGGCAATCATGACATCTTTGAAATTGAGTCCTACAGCGGACATTCGGATACTCGCTTCTTCGGCGCTCGGCTCCCCCAAGGGCTGACTAGCCCAGTGAAGGGTTTGCAACAAGCCAGGAGTGCCAATTGTCAAGCCCTTGGTTTCAGGCTCTGCGGCTGTCTCACAAAGTGCCTTTTCCACCGGTACCCAGTGGAACCGACCGCTGTTCAAAGTGCCATTCGACCAGGCCCATTCCATGTCTGGGTCCAGCTCGCCGATGTCATCTCTCGAGCTTTGCAAGGTTTCGATAACATTAACCACGGCCTGAGCAGCCCCTGACTGTAAATCTTCAAGCTCAAGTGTGGCGAACGACATTGCAAGCTCAGATCTTATGGTTCTCGCCATTCCAAGAATCTGCGCTGCTTGCGGGTCCTTGGGGTTGATCTGGGCGGAATGTGAGAGCCAAAGGACAGTCGAGATCTGGAGGGAGTCCACCAGGCGCAAGAAATGGGTAAGATCATCTTCGGAGATGTCCTGGAGCAGTGTTCTTTCTCCCAGATCTATGAAGGAGATCAGGTCTTGGTCAGCTGGAAGTTTTTCTCCCCATTTGCGATGGTCCACTTCCACGCCTTGCTTCTGGAGAAGGTGTTCCACCTCCGATGCAAGCTCGCCGTGACCCGTGGGGTGGAGCAAGGTAATTCTATCAACCACACTGCTTTGCATAACTGGCTTTGCGATAATGTTGGCGTTGTAAGTGTAGGGCTGCTCATTGTCGAGTGTTACGGAGTCGCAGCCATCGAAGCCCGCCAGCCGTAGTCTTTTGTCCCATTCGTCGGGCGAGATAAAGGGACTACCGATACGACCGTCCTCTTCGCTCAACCACCATCCTGGGAATTGGCCCTATTTCACGTTAACAATAATCAAATAATAAACTCGGCATGTGATTAGCCGCAATCCGCCGATCTGTTTCAGAAGAAAAAAAAAGAAGTAATATGCCACGCTTACCATAATAAAGCTCATAGCGCGAGTTACTATCTAAGTCAGCGAGATCCAAGGGTTATTCCGGAGTCAAACATACTAGGACATAGCTCCTGGAGAAACAATTGACCCTTAGGTTGAAGCAAGGTGCGCACATTGGTCAACGTATCCTGCAGAAATGGCGTCGCATGCAGAACCTATCACTAATTAGTCATGATTTCGGTCTCAGTGTACAATCTAGCACTCACGTTAGATGCGATAATGAGGTCGTATTCGCCGGCGTTGAACCCTTGCTCCACAGGATCCCTGGATATATCAAGGGCCTTGTACTCAATACCGTCATAGTCCTT